TAATGACAATAGATTTTCACGGCATTTGTATTTATCTTCATCTGACTATGTCTCTAAATTGCAATCACCGCAAAAATCTCGTGCGCAATGCATGCCCCATTCACTACTTCCAGGTACCAAATCCAACTAAAAACACCTGCATCAGCTCAAATACTAAGCGCGTCATTAGCCCTATTATAAACAAATCAAAATGTCAGCAAGAAGTTCTCTCGAGGTCTCTCATTCACCTCGAAAATGGTGCACGAAGAGTCGAACCTACTATACCCCTTCACCGAGTTGGTCTCCATAGTTTAGTAGGAGAGACATTGCAATTTTGTGACGAGTGTTTGCATTCAGAGTTGGTGTGGATGCCTAGTCCATAAAGATCAGACACAATGTACATTTGCTGAAACAAGTACAAAAGGACCTACGAGGGCGGAGGAAGAAGGAGATGGTGACCTAGCGGGAGCGCAGCCTTGTGCCGTTGGCTGTGCAGTTGGTTGGGCAGTTGGGTGGGTAGCTGGTTGAGCGGTGTGCAATTTCGAGGCGAGTTGAGCGGGTGCCGTGGATGCACATGGGGATGTGAATCCAGCCAGTGGGGCTTTGGACACGCGAGTTACGAGGCGTATTAGGCGAATGGACGACATGTTGATGTCGTTTTGGAGAAGGGTAAACGACAAGTTCAACTAGAGAAATGCTCGTTGCCAGAACGATTGACACTCGAAGCGTTGGTCGGCGTTTCGTTGCTATGGTGATGGATCTACACGCTTTGAATTGACCTCTACTTCTAGCAAGAGGCAGTGTAAACCTGAGCCCGACATGCCTCTCCCATACCCACAGCGAGTCTGGCAATTAGCCAGAGATGTAGCCGCCAAAGGGCCGCTCGCCGACCCACGACGTCTGGGCGGCATCCCCTTTGACCTTAAACAATACCGGCGAATCATCCCCACATTTATGCACGGCAAGAAGATAACTTTCGGAGACAACATTAGCGAAAAGGGATCAAACCGGACTCGCCGCGCCTTCCTCCCCAACGTCATCTACCGACCCCTATACTCTCGTACATTGGACATGAACATTTGGACTAGGCTCTCTACCCACGCTTTACGAGAGATTGATGCTAAAGGGGGGTTTGACGAGTATATTCTGACTCTGCCGGAGAAGTACTTGGAGTGCGATGTTGCCAAGATGTATAAAAGAAAGATTGTAGATGGGTATTATGGAGCTAAGGGTGGGAAGGGTAAGGTGTTTCGAGCGGAGATGGAAAGTTTGTTGGGTGCCAAATATGGGGAGGAGTATTTGACCAAGTTGAAGGAGTTTGAGAGGACATTCGATAAGGCTGTTAAGCGATGACCAACTAGTGGGCTTTGAAAGGTGATGAATGTGATGGTTGATGAGACGGCTTATTGGGGGAAGGGGGGTTCATGTACTTATCTATTTTGCATGTAATTTACATCTGCTCGAAATCTACACTTTGAACAGACGGGTCGCTGGAGACGCAACTTGTATCTGACTGTTTTGGTTAAGGTTGACTTTCCAATTCATGGCCGTTTGGGAATTGGATGCACGTATTCAGTGCCTGCTACATATTGGGTTGAGGTAAGACCGGATGAGGTTGAACAATGCTCAAACCCGATCTGCACACGAGATCCTGCTTAAAAGCTTTCTAAAACCCAAGCAAAGATATCTCTCTAAACAAAAACCCATTTTTTACCATATGCGACAGTTGGAAATCGATGAGATGCCTAATAGAGTTAACGATAGCTAGAGGGGAACGCGTATTACCTAATCCCCGCACGTCTTCGCCAACCTCCCACTTCTTGCCATCTGTTGCATTCTCCCCATTACATACTTTAATGATGCACTTCCGCCCACAGCACCGTGACCCGCCTGTTATGGCGGGCTTCTTCTTTAAAAGACGCCGAGAAAGGCTTAATTGGCGCGTGATGGCGTCTGTGGATGTGTCAAGGGTCATGAAGGAGGTTGGTTACCATCTCAGAGATCTGGTGTGGTTTGGTATAGCTAATTGTGATGCTTTGGGGTTTAGGTGGACATACAAACTCTACAAGATGTCATGGAGAATCTGACGTATTGCGATATTGAGGCCGAGGGTATGTAGTTTGTTCTTGTTATCACCATGTGCTTGCGCTGATCCCTTAATGTACATTACAGATCTGCGTCTCGATCCCACTTATATTAAGCTTTTCCAGCTATCCCAATTGACAATTGAGTATCTGCTGCATTCTCAGGTAGTTTTGTTTTGGTTTCTTTTAAAGTTCGGTGAAATTGAACCTTGTGCAGGATTACTTGCTGGACCATCGAAAAGTGTTGACTGATCAGGTGGAGGAGCTGAGAGAGCGGCTCGCGGGGTTGACAAAGGAGTGCGAAAGCCAGGTACCCAGTTGTAAATGATATCTCAATGTGCTTGATAGAAGGATTGACTAGCGTCAACTTTTGCTGTTCAGAAATCTGAATTAGGAGGAATGAAAAAGGAGACGAGGATCTTGAGAAAGAGTTTGTATGCCTATCAGCTCATGACAAAGATGCCTGGGGTGGGCAGCGGTGTTGCGGGACACATCAACAATGCCACGACGACAACAACAACATATCACGTAAGTTTTATTGCAGCTATACTTTCATGAAAACTTCCAAACACCTCCCCCCCCCCCCCTTTCCCCGAAGCGCTGCCCAATATGTCCCAAAATCTTTATTTCAACTGTCTACCTGGACAGCCACATGCAAAGACGGCATCCCACCTCCCCAGGCGCGATCCCCGTCAAGGACAGCGACGCAGTGTCTCACCCCAAACGAGAGAAACAAGAAGATCCGACGCCTCCTCTTGCGGAAAAGATTGTGGAGGGAATGGAACGCGTTACGGCTCGGATGGCTGAAGTGGAGCGACAGTTGAGAAGGGAGATGGAAGGGCGATTGGAGAAGGAGATAAAAGAACGAGAGGTGCGTTGATGCAAAAACATGGTATCCCACGAGACAATAAATCGAATGACGCACTTGCCCCGCCATCTCAGGCAACGCTATCCCAAACCCTAAATCACCAGAAACTAGCATACGAACGTGAAATCCAGGATTTGAAAACGACTTTACATCAAGAACTTGACCAAGAGCGTAAAGCCCTCCTTGAAGAGCGTCAAGAACTTGAAGCCATCAAAGTATGGGCATTTTCTCTCAATCCCTTTATTATTGCCAATGTGGGGCACTAATGTACGTATCTTAGGCACGACTTCAACAGGAAAAGCGTCCATCAACTTTTGGTACCCTTGAGGACGAAGAAGAGCCGCCACGTCCTAACACCCAATCTCTTGAACCAATACAAAAAGAGATTCAAAAGTTGCGTGCAGCGTTTGATTCCCAGGTAACCGCTTTCTGTTTTGGTATTTGTGGAGATAGAATGTCAGTGCTCACACTTTGATACAGCCTCGATCCGATCCAGCGACCCAGATTGAGCGACTAGAAGCGCTGGTGAGGGGTCTGACAGAAGAATGGATGAAAAGAGGCGATGGCCGCTTGGAGGAGCTAAAGGTTCGTTGTTGTTGCCTTCACTTATCCCCAAGTGTCCCAAATTTTATGTCATTCCGTATACAGGATTCTATAGAAGTAATCAAGGCGAGCATTGCACATCCACCACAGCCAGCTCAACAACCAGCACACGCACCCGTAGAACCATCTCAAAGCAAGCCCACTACGCCATCGCCATCACCAACCAGACGAGAAAAAAGCGCGCCAACTACACCAGTTTCTCGATCGCCTCGCAAGAAGAAACCACTTTTGAGGGTTGGTGAACCAGTATGTCATCACCATTATCGTCATTTGTGAGGGGACGACGGGCATTTGAAAAGGCTGACGCATATGTATCCTTTTTTCCCTTGGTCCAATAGCTAACTTGGGACCTGGCCGTAGAGCTCATGAAGGAACATAAAGGTAAGTTTCATGATAAACCATCCCTGTCATGCTCGCTTCATTCAAACACCGCCATCTTCAGAAACACCCCTACCTACCTCCCCACATGTCAAAACCCTGTACCCGCACACCGCCGCCCAATTCACTCATCCCAAGTCCCAGATCCAGCATACCCTCACCCAAACTCTCCACAAACGTTCCATTTCACCCACAAGATTTATCAAAAGATACAAAAAGGACACGCACGCAACGCAAGATTTTATACACGGGGTCCAATCCTTTGAAAAGGCCATCCAGGAGAAGGTTGAGGATGATGCATTGTACGGACAGATGAGGGAATATGTTGACAGGGTTGTGGAGGGCGTCGTAGAGGCCGAGAGAATTAAAATGAATGTACGCCCCCCACGTATCCAGACGGACGTGAAGGAAATCAAAAAGAAGCGAAGCCGACATACTAGATCCATCTCGTTGCCTGCGGGCACCCCCACGTTGGGTGGATGGAAGTTTCCGTCTTTGAAACGGGAGAAGCACGACAGTGCTGCACGTTGGGACGACGATTCGAGTGAGTTTTCTGGCTCCGAGAGTTCAATGTCGGCTTCTCCAACTCGAGAACGGCGTCGGCCCGGTTCACCCCTCCGCAGCGCATCCGTACGAAGCATGCCCCTCCTCCGCCCCGTCTCCATACCCCCTTCGCCGAATAAACTCAAAGAAGGATTCGCAAAACTCACGAGAGCGCTTTCGTTTACGAGAAAACGCGAGCCTAGTTTGTGGTCTTCCAGAAGATTGAGTTTGGATCGGAGACAGAGCTTCGAAGGTGGGCGGGATCGGAGACTGTCGGTGGAACCCAGGCGAGACAGGGCCGGGAGTTTGGCTAGAAATCAAGAACGTGCAGGGAAGGAACCGTGGCAAATGCCAGGAGAGCGGTCTCGGTCGTTGAGTAATCCGTCATCACCTAAACGCCAGGAGCGAAACCGGGAGATGACGAGGGACAGATCAAATTCATTCAATCGTCTGCCGACCAAACCTGCCACACCTAAATCACCTAGCCGGCTCTTCCCCAAACACACTCACTCTCCGCAAACAAGCAACGCAACCAGTCCAACAATTTCTTCCCCAGCTTCCACTCCCCCTCGCCCAACCCAAACCCATATTCCCCTGAACGACCTCCAAACACGTCTGCAAAAGCACACACAACAAGCCTCATCAACAGATGACTCCCTCTCATCTGCATCCGAGGACGATGGACAGCAGTTTGCCAACACTCGGACCGTTGATCCCATTCAGGAAGAATCTGAGTTTTCGACGTCGTCTGCTTCGATGGAGGCGGTTATAAAACCCCATACACGCCCGGCACCAAATCCAGTACAGAAACCGATATCAGCACCTACAACGCCAAAGGCTCCACCGGTGAAAGCACCGTCGCCGCCATCACCACCCTTTTCCGTCACCTCCCCATCCATGTCGTTGTCCCCTGAACCCAGCGTCGCATCGGAGAAGGATGTACCTCCGCCCCGTGTTGGTGGCAAAAACGAAGTGTACGTGATTCTTTTTTATCTCCAACGTTGAGATTATGGTTCTTAATATTCCCTCTTAGAACCCCCGTCGAAAACTTTTCTGACATGTCGGACGACGAAGACATTGAAAAGATTCCGGCGTGGAATGCAAAATCTTATTCTGGTATGTCGTCGTGCAAGTCCTTTTTGCTCCAGCACAAACAATCAACTAAATCACGTACCTCCAAGCTCTTCCAAAACCCAAACAACCCCTGTCAGACGACTTTGATTTGAGTTGGGACGACTGAGCCCGCTTGTAGTTCTTTTCTGTACCGTTAATAGATGTGGAATGTTTGCCTTCACCGTTCTTCGTGAGAATGCTTGCACAATCCATTCCGTGTGCTGCAATTTTCCAGCTTTTTATCTGAAAGAGTACCAAGTGTAGAGCGATCAATGTATAGTGGTCTTTTTGGAATCCTACATATGAAAGTTGGCCACTTGATTATCAGATTGAACACAAGAGGGTGCCCTGCTAGAACAGACAAACTATCGTTCGAGAAAGGTCATTCCCCCCTCTCACACCCACACACCGCACGAACACACACGTTGGGCCTTACTTTTTAACAGCTCCGTGCACACGGAGAAAGGACCGCAGGAGCGCGACCCACACATCTAGTATAAACAAAACATTGGCAGACGCGCCGAAACTGCGTCAATGACATGCCTGGGGAAATTGGTCCTATTTGTGCGGGAAATCGGCACATACATGCCAGTCAAAAGTGTTGGAGGTCCAATGCTACCCTACCCCTCTCCACTGATTTCCATTGCCACAGTGATGCAACAAGCAAGAAGTTCACATGCGCGACTATGAGACAACTCATTACATGTGGGGAAACTTGATGTCAAAAGTGTCAAAGTTCGAAGCGAGCATATTTTCTTTTCATAATTCCCCATGCAAGGACGGTAAACCGTCGACCTTCATAATCAAGCCAAAGGGGATAAAATAACGAAAATACAATGCTTCCCTTATGGTTGATCATTCTTATACCCGCCCTCGGTGTTCTTATCCTCGCTTTCCTCACTTTGCTACTCTACATTTTAACTCGCCGTCGTCGTCGTCACCGCCGTCGCACCCATCATACTTCCCCCATCCTCCCCACCCGATCCGTATCCCCAAACTACCAGCTCAACCCCCTTCGCCTCTCGACGCATTCGATACTCCCGTCTCTCCCTTACCTCTCCCAAACCGAGGCCGAAGAAACAGAAAGGGGAAGGAGATCCTTTGAGTCGACCGTGCCAGTTCCGCCGCCGAGGTCTCATTCAAAGAGCGCGAGGATGCGTCGGATTGCGGAGACTGAGATGATTGATAGTGCTAGTGAGGGGCTTAATGAATGGGAAGCAGCTGGATTGGAAGGTGGAAGAGATGAGGAAGGAGGTAGAGAGGATGAGCCAGTAACATGGCATGATCTTTATGCAGAGGAATGGATATCCGTCAAAAGTTTGCCGAGCATCCGAAGAATAAGGAGGGCTGGTACACTACCCACTAGGGGATCAAGGAATAGGTCACAAAATCTAACGAGGTCGATATCTGCTCCACCGATGTACAGGAGGAAGTGGACCGCCAAGGACAAGCTTTCTGTTCTGTGCGCCGAGTTACAACGAGTCAGTGCAATTGGGTTTGGACAGGATTGACAGCAGTGGAAATCCCACGCAACTGGGAAACACTACGCACTCGTTGCCATAATTTTACGATATTAAACAAAAAAAGAAACGACTCGTACAAGGATACCCGTTTTCTATACAACCGCGCATCTCAAGCCCTAAACTCCCTATTCGACGTCCCAAGCATATTTGGATCCTGAGAAGGATAAAATGACGGTCCCGCACCCGGAGGTGGTGGAGCTGGTGGCATATTCAGCAGCTGATCCAACGTTGTCCCCTGTTTTGCGGGCTGAGGTGTTGGCACCACCGTCCCAACCTCCGTCTGCACGTCGCCTTTGGGTCCCTGAGGTCTTGCTTTCCCCCACTGGACTCGCAAGACTTTTCCCTTAATATTGAGGTTGTTGTAGGATTTATCAACGGCGAGCTCAGCGGCTGCTCGCGTGGCGTAATTGACAAAGGCACATTTTGATTTCTGAATCACGACAATGGATTTTACTTCTCCAAAAGCATAAAAGTAGTCGCTGAAAAAGCCGGACAAGAGTAAGACACGAGTACTCAAAGAACTGAAGTACAACATAGCCCTTACCGCAAGTCTTGTTCGTTGATTTCTTCGTCGATGCCGGTGATGAACAGAGATGTGATGGAGGTGTCTTCGGGGTTGGACAACTTAGACGCCTTATCAGTTCGATTTACTGCAAAAAAAATGAAGCAGTGTTCAGTCTCCACAGACAGGTTTACAATGCGTATAAGTGAAACGTACACATTCTTTTGGCAACGGGATCGTCCTTTCCATAGTACCGATCTCTGATGTTTTGATGGGACAAGTCATTCTCCACAGGTACCTCGTGACGAAATGGACACTCGTCTCCCCGCTTACACTCCCCCTTCACATAAAACGAGCAGATGTGGGGGCGATTGCGCTTGTAGTAAGGCTCCGGGCGCGACATCTTTTTCAGTTGGTCGCGAGCAGACGAATCGGCTTTTGCGTAGTTGATTAGCGAGTCGTTGCCGAGCTTCCCTTCTACACTAGCTATGAAGAATTCTCTATTGACGTCTGAGTGCGGAATGTCGTCCTGGACTTGAAGAACGGAATCTCTGACTTGCACGGGTAACCCTAACAAGTGAGAACGTTGTCTGCGATGAGCTCAGTGCACACAGTCCAAGCATCAGAGGCACACCCTAATACACACCATACTCCAAATCCAAAACGCATGTTTGGCAGACATTCTTCACTTTAGCACAGGTCTGACAGACTTCGGTCTTCTTGTTTCGCATGCCTTGACCTGGATTCCACTTGAATATCGTAAATGGCCGCCCACAAATCTTGCATTCTTTTCCATATCCCTGTCGTGTCATGCGCACGTACGGGTTCGGCCCCAGACATGTCTCACACTATCGCCAGCACATGGGACAACAAGAACATGAGTAAGACAACGGCAGATCTCTCTATGGACAAGTCTGCTGGCACTTACCAATATAGGAAAGTCAGAGTCCTCCCATCTGTATCCAATGCAAATGTGTTAATAACAAGAGTGATGCCAGTGGTAGTATACAATACCGCATACCCTTGACGAGACATGATGATAGTTCGACAGTAAATTCAAGCAAGTAAAGTGCCAAAAGGAAGCAGAAACGACTTCGTCGCAAATCCAACAATCTTGAATTGACAAATATGGTTAAATTGTATTACTAATTGCACAGTCATGCTACATTCCAGGTCAGATTGCACACCTTCCCAACGATGCCCAACCCTCATCGCCTTCTTTAGGAGATTTCACTTTGAAGTGTACTCTTCCCCAAGGATATCCCCATGTGAAATGGTTGGTAATTCCGCCTTCAAGTGTTTGAGCGGCATGGCAAGGCCTTGTGCCGTCGTATGAACCTTTGCTCTCGTCCAGTCGTACTTTTGTACCAGATACTAGCTAGACAACTTTTACAAGTTGAAAGTATACGACGACTTCTATTCACAACACAATTCTATTTGCGTACAGATATCATTACGTTATGATGGTTTGTGTGGACTTTCCGCTCAACTTCCTTGCAATACTTTTCAGGAACGCCAACAGATACGAGCTCCTATGTTATTTATGAGTGGTTTTGTTTATACAAATTGTTAAAGGATTTGGATTGCCCTACCTGAAGTTTGCGCTCTTTGATATGCTCAATCTTGTTGACCTTCTCCGCTCGCTCTTTGGCAAGTCTCACACCCTCCATGAAAAACTCTTCACGTTGCTTGCGTCGCAACGCTTCCTTTTCTGCAATTTGTGCCTGTACAATGCGGTTTTAGTTATATCTAGACTAGTCCTCTTAAGAAGATGGGAACTTGCCTGCACTTGGCGCGCGTACTGCCTGTTCCGCTCGTTACGCTCCCACTCCTCTCTCTTCATCTTCTCCTCTGTTTCCTTTTGTCTTTGTAGGTTCTCCATAAACTCTTGTCGCATTTTATGCGCTTCCACAGCAATTGCGTGCTGACGTGCATGCTGCTGCATTGCTCGCGATTCGCGCAGTTCCTTTTCATTGGCAGCATTCTTTTGCGCTTGTACGAGGAGTTTCTGGCGGTACTCTCGCTCATGCGCTTCGTATGCTCGTTGGGCTCGTAGTGCATCTTGTTGTGCTTGTTTATCAGACATTTTCTCTTGAGCAGCGCGAAGACGGGCAAGTTCTTTTTCTCGCTCGGCCTTCTTTTCTTTTTGGATGCGATCGTTCTCAATTTCGCGTTTCTCCTTTTCGAGAATGTATTCTAGGACTTTACGGTCCTCTTCCTCCTCCTTTTCTTTCGCAAGCTTCTTTCGTTCTGCGGATTCTTGGTTGGCTTTGACAACCTGGAGACGGAGTTGCTTTTGGAGATTGATTTTTGCTGCTTTTTCTTGGACTTCTTGAGCATTTTGTTGGGCAATTTGTGCGAGGATGCCTTTCGTTTCTTGGTCTCGTTTTTCATCGTCTAAAAGTGCAGCTTCGCGACGTTCGGCTATTTGGGCGCGGATTGTGGCAGCTCCTTTACGCATTTCTGATAAAAGCATCCCGCATAAGCTCTCGGGGCTGTCATTTTTTCTCCCTTGTACATAACGTAAAAAACCAACCTTCAGCCCTTTTCCGCTCTCTCTCCTCCAATTTTTTCAACTCCTGCACCCTTTCAGCCTCCATGATAGCATCTAGCCTCCTCTCCTCTTGTTTCCTCTCTTTCTCAATCATTTTCTTCTCATCGACCTGTCGGTCCCGAATCGCTACACACTTTGCATACAGCATCAGCTCATTCATGTGCTTGATCTCGTCTTCTTGTTCTTCGAGTTGAAGTTGCGCTTTGGAGAGAAGGTAGTTGGACTTGGCTTTGGCTTCCGCTTCGAGGGTCGTTAGGTGGGCGTTTTGCGTTCGTGTATGGTCGTAAGCCTCCATTTTGGTCTGATATCGGAAAGAATAGTATGGGTAATGTTGCACCTCTTCCTGACAAAGAATCCCACAGATCCAATTATACCTTGCGTTCCTTTGCAGCCTCAGCGGCCTCAATCCTAATACGATTCATGTCCGCGCTCTGTTTATTCAACTCTTCTTTGCTCATCACTCTTGCCTGCCTCTGCACACATGCTGTCAAAAACAACTCTTCCATTACCAACAAACACCACACACCTTGACCCTCTCCAATTCCTCCCAACCAACCAACACCTTTTCCCGCCATCCGACTTGCCCGGGCGGTCCCAGCTCACGGGGCATGTCCCGCGGATGCGGGCGAAGTGTCCGGATATTATCGCGGGTGATGACGGTTATATTCTATGTGGAAGGTGTCGGTTCTGACCAGCGTATGATACGACCAGAGACGCACTAACCTCCCCTCCATTTCGTCTGTGTCTGTGTGATCGACTGGCAATAGCGATACCTCCCTGCTATAAGAAAGAATGATCGACGTAAGAGGACGAGCAACCACATTTTTCGACATTATGCGCCCAACAACAATGATATAAGGTATATCAAATAAAACCTATCAGCACATACCTGATTCATCTCGCCAAATGCAAAAGAAATGATACTAAACAAGACCCAAAAACAAACATCCAAAAAATAACGAAACCAACCACTGCACCCATCCCGCCCGATCAATAGCTTACGTAATCATTATTCTCCGACTTGTAAATGTACTTCTTTTATCCTTACATTGCCAGATCCAAAACTTTTACTTATCATCGTCTCCGATCCTTTTCACTTAAATAAATGCATTGAAACAAATCCATGCTAACAAATCTTTTAAAACTACATCTATGGGCAGAACTACCGGTGGATATAGTACGAAACCGAAAATCATTCTACAAAGCACCAGTATCGAAGAACTTTTCGATAGCCAATTCGAGAGTTTTTGGCGAGTATCGAACGTATTTATCGAGATTCTTCGTAAACTCCATTCCAATAAACCTTGAAAACCAAATCAATGCCAGTTGAAAGAACAATTAATGCTCAATACTTACTTGTCATGAAACCCTCTGTAGAAAGGTAATAAAATCGCTTTTACGTCTTTGATGACTACAGCGCGGAGTTCAGGGTCGGGTATCGAGTAGGTTTTCTGTTGCTTATAAGTTTCGTCGAACTCATTGTTGAATGACTGAGAAAGGTTTCGAAGGGTTAGCTCCAGTGAGGCTGGAAAAATACGTAGTTCAATACCTTGAATTTATCCTTGATTGTTTCCTTCTGCGATTTGGTTAAGGTCTTTGTATTAGGGGCGATCGCTAGGCCCTTATCAGTTATGGCCTCAATGACCGGTTTCCAGCTACAAGAGAAAACACTTGAATAAGAGAAACAGGATATCGCATACCTCAGACCTATTACCTATCTCTGTATACCTCCCTCTGTCTTCCCCAAAGTTTTTCAACCCTCTCCACATCATCAGACTCAGCAACATCCGCAAGTCGACTTGCCCGTAAATTCTTATAAACGTAATGGTAATTGTTCATTAAGAAAATGGACGCCAATGTGGGTTTCTTGTATGATTTAGATTTTTGGTCGATGGTTGTGTACAGTGCTGAGAGGACGGTTGAGAGGAGGGATGTGAATCGTTGGGATGTGAGTGGGGGCTATGTAAAAAATCGTAAGTAACTATTCCTATGTGACAAGTCGAATGTGAGATAATTACTGCTGCATCAGAGATGATCAGGTCAATGGCGGTGTGATAGTCGACCAATCGTCGAAGGGTGTTGAGCGTCTACGGTCCTTGTATAAGTAGCTTTTTAGGATATAGCCCCCAAAAGGTCAATCCTACCGTACTGGTCAACTCGTGCACTGTCCCGTCAGCAGCTACTGATCCCTTATTTGTATCGTTCTGTACAACAAGGTCAGGCGGTGAGGGGAAATGTGGTCATGGACAAAATTTGAAAACAACGTACCTTGACATCCTCGCAAAACTGTCCGAGAGCCTGAACGACAACCGCTTTGCAATTCCCTGCCAGCTCGACGATGTCGTTCCCCTTTGCTCCAGCATACTGCGCCAAATGCACGAAGATACACAATCAGCACCTCGGAAATGCTTAGCAACATCCTCCCTCTAGTGCACCTTACCGCAATAACACCCTCAAACTCTTTCAAATATCCCAATAAGCCTTCCACAACGTCTACCAAAAGAAACACATCCGCATACTCTCTCTTGGCAACATTCCTCTTGACACGCGCACACATGGCTTCCCCGATTTCAACGACCGTATCAATCGGGGCAGCAATGGTGGTTTGGAAAATTGTGGGTGCGGATGATTTGGGCAGGAGTTTGTTTACAAGGTCTTTTTCGGCCTGCATTCAAAAAAATTCATATACGCCACCAGGGACAAGGTAACATGAAGCACACCTACCTTGAGTAGTTTCAACAACCATCCAACAAGCGGAACGAATGCACATGTGCCCTTCTGATATGCCTTTCGATCTACTTTCTCCTGTTCCCTCGCAGTTGCAACAAGGGACGCCAAGCACCTAACCAAGAACTGCGTGCGAACTTCTTCGTAGATCTTGAGATAGACTGGTGGAAAATCCAGGTCGCCTATACTGGACGTTTGGAGCTCCGTGGCGAGTTTTTGTATGTTTTTGAGTGTTGGTTCCGGAATCTGGGGAGGATCTGGGTTTGCTTGGGGATCATGGGGTGTACTGGCGGTTGTGAGCCATTTTCGAAAGAGGTTATTGAGTTGACCGAGGGCTTTCGTGAGCATATATTTCTTTGACGTTTTATTAGAAAAAGTTGGCGTTTGCCTTTCCGTCGAGAATGTGATGCATACCAAATGAATAATGGCCCGGTCGGAAGCCTTGTATTTCGTCTTTTGTAAATAAGTCAACGCATCTTTGAGCGACTCAACCGATTTCAAGAAAGGTGCCATGTCCTCCTCCTGTGGCCTATGTGCGCAACATAAATCAATCTGCTACATTTGAATCTGCAATAGCACAACCAATCAGCAAGACATACCCTTTGGCAATAAACGGTTCCTCCTTTGTCCCAATATCAAAATAATCTACCACAATTTGAACCTGATCCAACGACGAACTGATATCTAGCAGTTAAAGTAAAAGCATCAACTACCCGCAACATCCTGGCTCAAGCAATATTAAGCTTACGGTCATAAAGTTTTGTGAGCTTTTGCGTACTCCGATGTATAGGTAGTATCGACGTCTCAAGTTTGCCCAGTCGCACATCAAAGGAGTTCAGCATTGTCTCCTGCAAACAAAAGCGATATGAAATCACGCGTCTTCAAGTAATCCATTTCGTCAATTGACATACAATACGCTCGGAGAGTACAGAAGTTTTGCTTAGGCTTTCTTGGAGGAGTTCCAGCTCTTGAATGTCCTAAACATAGGCTTCTATTCGTGACCGGGTGGAAACGAGGTTTCGGCAGCTCAGTACTATACCTGATACAAAACCCTCTCCAATTCCCTCCTCCGCTCCAAGTGCGTGTCTGTATGGCTACACACTTGCGTGAATACGGATGAAAAACACGGGAGTGTGAATATTTACCTTTCAATGTAAACCATGGTGTAATACGGATCTGAGATGCCCTTCTTGCAGGATAAGTCGGAGGTGTGTGAGTCAGCAAGCGCTTGCCTCTCCCAGCCACGAACAATCATGTGATGAGGCGAGTAACCCTAACCCTAACCCCAGCAGCGCTTTCTGAACCGATATCCAGCCCAGCTTCAACAACGGCATGACAAGTGGGTGGGTCGAGTGGATTCAGATTCTGCCAGATTCCATCCTTCACAAATCAGGACGTGGGGAAATACTCTGCGTTATTCCAGGTAATCGTTTGGAGATATATATGACTCTGATGGATAGTGTGAACAACCATCAAGATTCAAACATCTGTATAATGTCGATGGATTGGCATGCTATCCCCATACTAGATGAAAAACAGGGCTATGTGAGCAATTACACCATCAATGCAACTTCTCGCCGCATGAGCTGCCACAAGTTTATTTTTATTTTATTCGGAATGCAGCAACGTAACCTACGGGACACAGCTGTATCCTGGTAGGGTTGACTGGAGTATGTCCGAGCATGTTGCCCATATCAGATATGTGATATCAATGATATCAATGGATCGTGGCACCCCGCTTGCATGCATCCTCAGCATATCGAGATGAATAAGGTGCACTTCGGGGTCATGGAAGTTGCCGACTCATTCGATGTGTTGGTATCAGAGTGACCTCTTCCGCCGCCTGCAAACCACACACCAACTTAAGGTGATATTTGAATGACAAGACCAAGCAGACTCTCTTTTGCTTCCCCGAAGAGTCTCCAAAGGTCCTCGAGAATCTGAACGTTCCTACAACTTAACAAACTATGAAACTAAAGAAAATGAACGCGTATCATCAGACGACCGTTTCTTGTCAGAACACTACATTTGCATTCCAATCATGCCATCACCACTACCCCAAAGCGAACAAGACCAACGGCGTCCACACTCCCTCCTCTTACCACTCTCTCTCCCAACCCTCTCCTCTACGCTCACCCGCAGCCTCAACCTTATAACCGCCTCAATAACCCAACTCTGCATCCCCAAGCCCACTTCACCACCGCAGTTGACAATTATACTCTCCAGCCCAGACCTAACCTCCACAACACACACTCCGGTCCAAAAATGGGGAGAAATCCAATCGCTCTTGTGCAAGCTCTATACAGCCGCGTCGAACACGGCTTACGGATTGCATGTCCCTCTGGTAAACGTTGATATTATATTTGAAGGATGGTGTGGGTATGACCCGTGGCTCGCGGAGGATGTGGATGGGTTTGTTGGATACCCTGAAGGTAATGCGTGTGGTGCCTTGCCATTCTTGAAGAATAGAGTCACTAACGACTCTTGTAGATCAAGTCCTTCTGGCGACTGTCAACGTTCGAAGAGGGAAAGATAACCTTCAGCACCTTCATCTAATTGAGATTCCTGAGCCAGACATTGCAGATATCGATGAACCCATCTCTAATCCATCGCCGCCACTATCATCGACGACGGCGGGAGACAGGCCAGCCGCTTACGATCATGTAGCACTGGGAGGTACATTTGATCACCTTCATAGTGGACACAAGATTTTGCTGACGGCTGCAGCCTGGTTGACTAGAACGAGATTGGTATGCGGTGTCATGGGTAAGGATTAAGTTTTGCTATAGACGTGACGAGCGAGACACTAATGCGATCAAAAGACTTGAGCCCCGACCGCCTGTCCCGCAAAAAAGCATCGAGTAAAATGGAACCCCTCGAATTTCGCCTCGCCAATGTACGAGCCTTTCTAAATCGCATTCGAGGAACCAAGATTGCTTATGATGTCGTACCCATTTCGGATGAGTATGGTCCTACGCGCTATGATGCCACTTTGCAGGCGATTGTGGGATCCGCCGAGACCCTTAAAGGATGTGAAGCTGGTATGGGCTATTTATTCCATTCTCGTAGTGGTTTTGTTCTGATGTTAATCTCTCTACCATAGTGAATACTTTGAGAAAGGAGCAAGGTTTAAATCCACTCGATATTTATACAATTAATGTAATATCGCCCAAATCTGCCAACGTTGATCGCGATAACATGAGGTTGAAGATTAGTTCTACTGCTATTCGGCAGTATCTGGAAGAACAGGATCGCAATACATAGAGTCCACTGTCACCCGAATGTGAGGCGGAATAAGCTTTCACTGAATGTGTTCTTAGTATTACTATTGTTTTTGTACTTTATGTAACCAATATCGGCATACCGCAAGTGCCAGCACTACCCGTACCGCCAAATCCAATACCCCCCAGACCAGTCTCATCCCAACCGATCCGACATGAAATCTTCCTCAACTATCTGCGCCTGCTTCTTTCTAAAATCCTTGACCAATCGTGGATCATCGCCTTCAATTCCAATTCCCTATGCACAAAGCGCAAGATGAGATTCTGCGCAAAAATATGAGACGACGCTGGCCGAAATACGAACCATTTGAGGTGTTTTCGCCTCGATCACGTAGTGATTATCACAATTTGGGCAATACTCGTCCTCTTCCTCATAATTGCTATAGTTATGATGAGAATCACATTCAAAAACTCCAAAGAACACGCGGCCGTTTACCCACCTCATATCTTTCCGAAATACCTTTTTGCACTTTTTACACGCCATCACCATTTCCACGGTTTTTCTAGGATATCTATCAATACACGCTTCTTCTGTGCGCCAGAATTGAGAACTTACCGTAGGTTATGATCCGATACTTCCTGATGGCACTCGGGACAGTCGTACCACTTTTGGCAGCATGGTGCTCGAATGGAGACCTTGGAGTTGCTTAGAACGTAATTGGGGACCCGGAGAGCAATAAGAGTTTACCTGTGCGTTTAGAATATGTTTACCTGTGGGATGAAATGTATCAGCAATGTCTACGTCGAAAGCCGTGCAGGAAATTCGAGTAACTTACACATGTCGAGAGGAAGGCAGAAGAACAAACAAGACACGCTCTGCGCTTACGCTGTGCGACTAGTCCAGTTCCCAATGTCCAGAAGTCACGAGATCAGACGTTGTCATGACAACATATCGGACATTTCGCCCAAGAGCTGCGTTCTTCCAAGCAGTTTGAATTTGGAGGAAGAGTTTGGGGCAAAAAATGTCAGGCATAAGGTCACTTTCTGCACTGACGGTGCGGACGAGAACGTTGAACCAGATATGGGGAAGTCAACATAGGTATGCCCTATTTGAAATCATTAGGTATGGATAAGCGTTTAGATTGACTGACGTGTGATCTACGAATTTCGTGCAGGCCGCCAGTAGGAAAGTGCACCAATGCATTGTTTCGACCCATTGCAACTCCCGCATTTCGCACCCTAAGTCAGAGAGCGACTCGTCTTTCTGTTCCATGGACAGCGCCAATTGCCCAAACGCGACGGAATTTCTGGTCCTCCAAGACCAAGGAGGTGGAGGAACCTGTAGCTACCGCTGCACAGACCAGTGCCGTACCGACCCCACCGAGCTCCACAGACGCTATTTCACCTCCAGTACCACCTACCGACGCAATCACAACCACGACAAGCACAACCCCATCCTTTCTCTCTGATCCCACCCTTCTGGACGCAACCCTCCAACCAGCGCTAACATCCATATCCCACCTGGGGGACCTGAAAACTCTTGGCCTCTGCAACTCCACTCCCGCAGGATTAGCCCAGTCCCTTATTGAAGCTGTTTATGTCACCACAGGTCTACCATGGTGGGCTACCATCATGGCGACCACCCTCTTGATCCGAGTGGCTTTGACCCCTCTCATCCTCCGCGTTCAGCGCAGTTCGGCAAAGATGAATAACATCAGCCACAAGACCAAACCACTCCAGGACGAAATGACCCGTCTGAGAGCTGAAGGCGATATGGTCGGAGCACAAAAGGCCCTGCAGAAATTGAGGGAAGAATACAAGAACGCGGGTGTTAACCCCTTGGGAGGGTTAATTGCTCTTGTTCAAGCCCCAGTGTTCATTTCGTTTTTCTTTGGCCTTAAGGGAATGGCTGAGCTGCCTGTGCCTGGGTTTGAGACGGGGGGATTGGCGTGGTTTGCGAATTTGTCCATCCCCGACCCGACCTATGTGTTACCGATTGTGGCGAGTTTGGGAATGTTGGCTGTCATGGAGGTATGTTGTGAAAATCTCAACATGAAGGTCCCTGTCACTTATTGATGTGGATGCTCATATTTTTGGTATCTTTTGTAGCTTGGGGCAGAAATGGGAACTCAAGTCAACAATGCCCAAACAGCGACCTTTAAAAACGTTTTGCGTATAGCCTTGATTGGATCCATACCTTTCACAGCTCAACTTCCATCGGTGAGGCCCTTCATCCTAATATCTTGAGTGCCCGAACCATAATTTAATATAACTCTTTCAATCTCAGGCAATTTTCATGTACTGGATCTCCACAAACGCGTTCACACTCTTGCAAACGTTTGCTCTCAAGAACCCGTCCTTCCGACGCTTGTGTAACATTCCTGCGTTGAACCCAGTCGCCAGGGCTGTCCAGCACCAGGGAATGGCACAGATTCAGAAGCTGAGTTTCGCTGAGTCCATGAAGATGGTTAAACAGGCGGCTGAGGAGAGGAAGAAAAGGGAGGAGACTGCTTTAGAGGCTGCCAAAAAGATTCGAACGATTGGTGGAATCAAAAGAAGGGTTTAAAGTGGTGCTGTGATTGGGCATAGATGGTGGATGGTGTATAGAGCATGGGGTGGTGTTCATGGGCATGATCATAATCATTATTCTTATCCTGTTACAAGTATTACCTATGCGAGCTGCTGTCCGTTTCTTCTCTGCGTTACACCCTGCCAGCATACTCTGTACAATATCAACTATGCAACTTTCTGCTCTTTAGCTTCCCCGTCTGTTTCTGCCTGCTTTGTCCCACTCTGCACCATCTCCTCTTGACTATCTTCCATAGAACTTGAACTCCCCTTTTTCGTGCTACTCATCCGCCCTACAGCTTGCAAGGTCCTGAAAGCCTTCAACAGCTTCCCCCGAGGGGAGAATAAACTATCTGAATGAGCAGACCAGACTCGCTCAACCAGATTGGGCAGGTCATCATCTTCTGTAGGTGTAATGGAGCGGCGCGGGACGACGGCGGGGGTTTGCAGGATGGCATCTTGTTCGGTTGTGGATTTTTGTTCTGTCGGGCGTGGTGGTGTTTGTGGTGGAAGGGTTTCCTGAGCATGGAACAACCGCTCCGCCTCCCTGGCTCTAAACGAGTACTTGCACAACCAAGGATGAATGGATGCTTGGCGGGCCGTTGGTCGTTCTGCGGGTTTAACTTTCAAAAGCGATCGAATAAACTCTTTTGCTGAAATAAACGTCGTATCAATACCCCATGTAGCATCTCCCGTTCACCAAATTATTGAATCGTACCAGAATCAGATATGTTATCCCAATACGGACTGTCAAATTTGTAGTTCGCTGACGTGATGGCATCCATCAAGTCCATCAAATCCTCAGCAAAGTCGAAAGGAGGATACCCTACCAAGAGGCAGTAGGTGATGATTCCCACACTCCAAATATCGGCGGGTTTACCGTGTCCGGAGCGTTTAATGACTTCAGGTGCTGCGGGATATGCATGTTAAAAATTGGCTGTGTTTGGGGCGATCAGAAAGGAGACAACGCACCAGCGTACATGGGACTGCCACACAATGTACTGAGCAATTCATCTCCATGTACGAAATTGGACACTCCAAAATCTGCAATAACCAGATCGGCATCATCGGTACTATCCCGGTAGAGAAGATTCTCTGGTTTGAGATCCTAATACGAGTGTCATATGCTCATCAACACCCTGCCCACTCTTCCCATCGATAAAGCGACAGACACTCCGTACCCGATGCACAATATCCTTTTCATGTAGAAACGCTACAGCGTCCAGAATTGTGAATATGATCCTTGCTGCATCCCGTTCTGTGAATTTTCCTTTCTTGGCGATGCGATCATATAATTCTCCTCCGGTCGCCAGTTCAAAGACTAGGTAATGCTGCAAAAAAACCTACAGTCAATAGACCGTATAAGGAGCCCAAAGGAACTCTAGAGACCTGCAATCAAACAACCTTATCCTTTGTCTCAAACCAGTCCAAAAGAGCAATGATATGTGGATGCCGTACGGTTTGCAAGACGGCCATCTCCCTCTTAACGGCGGCTTCGACTACTTCAGGTGAATCATGCGAGGTGCGTTTTTTGATACCCTTGAGGGCTACATTGCGGCCGGTGGGGAGGTAGGTTGCTTCTTTGACGACACCAAATGTTCCTTCGCCTTTTGGGAAACGGTAAGCACCACCAAAGGAAAGAATAAGAATAAGAGGGTTTGACCTAGTATCTTGTTTGTTTTGTATAGTTTGCGTTTTGCTGCTGTTGGAGGGTCCTTTACAGCCAGATTTCGAATAGCGTCCAATAGTGTCATGGTGCAAGTAGAAATTAGATCACTGGTGAGCTGCGGGTTGCTTGGGGCTTTAGAACACTTTGTGACGCGTGCTTAGTAGCCTCCGCCTCAATAATGTAGAAAGTTTATTTTATATCGTTATTTTAAACAATCAAGAACCATCCTCAACATGCGAATCCAAGTCTTTGACGACAGTAACAGGACAATGCAAGTGATGAAGACAGTAGTCACTTACGGAACCGAGTGCCCATCTATCGAGATGACAATGATCAGAATGGCCCCGAAAGAGCAGTGCAGAGCAGTATAAACTCGACAGTTACCTTTTCAGACTGCCCAGATTTCGTGTCCCCACAACAAAGAGGCCCAAATCGGGATGTGTTTCATTAATGTACTGATCAGAAGAGCGTCGGGCTTTTTAGAATCCTGGCAGGGAGAGGAACATCTTTGGTATTGGCCATACCTCTTCAATCAACGGGCCTGTTTCGCCTTCACCTTCCACTTCAACAAATTCATAGTTGACCTGCCAACACATGATAGATGGTGAGACAGGTGACCCATGGAAGAAGAGGCGCGAGTGACCTACTTTGCCCGCATAGTTCTTTGTTAGATAACTCTTACATTCCGCTACATCTTTTTCCGCATTGGATTGGATTTCCATGTTATACGCTTTCTCCAAATGATCACTATAATCTTTGAATGTTAGAGCGATCAACTCTATACAACATCTACTAACAAAACTCACATGTAAGGTAAACTCTGCTTCGGGTTCAAAGCCACAAAATACACAATCAGCAGCTTGTACTCGACTTTAAGCTTTCGGCACAGGTCTACAGCATATTCGAGAGCCTTGTAGGAGGCGGGTGTGTTATTCGCAGCTACGAGTATTTTATATCTATCCCGGGAGAGTAAGATGGGTGTGTTTGAACCGCCAATAACATGGTATCAACTCCTTACACGCTATCCGTTTGAGTTGACATACTGAAATATACTTGCAAACGTCAAAATGTAGATGAGTGAACGAAAAGCAAAAGCGAGACGAGGCTTTTGAACGTGATGACACAGAGGGGTCAGCGTGAGTCAACGACACGCCTGATTTCAGTGTCATGGCAACAGTGTATGTCACCTTCAAATCAAGCTATCACTTCGAGTTTTTGTTTTTTACAAAGCATAATACAATGAGTTTGCAAGACTCTTCACCGTCTGCCGGTCAGGCAGAAGGACACCAGCCTACCGTTATTATCTGTATAGGTATGGCTGGGTCAGGAAAGACAACATTCATGCAGGTATGTCGTTTTTATTTTCCTAAGTTGAACCATTGTGATCTCCCCATTTACCAGCTCTTTTCTCTTTTAGCGCATCAATTCACACATTCACACTCTCAAGAAACCTGGATACGTCGTTAATCTTGATCCGGCGGTGGGACAGCTCCCATTTGGAGCTAATATTGACATTCGGGATACAGTGAACTACAAAGAAGTTATGAAGCAGTATGTTGAGTGCCGAGCTGGGTGAGGGTCAGGATGGAGTTTGACCAATTGATATGCAGATACAACCTTGGTCCAAACGGGGGAATCTTGACTGCTCTGAATCTATTCACAACAAAATTTGATCAAGTACTCAACTTGATCGATAAACGAGCCCCAACATTAGAGTAAGTTTTTGTTGTCGACTGGCGCGTTACGGACCTGGCCACCCACACACCATTTCAGCTACGTTCTCCTCGATACTCCAGGACAAATTGAAATCTTCACCTGGTCCGCCTCCGGTGCCATCATAACAGACACATTAGCCGCAACGTACCCAACCGTGGTCGCCTACATTATCGACACCCCTCGCTCAACAAGTCCCGCAACCTTCATGTCCAACATGCTTTACGCCTGCTCCATACTCTACAAAACAAAACTTCCTTTCGTCCTGGTCTTCAATAAGACGGATGTCGTGTCCCATGAATTTGCTGTCGAGTGGATGACGGATTTTGAGGCCTTCCAGGCTGCCCTGGAGGAAGATACGTCATATATGGGTGGATTGGTTAGCTCCATGTGCTTGGTCTTGGAAGAATTTTACAAAGGAATTCGGGTTGCGGGTGTATCGGCTGTGACTGGTGCGGGGATGGATGAGCTGTTCACAGCCTTTGATGAGGCGCGGAAGGAATATGAGACGTATGTAGGACATACGCTTTGCTTTTGACTTGAGATGCCTCGGTTGCTGACCTTCTGGACGTCATTGTAGTGAGTATAGACCGGAAATTGAGAGAATCCTCCGCGAGAAACAGGAACGTCAGCAAAAACAACGAGACGAAAATCTTGATAAGCTAATGCATGATCTGTCACTGGAGAAAGGACGGGAAGTGAATCTTGATCCCAAAGGTACGCATATCAGTCACTTATACCGCAACCATGGATTCTCATCATTCCTCAATAGTGGACGAGTCTCATGCAGAAGATGAGGACGAAGAGGGGATTGCAGGGGATGGTATGTCGACATGTATATCACTTTTTCTGCATGCTGGACACTCATTATGGTCATATGTAGACGCAGACGCAACCCGGGATCGAATGGAAGACATATCATTTAAACGGCTTGTAGGCAACCATGCTGGGGGATAGCGATACAGGTATATATGGAATACCAAACGGTGGCTGTCAAACGGAAACTGAGGAGTATCCATAGCGACGAGTAGCGCCTGGACAAGCATCAAATATTGTCTCTCTCGGACATGTTACCCTGTCGCCTATAGCAACGACGAGTGATTGCAAAAAACTTTCTTCACGCTATAGAAGGATGACGGCCTAGTCATCATGTGGGGTACATTATTTGTTGTGTAAATGTGCATAGGATTCTCTGCGTGTTCGGCCCTGAAATATTTACCTACAAAGAACAAAGGATGTTGGGCCTCTGAACCCTACAAATTCCAGGCTTAAATTATGAGGCCACTTTCAGTCAAACACACAGCTAAGCGGTAATGTCGAGCAACATTATATTGTCAACAATTTTCGTAACAGAACACGCAATGCGGCACAATATGCGCAAAACCAAAAGAAAATCTCGACCGTCCACCGTGGTTCTAAATATTTACACTTGATGCCAACAACACATTTTACCATGCTGATAATTCTATCTGAAAAAACAATGCTATCAAAAATATCTTGATGAGGGACGTCCGCGTTAGATACTTAACTAAGGGAAAATGTCTCCTCAAAAACTAACCCAGACACACTTCAAGGCACCGGTAAAGCCTTGAGTTCCTTTGCCATCCTCAGGTCCTTGCCCAACTCTTCCCTGGCATCATACAGGAGTTTGTACGCATTCTTCAACGTCGCCTCGGTACATCCCGCCACATTTGCAATATCCCTTGCAGACTTCATTTCATCATCTTTGGAAAGACAGCTGACAAAATAGAGGCATCCAGCAACAATGGAGATGGGGCTTTTGCCAGCGAGGGTACCGAGATGTTGGGCCCGTTTCAACACCTTTGTTGTACATGCAAATATAAGGATGGTAGCATCATTTGATACAACCATCCCATGGGCAAAGGACAATAAACGCAATGCCTTACCTCACTAGTAGCTCTTATGACATCTTGACCAACGTCCAACGCAGAAGAAAAACGGATGACATAGGAGTCTAAAGAGATTTCTTGGGAGGGCTTATCCAGGAGGGGTTGCAGGACTTTGTAGATTCGGCCAATATCCTTTTTGGACACCTTGGTGAGGGCACAAATCTCCTTGAAAGTACGGGTGTTTCCATTTTCACGACACCCAATATATATGCACGCGGCCATGATCGCTACGGGAGGTTTCCCTCTCAGAACCTTTTGATCTTCTGCTCTTTTGAACATTTGCTTGGCGGAATCAGATACTAGCTTCGATAAACCAATCCGTTCACACATGGTCTGGATTTCCTTGAACGCTGTCATCAGGTTCTTTTCGCTCTTTTGATTTGTCGCTTTGCCGTGTACCCGACTCAAATCGCGAGCTGCACCGCTACCTCCATCCCTCTGAGAGATGACGGTAGAGTCGATGTGGTTCATCCCGCCGAGGAGAGGGTCCCCAGCTGCTCCTACACGAGATGGGTCATCAGTGTTGTCGTCCGAGTTCGAGAAGGTTCTCCATTCGGACCGAGTGTCAATGATACGGTTTCCCAGCACTAGACCTTGAAGTGACAAGCAGTGTCAAGCAAATAGAAGTCATGGTTAAACAGGTAATTCAGTGAGCACACGGCACAAAGGACATGCGAGCAATAAATACCACAGTTGCCACAAATCAAGTCGCCAGCAGCAAAGTCCTCCACAATGTTTGGTACTGGGTCTTGACAGTCTTGGCAAATGAGCCGCAAGTTCAGGTCTGCGAATGGTGCTTTGGTCGCCGGTTGTTGGGAAGCCAGCTGTGTCATGACTGCTTGCACTTCTCTTCAAACGACGAACAAGAACAAGAGAGAACGCAAGCGAACGCAACTTGGCCTTATAGCCCTGCACATGTGATAGATTATGTAAGCAGTGACTATTTCAAAGCTTTTTGGGATTGTTAATTGAACACATCAATTGTTAATAGGAGGATGACTGGCTTTATGATATTGAGCGGACGCAATTGACGCAATTCAAGACTGTCAAGACTGTGAAAAGCATGAGAAAATCCAAAGAAATCATCGTTCTACTGCAAGGTGATTGGCGCTGAATTCTGCAAGGTGATGGCAAGGGCCAAATGATAATTCGATTAAACCGTTGCTCAGATCGCATCACATCGCAGCAGCGGCTCCCTCCTCAATTGGTCTTTTCTGCAACTCCGCCAAGAGGCGAGAGTGAATGTTTTGCGTAGAGGGCAGGTTTGCTGTTGACCAGCCCTCATGAGGTGAACTGCTTACGAAAAACACGTGACCACCGGCTTTGAGGCAGCAGCCAAGATCTTCAGTTTTGCAAACCTCTCTGTGGATCACAAAGAGACCTCAAACCATGACTGGCCGAAAGTATCTCAAGGATGCAAACTCCAAATTCCGAAAGCCACTGGCAAAGCAGCGGAACCCTGGCATTGCCAAGAAGGCGGAAATGATTCGACGTACGAAAATCAAAAAAGAGTATTACAAGCTATTGAAAACGGAAGGACTGGGTCAAAATGAATCGCAATTGGAGGAGGTGAGGGGCTGAGAGATTCACTGTTTTGGAGGAGCATGGGTCTCATTGCTAAGGGATGCTCCCTCTCTTCTTTCTCAGAAGGCGGATATATTTTCAAGTCAAACTGAAGAACGAACCCATGATGCACTGGAGGGATATTCGTCGGATCAGAAAGAAAAACTCTACGAATCCGCAAATGACACATCAGAAAGTGACTCTGAAAAAATTGATAAAGCAGACGTCCCCAAGTCATTGGGAAAGACAAGGCAGAGTCAAAAGAGGGAAAAGAAGAGTAAACGGTCAGGTCGCTGCTGGCATACATCCCAGCCGGAAACTTTTCATTGAAAATAATGTATTTAGACCTGCAAAGCCAAATCCATTTGGCAAGCTCATTGTGGAAGCAGAGCGCAAAAAGGCGGAACGACAAGCAGCAATAGAAGAATCCAAGCGGCTGAAAGAAGAACAGAATCAGAAACGGAAAGAGTATTATGCAAAGGTGAGGGCTTGACCAAAGTCACCAGTTGAAATGCTACTAACATTTGATGATTGACCAGCGAAACGACGTCCGGGATAAACTGCAACGAAAGACGAGGAAGGGACAGCCCGTCATGGCAAATCAGGTGTTGCACCTATTGGAAAAGATTCAGGGGATGAAATGATGACCCGTACCTGCTTCTCTTATCGCCATGTACATAGCATGCTCATCTGGACCCATATCACCTTGTATATAGTATAGTATCGTTATTTGGCATTAATCTTAGGACACCTGTGGTCACCTTATTGCTCTTTATGCTTATTTATGGACGTCCAAGCAAAATGCTAGGTCAAGGTGCGCCAGAAGGCAATGCCAAAGAGCGTTACCCATTGAAGTAATGCGCTTCTACTAGTGTCTGGTGCGCCAATGCATTACTACTGTTATTGTACGCTCCTTTCTTTCCAATCTACCCTCCCATCCTCCTCCACTGTCTGTGAGTTTGTCCCACCACCGCCACCCCGATTGCCATCCCGCTGCACAAGCCCGTTACCCCATTCCGGACCTTCGGTTGAAATCCCTTCCTTCCATCGCAGCCATCGCATACGTGGGCCCACTCGACTCCGCTCACTGACTCGGAAACCAAATATCTTTGGTGTATAGATTCTGTAATTTGACAATGGAGCCACTTGGTCATCATCGTACTCGTCATCCTCATCATCATCAAGGAAATCATTATCGTCGTATGCAGGATCCTCAGTTTCAGAATCGTCACCGTCGCGAGGGCTTCGTCGCGATATAGTTGACGCACGAGGAGGACGGGTAATCACAGGTGGAACAAGGTCGGGGTAGTTTAGAAAAAGCATGTTGGCGAATGTTGTGCCAAAGAAAGCGCCGTCGATATTTTGATATTTCGGCTAGATACAAGAGGATTTGAAGTTTGATGAGCGGCGGGGCTGATGCAGCACAATACCCGGAAATGACAAACCTCCTTAGGATGATATAAATCCCCGCATCTCGGACACAGCATCTTGACGGTATCAATCCCTGGCTGATCCGATCTCCCACAAGGCAGCACACTACATCCCCCACACAATACTCTCGGACAATGACCAAAGAGATCATTCTGATACTTGTCCCCCATGGCCTGCAACCCCTGTTTTGTCAAAATATACCGAGCATGAATCAGCCCATACAACAACTCTGCCGAGCTTTCAACAACAGTCATTTGAGGAGCATGGGTTGTGTCCTCCGGTTCCAGATCCAGTATGAGGTCCAGAGCTTCGTTATAGTAAGAGACATTGCTCGGCAGGCCCGTTAAATTAAAATCATCTTCTACAAAGTCATCGGGAACTTCGGCAAAGAATTCATGGCCTGTAATATACATCAGATATGTCTGCGGGTAGCACAAATAGACTGACCTTACTAACCTGGAAGAGAACAAAACCAACTGATCCAAGAGATTACAGACGATCCTGTACCGGAGCTGTCCGAGTACTCTTCCTCCTCCTCGTCACTGTCTGATGAGGCTGAAATCTCTTTTCAATAATTGCACACAGACCAATCTGACTGACTCTTTACACTCGATACATACGGCTTCGTGCAGCTTCTGCAGAGTTCATGGCGGCTGATTGCACTTTTGTGTGTTGCGGATGGCTCTGATCGTTGTGCGCTGTCACTGCTAGCCCTGGTATTAACACGTGACACACGCGACAATGTCGATCAGTTGTTGGGTCTGTTGCTTATCCATTGCTGACATTCAAACGATACACAGGTTGGAGGGCATTCTCAACGGAAATGCTGTTTCCAGGTTCACTAGATGTGAATTCAAGGAGGAACTTCTTACTGCATCACTACCAGCAAAACTAGCGAAAAGAAAAGGAAGCAGAAAGGCAGAAGGAAAGAACGTGTGCCGTGTAGGCCTATCGAATGGCCACATGTTATCTTCAATACCATGTGTTGCATACCACTGACTGCACCATGCCATGTACAATGCGAGCTGCATGATAGTACTTTTCGAAAGGCAGAGGTTTTTGTTCATAACGTAATGATCATATTGTCGTCAAGAAACCCAGAGATTAAATGTATGTCTGTTCTCAGCATATGCCACCGTAAAATAAGGTCCCCTACCCCAGCACGGATTTCCAGGCACATCGAATTACATTCTGGCCCCAAGAAGATTGGTAAATCCATCCATCGCGCGAGATCCGAGCAAGGATACCAAAAATGTATGTCTCCCTGTAAGAAGGGGCCTACTGGGGTTCGAACCCAGGACCTCCCGCACCCAAAGCGGGAATCGTACCACTAGACCATAGGCCCCGACGAAAATCAAGTTTCTTTGTATACATGTATATGATCGTAAAGGAGTCTTCTTCAGAACACCTCTCATGCTGTTCCTTGCGGTCGGCTGGTTAATCAAATGCCAGCTGCTCGAGGGGCCGCCGTCCAGCGGCAGCGACCAGGGTCGAATTCACTCATAGACTAGTCAAATTATTCATCATAGCATCATAGCGTACAAAAGCACAAATTTACAATTCAAATATAAGGTACAAACATCAGCAGCTGAAAATTAGATGTCTGCCATACTATACATGTACAAACAGCCGATCTTACTGCCCGGTCAAGAGCTGCTTGAACCATCGCTAGGAGGTTCTTGTCCGTTGGACGCCCGGTTCGTAGCAAAATCCCCAAATGGCGACCCGGGTCCGTTTCTATATAGGCCATCCTTCAGAGCAGTAACCGCACATGGCATACAACATCCCAAGCAACATAATGCCAAAGATAGGACCACAAATACTGGTATAAGCACCACAGCCGCAGGTGGAATGCCGTGCACACCCTGCCATTCGTTTTGCAGCCTTACTACCAGCAACCCTATGCCAGAGTAGAATACCGCCGCAAGTATACAGAATCCGACGAGGCGAGCATAGAATGCTGCTCGAAGCTCGGGACGAACACTCAGTTCAGTTGCTGCGAGACGGCGGATGCGGATATAATCAAAGATAAGAAGTGTGAGCTGCAAGATTCCCCAGATCCAAGTTGGTAGGAAGACAATGCGCCAATCCCAGGCGATGATGTCGTCGAGTTTGAGTACGAGTAGGACGCATTGCAAAATTCGCAGAACGGACAGATCGTAAGCATCCACCGCAAGGAGTATCTTCTCTTCTGAGGATAGTGGACGTGTGGGTGTAAATTGCTGTGATTCGGGATCACTGTTTGGAGCAAAGGGTGTAACGGGCACACCCTTTCGAAGCCACGACGCAAGGTCGTACGAGACCATGACCAAGTTGCATACTTCGACCGCAAACCAGGAGGCGAAGACTGCAGCCCAGCTCCAAGAAAGCTTTCCATCAAGTCTCAAGACTACCAAAATCTGGAAGGCAATGACCAAGCCCACTACTGCTAGTCTCACCAACTTCCTCCATGCCCCTTGCTTCCGTCTCCTTGCTTTCATCTCCTCTCTTCTCAAAATCCTTTCTGATCGATCTTCATTGAAACCTCCGCTGTAATTTCCGGTGTCATCTTCCACATCATCCAGCTCAACATAACCATCTTCGTCACCTGCTGGCGCAGTCAGGACGCCCAGCACTACAATGGCGTCGACAATAAAAAGTGGGATTGCAACTACACCCCAAGACCATGCCACTTTGTGATCAGCGCGAAGGGACACGAAAGTCGGAAATAGGATTAGGATGGCAAAAAGGATGGATCCAAATATAAAGAAGGAATTGAGGGCGAGGAGGAGGTCCGGGTCAGCAAAAGGTGTACCGGCCATTTGCGACAACACGTTGATGCCATTTTCGCCCTGGACGCATTATTAAATATACAGGCAAAGGAGATGTACAGGTAACAAATTCAGAAGAGACGAACTCACATATTGATCATAAATCTTTCTCTTTTTTTCGTCACTCAACACTTCATACGCTTTGACAATTCCTTGAAAGACTTCAGTGGCATTCGGATCCTGACCGGTTTTATCTGGGTGGTAACGGAGCGCCAGTCGACGATAAGCCTACAAGTAGTGCATAATCTTAGACAAAGTAAACCACGGTATAAAGAATTAGTGAGACGCAAGTACCTTTTTTATTTCGTCGGGAGTTGCCGATCTCTCCACCCCAAGTATCTATATCATGCGGTTATTCATGTCTCAGTTATCTGCATCAGACGACGCGCAGCAGGTATACCACATACTGCATAATAGTCGGTAGTCGGTTGCGGCTCGGGAAGGTTCATGGTCAACGGGAGATGGCCATGGGCGGAATTGTTGAAAGCCAAAGTCTTCAGCCTCAATGAAGCACTCCTTTGATGCCTTCACGTGGCACGGATGACACACACCTCCGATTTTCAAACGACAGATCACCGCCCACCATGCCCAACATCATTGCAAGATTTCAGGCTCGCCTGGCACTTGGCTCTCACCCACCCAATGTACCACCAATTATCTTGCACTCCAGACCCTCTTTAGATACAAAAAAGCCAGCTGCGGATATATTTCACGATAATGATCTACAAAGAATTCGGTGGGCGTTAAGGTTGAAGGACCTGGATTGGTATGAATGTCCAGGACTGGATGGGGGAGCGGTGCATCGAGTTGCTGGGACAAGACTTGGAAAGATCCCTGTGCCTATTGTGCAGATAGGAAAGGACATGTACTGGGGAGTAGGAAGCGTTATGAGAGCTTTGGAGCGGAGGTGAGTCAGGCTCGTTGTTTTTCTCAGGATGATAGGAGGAACTTAGTTTCTACATAGATTTCCGTACCCTACACTCTATTCCGGTCCCGTTGCAGCCGCTGGGTCACAAACACATACTCGGCACCACGAAGGTCTCTCTGCCGCCCTTACGAGTTGGTGCGATAAAGTATTCCGACCCGCTCTCGTTCCTCTCCACACCAATCCTCGATACCCAGTCGCCCAAGCTCATCCCGTCCACTTTCATCTCCAAACTGTTGAATCCATGCTAACTGAATCCACTCCGATGTCCACAAATGACTTTACGTCCAATCGATCTTTCATCGTGGATCAAAGTGAATCGCCAGAGTCAACTCAATGGCACGGCATCCACAGATCGACCACCCATCCGCACATGACCGACCTTATGCTGGGATCCACAGCTCTTTTGGCTCGCTCTGTGCCTTCTCTTCGTTCCACATGGACAGAAACCTATCCGCTCACTGCCTCCTGGCTCGATCGCCTATTAGATTACTTGGAGAAGCGGACGGAAACAGGGGTTGCGATTTCAGCTGAGGATGCTGTACAAGTGCTAACGCGGAAGTTTACAGTGGGAGAGTGCGGAACAGTTCCTCCGCAGTCTGAGATTGTGGAGGTGGAGCTGCAGAATGGAGCTACCATTAGCGGCCAAGTAGTGACTGCGAGCAAATGGGACGTGACGCTTGGAAGGACTGAAAGTGTCGTCGGGGAGGAAGGTCAGGTGGAGTCGATCTGCTCCGTCACGCTGCCAAAGGATGAGATTGGTGTTTATAAAATTGTTGAAACATCAAAAGGTTTGGGCGACAAAAAGATCAACTACATAGATTGATTCAAAATGTCCATCCGAAGGGGGGTTGGAGCATTTGAAAAATGGGTTGCCCATTCAACTGCTTCTCTGTCTGGCAAAGGGCGTAGATGTGCATTACTCTAGATCGTAAATGCTTTGAGAATAACATAGAATAGACTCCAACCAAACTTGGTGTGGGACATCTATAAATGGACCAATGAAGTGGAATCCAGGTACCATCCAAAATGTGTAAGATTCATATTAGCTTTAACATGCAAAATATCGACGGGTATATATATCAGTTATATCTAGGGAAATTACTGTGTAGTTTTACGTCCTTGTAGTCTCGCCGATCTTCTTACATTTCTTGGCGACGTGGTCAACTCAGGGGTGGTGTCCCTCTTCCGGCGCCCTCCAGAAGTACGCCGACCTTTTTTACCACTTCCTTTGTCATCCTCCTGATAATGAACGGACCCAGTACTACTCCTTCTATCCCCTTCAGTATTCACATCCGTCATAACACTATCCGCATTTGAATTAAGGCGAGAGTTTTCGGCCGCAGGGGCATGTGTTGGCGCCCCGGGTGTGCTCACAGGGGAGATATTTGCTGTCGCAGGACTGTCATCAAAGTTTGAATGCATTTTCGTTTTCTTCGGAGTTCGCGGCAATGGAGGGGTAGACTCTCGTTTCCGGTTTTTCTTTGCCGGTGATAACAACGTGTCGCCGCGTATGAACTGAGGTATGGGATCGACTGTATCAGGTGCCATTGACAGAGGTGACCCATTGGAAGCTTGTGATTTCTTGCAAGGGCGGGGTCAGTCAATAACAGAGGGTGTATTTCGGGAACTGGTGAACCAACCTTCATCCAGGGGTGATCAAGGGCCTGATCAACAGTAAGCCGCTTCTCAGGGTCCACAGTGAGAAGGCCCTTTATCAGATCAATAGCTGAGAAAAATAAGTCATAAATGAACAGAGCCTGTAGCCAGCTGCCGAACTGCAACTAGCATACCTTCTGGGGATACACGGTCCCACCATGGCGATTGGAACTTGTATATCCCTTGTCGGATCTGGTCTGGCATACCCGGAGGACTGAGCTCTTCGGAAAAAGGAGGAAACCCGCACAAACTGCATCCCATTGGTTCACAATAGCTAAAATAGGCATCTAGCAACAGAACGTGAACCCACCATATATACAAAATAACGCCGCAGCTCCAAAGGTCTACAGCCTTCGTATACGCGCGCCCGGTGCTAGGAGCCAAAACCTCTGGTGCAACGTAATTTGGAGTCCCTTTAAAGCTGGCTAAATTAGATTCCATACGGCCAAACGGACAAGTGCCCGTAAGTGTGACTTTCCATTCCACGTACCACATAATGTCCCATAAAATGAATCTTCCCCGGCTAACTTTGCAAGTCCAAAATCCGATATCTTTATCCGCAAGTCTGCAAGATCCCTCGAGACGAGAAGTATATTTTCTGGCTTCAAATCTGGGGGCCGGTCATGTCAGCAGAGAGGCCGTACAAGTCATGCTGCTTGCCAAGCAAACACGGGAATGGTCTTACCTCGGTGTGTTATCCCACGGTCATGCAAATACTACAGTGAGGAGGACATAAGTCATCACTCGCGAATGCAAAAGAATCTCCTGGACAAACCTTCAGGGCTGAAAACAATTGAAACATGACCTTTCTCGCTACACTTTCCGAGAATTTCCTATGTTCCACTATTGCGTCAAAAAGCTCGCCCCCTTGCACCCTACAAATAGATTAGTATAGTTAGAGGCGAAGTCGCGAATATAAAAGGTGAGGTGAACTTCTGCTCACTAACAGTTCCAGCACAATGTATACATATTGAGCTTCGTCATAAACGCCGTTAATTGAGACGATATTTGGCTTTGGGGTATAAAAAGTTAGTATGGTATCCGCATCCAGCACTTGCACGGGAACATACGTGTCTAAGACCCATAAGAATGGCTATTTCCTGGCGCAGGTTTTCTATAAACTTTGGCTTTGCCCGTATTCTACTTTTCAGGACCACCTTAATGGCGACTTTTTCTCCGGTCTCTCTATCAACTGCAAGCTTCACGGTAGCGAAATTGCCACTGCAAACATAAGATTGAGCGAATCGCCGAGAATGTAAGTTTCAAGAAATGGGAGTGTCTACCTTCCGATAGATTTCGTGATCAGGTACTTGTCATGGATACTCTTCCGGGCGAATAATTGTAAGTACCGTGTGCTGATCGTAGCTTAAAGCGCATCCAAAGACTCACATCTCCACTGGCGTGAGATTTCCTCATTCGTCGTGGAAGTTGAAACATGTAAACTGGACTTGAACTCGTTAACCGGCTGGAAATTACAGGCGATCAATGCACAAGCTACCCACATCGATCATCAAAAGGCTCTCGATTTGTCTTTTGTGGATCAGATATAGCCAGCTGTATCTCATCCCCATGTTGAAGACGGTATTGCTTGTTACGGCCGAGGTGTTTACCGTTGATAAACGTCCCGTTGGTGCTATCGAAGCAGGACAGTTGTTAAGGATACCTTGCCAGACCATACCCCAGGAAAATCAAGTAGCCAACCTTAGGTCTTCTATGAAGACGCATTCCTCCATGCAATTCAAGTGGTCATTCCAGCAATTCTCCTACAAATAGGTTGAATAAACAACACACAGGTGGAACATACCAAAGGTGACCTTGACGCTACCTTATATATCAGACAATGTCTGTTGGAAATTTGTGGGTTGGTGAATCTGATATCACACTCTAGATGACGTCCCAGTAGATAGCCGGCTCTGCTTGGCGCAGCAGAGTTCTGTTCATGACTGGCAAGGGCTTTGGACAATAAAAAGTCGTCATAGTCCGGGTTCAGGGATCTTAAAACACCCCAAACTGACGGACTTTCTTCCTCTTCATTCACCGCTGGTGAGAACGTATCCAGCGTCTCCCCAGCAGGTTGAGTAGCTTCCAGGTCCTTGTCGTTCATTCGAAGCGGAAGGTGAGCAAAGGACAAGCTGCCCGTCCGATATCGTCGTGTGAGCTGACACTCCACTATTCCTCACGTGCAAGTAAGATGGGCAATATTCGCGCATACCCAAAAGTTGAATTAAAAAACACTACTGGAAGCTATTCAAAGGGGCCTACTGGGGTTCGAACCCAGGACCTCCCGCACCCAAAGCGGGAATCGTACCACTAGACCATAGGCCCCGATGCATTTGGCGGAATCCTGAAGATCATATATCTTATACTGACTTCCTCAAACACCAAACCGTGTATATAATCGTCCTTTGGCATTTATCTTGTAATTGTCATCATCCAAGGTACGAAAGGTGCGCAGGAAAGCCGGCGAGAAATGTATTGGCGAGGCGTCAATGATAAGTATAGTATCAAGTACGTAAAGTTGTTTGCATGGGTCATATAGAGCACGTGATACGTCGCTTCGGTAAGCTCTTGTCCCGTTGACCGTCTTGCACTTCTGGCAGGATTGTATGATAGGCTTTACGACCATCTATTGCGCGGTTCCATAGTGCACAAGTGCGCGATGATGGCACAAGGAAATTCACAGGTACAGATAGATTGCTCCGGCCTGCAAGTCAAATGGCGAGCGAGACTGGCCAAGCCAGCCGCTAAACAGGCTGGCCCGCCGCCCTCATATCTGGCACTTGGGGGTCGCTGCCGATTCACGGCTCTTTCACTAATAGCTGCCTGTATTTCTTTGCCTTATGCAGGACTTTTTCAGAATGGATGTACACGACTGGAGATATGAAATGCGACGAGAGATGCAGGAGATCCTTCCTGGTCTTTGGCTCGGCCCATATCAGTGTTCAAAGAATAAGGAGCTACTAAAGTCAAAGGGCATAACGCATGTACTATGCATACGAGATTCAAACGAGCGACATGTCGTCAAAACCACTTTCCCAGATGACTTTGTCTATCATGTCATGTATGATATCAGTCGTGTTTCCATGTCCGATGGTAGGAAGATGAGAAGATATCTGACCTCCTTTGTTGTTTCTTGATTTTCTATCAGAGAGGTGTCCGAATCCCCCATGCAAAACCTAATACCATACTTTCCCGACGCGAAGCAATTCATCGACTATGCACTAGAACAGGGAGGCCGTGTTCTTGTCCATTGTAATAGCGGCATATCTCGATCACCTTCATTCGTTGTCGCCTACGTCATGATGTCGCAGCGATGGGGCTTCCAAGAATCTTTCACATTCGTTCAAAATAAAAGATTTTGCATGAACCCTAACGAAGGATTCAAATATCAGTTGAAGGTCAGTAGAGATCTATGTTGGAAGTCTGTATATATCTGTGGCCAACAGTGGTGTCATAGGAATTTGAGCCAATCTGGAGAGCCAGCGATGACGAATTCATCAAAAAATATACCCATGAGCAGATTTTACAACAAGGAAAACTCAAACGGATGATTGATGATGATGGCAGTGACGAACAAGACGAGATGGTTTGTAGGATTGATTTCATTGCGGGCCCCAACAGCTGGCTTACAATTAAGTTTTCGCAGCAAATTGCAGCGTAGACTTTGCTGACGTGTGTTAATTGCGAGACTGCATTCTTCTTCGATTCTTCTGTTCCAACAACACACAGAGGACAACGTGATTTCTCAATGTAAATAGTATTGCGATTTAGCCATGAAATATTTAAATTTATGATATCAACAGAAGTTTGGACAAAAAAGCGTAGAATCTTCTCAAGTACATCAGCCGATCACACAGCTTTGCATGTGTGGCTGCTTGTTCTGATTCCCTGGCGTTCTGGATGTGCCGGTCGATTTGAGTTCCGGGCTTCAACCTTTCACCCCATATTAGCACACAAGTCACTACTTTTCGCATGCGGAACATCAAAGTCTAACAATATCTCACCACTGCATATTCAATGAAGGCCGATTTGCGCGGTCACTGAAATTTGTGAATGAAAGTTGTTTTGGCTCATCCGAAGGAGTGCTATATCGGTCAATGACCTCATGTGCTTCGAACAAGAGTGAGTCATAGACTTCATTCAGCTCTTCGTTCAAAATCCCTAGTCCTCGCATAAACGGTAAAGAATCCTTTTTGAAGGTGTTGACGGAAGACCGATACGCTGTATTCAGAATTATGGCAACTGGTTCCACACTGTTGGTCGTTTGTTCGAGACTCATTCCCGCACAGAGCATCTCCTCCCGTGAACCACAGATTGGGTGCGGTGAGCCCGTTAGTGAACGAGCAAGCAAAAGCAGAGCCTGGATGGATGTGATTAAAATTAGACAACCGCACATAGCCGGAGAGGATATGGGGAGCCTTGCTTCACCTTCGCATTTCTGGAAATAGGGCTGTTACTATGCTTATAAGATAACTCTAGTAGCTAGTTTCGAGATATTGGTGAGAGGCACTTCCGGCTATTAAATAATTGAACTTTTGAGGTCACCTCATAATCCCATCGTGTAAACGCCCGCTCGCCCCAGTTTCTCCGCGTTGCTGCAACCACATCTAGTCTTTTGTGTAGCCAAGTGAGATGATTTCTGCACTCGAAGAGCCGCTTTTCCAGTTCTCGATCTGACATCGTCGCCATGCGGAGACCAGCTGAGCTTGTGAGAGGAACGCTAGTTGCACGCACTGGTTGTGAGGAAGTTCCCGAGGTCACGTCTGGCTGGGGCACTGTATTGTTGAGTTTTGCTCTTTTGGACTTAGGACCATCTGTCTCGTCATACTCATGTGATGTACGCTTTCGAGAGAGGGCATGTGATGCCAGTTCTGTTGTAGCATCGGAAGAAGGGCACGTTGGCTGAGCTTGAATTTTTTGACACATACCCGGAGCTCGGCATTCAGTATGGTCCGGTTGACAGGGAGCAGCACCACTCTGGTCTACAGTGGCCTGTTTGGCGTTTTTGGCAACCCGTTTCCGTCTGCGATTTTTCTTTCTGCCTGTGGGTTGGGGAGCTACAGACAGCTGTAATGATGCTTGATTTCCAGCATGCTTCAGGTCGGTACTGGACAGTATGGACGAGACAACATTGGTCTGACAACATTCACTCTCAGTGTGAGAGGTTGCCCTGGCGAGCCCACTCGCACTAAGAGAAGGAGCTGGGGCCATCGGAATCCGTTCCGGGTCTTTGTCGGAAGGTTCCACTGGCATTTCGGTTGCTTCTGGGCCAAGTGGTTCAAGGATTCCCTCATGCAGCGCATTTCCTACCGCATCGGATTAGCCGCCTGTCCCTTGAGCTTTTTCACGGAAGGGAGTAAAATCACCTCTTGTCGCTAGAATGTGCTTGATTTCGTGGCATAGACTGATCTGGTTGGCCACATATCCTCGGTCATCAATCTCTTTTTCGAATGCCAACTTGTTCATGGTTAGATGCCACTTTGGCTCAATATCAGATAAGTACAGGGGGTCGTACCATTTCTGAGCCATCGATTTTGGCCGGGTGGACAGGGAGACCGCATATTTGCCTGGCCTTGGCATCCGTGACATTGAAGAACCCACAAGATTTACACCTTGTGCCTACACTTTCCAAACTCGTTTTCCGCTCATTCAAGATTGAACTACGCGTCGCCAGATCTTCCCCACTAGCATCTTTCACCAATGAAAGAGTCTTGCACACCAGAGCCAAACAGTTTTCGCAAGGGAAGAGTGTGGTAGCGCACCTGGCGCTGCAACCAGAGTGAGAAGAGTCCACCAGTACATAGCATCAGAATGCGTCTTACAACTCACCAGAAAAGCTCACCATGACTATCGAAATTTGACAATCTCCGCACCTGAATTGACGGTGCGGCAGTAGAGCACACAGAGTTGGGACACAGGAACTGTTTTTTAGCGGGCAAGATCATTAGGCATAATGGTGTGGGCGGGCGGGAGCACATATCAAGATGCCAGCCACTACAATATCACGTGACTAATAGCCGACTTGGTACCCATTGTTTTGTCCGATACTTCTGCCGATCTACATCCAGTGCATAGCGGCAGACACGATCCTTAATAATTTATATGCCCTTCCAACCATCTTGCAGTTTTGAAGCGCTGATTGCCTGACCATAATGCCTGGCATTTTTGTTACAAACACAAGCTGTCTCCTCAAATTGTAATATCCTGAAGAAGAAGCAAACTACGTTGGAAACCCGAATGCAAGCTATTGCGATATTAAAGAAACTCGGGTTAGAAATTCGTAGCACGTCTGTTTAACGACCGTAAATATTTCATGCGTACCCGTACTTACCTCAGAGCACATAGTGTGGAGGCGAGTGAAAATGGCACTAGGACCCATTATTATCCGGATTAATCCGGTTAATCATATCGCACCCCCATCTATTGCTCAAAGCAGTGTGGCATGTATTGTAATGTTTTTTTTTTTAAACTGCGGTGAGGCACATGCCGAAGGTCTATAAAAGGGGACCTGCTCCCTCTTCCCTCTTTCCTCTTTATCCCTCAACTCACAAGCATCTGCGCAACGCTCATTGCGACCCACGTTGCAACCTCATAGCGACCCACATTGCAACCTCATCGTGACTCGGTCAACCATGAGAACGCCGATGTGGTGGTGTCGAGGACCTCGACCGCCCGACAGCAACCGTGATCAGAACCAGCGGCAACCGATCGGATCCGATACCAAAACCTACTATTATGCTGCCACATTAGTTGAGCTTGGTTGGTATGTATCAATGGCATTTCTTGCATTTCTTGTCATCGGGTCATCTTCTGACATGCAGTTTTTTTCTCTAGTCTCCAAGCCTTGTCACTGAACATCCCCCAGCTTGTGACGCTGCCCAGTCGATTCGCTCCTGGATGCAAGAGTGTGGCTTCAATGCCATCAAGAGTTCCAGATCAAGGCCTAGTAGGGACCGCGTGTGGTGGTGGGCAATTATCCGGTTAGAACCAACTGTTACGTATTGCGTGTATAATTGCCTAGTAGTAGCTTAGCTTTTCCGAACCGGTTGTCGCCGGTTTATTCCCTGGTGTAGTAGCTAGTGCCAGTTTCTGTCACCTCTACACTAACAAGCCAAGAACGCAAACTCATTTTTAATGCGTATTTTCTTGTCCGTGGTGCGTTCGATCCATGCCTTGAATTCCTTGAATTTGGAAAGGATAGTCTCTGCTTCCTTGTTTGAGATGCAGTAAGTAACGCCGTACCTAGAGGTGTGCTCATTTTTAATTAAATAATAAGTGTGCAGGATATGGATAATGTCACTGGTTGTATCCAACCTCAATGGTTCAATTGTTTCGGAATGCTGAAAGTGGCACTTTCACATTTAGTCTATGAACTCCCCATCCACTTCGAGTCACAATTGAGGAGATTCATTTTCTTTCCCGTCTCGATGGTCGAAAACAGTTCACTTTCGAAAGAACTTATCCAGCATACTCGCAATAAGCATAGGAGCCTAGAGACCCGCATCTCTGCTGTTAAAGCTCTCAGAAACTCAACAGCTGCTGCAGTATGTTCCACTTTTAAAGTCAACCGTAGAACTCTATTTCGGTGGAAAAAACAATGGGAAGAAACCCACGACCTTCGTCCACTGAAGAAGAAGGGACCTGACTTCAAGCTTACCGAAGACGATCAACTTCGTCTTCTATCAGAGTTTAGAAAGAATCCTGGATTGACAAACCTGCAAGCTGCTCGTTTGTTCGACAACAGGATCAGTCCAAGGACTGTTTCACAGTACTTGAAAAGAGCGAAGTTCACGCGCAAGTTATTCAGTGACGAACAAGAGACCTATTCTTCGGAGGAATCCTTCCAGCTTGTCAAGGATTATTGCGCATTAATGAGAACCATCCCAATGTCGCGGCGAGTCTACATGGATGAGAGCTTTATATATGACAACGAGGCTCCGGGACGAGGTCGTAGCGTACAGGGATGCCCTATATCACGGGAGCGTTCCAGGCATGGAAAGCGATGGACAATATATCTTGCGATCAGGGAAGACGGATTGGTTCATCCACCGATCGTTGACGCAGAAGCGGCTAATGACCTAAACTTCTACCATTATGTATGGCAAAATTTGGTTCCGAATTTACGCCCGAATGAAGTGGTCATCTGGGATCGTTCGGGTAAAGCGGGACGTTGTGTGAACCCTTCAAAGCAGCACTTCAATCCTGGCGTTCGACGACTTATAGAAGACAAAGGATGCCAAGTTGTCTTCTTACCCCCACGAGGAGAAATGTATAATCCGGTCGAACTGGTATTTGGAACTCTGAAGACGCATCTGCGGAATCTGTACACTACGAGTGTAGCTTGCTCGGAACAACGTCCCCGAACGGAGGCCGAATTGATCAGAGACTTGCAATCTGCTGCTAGTAGGATAGGTCGTGAACAATTTGAAGGTTATTTTCGAGAGCGAGGCACTGAGAGGGCTTTCAGAGCAGTGTATCCACATATCAGTTTGTAGTGTATTCCTATATATTAGCTGCCGTAGCGTTTATGAACCTTCGTTGACGGTGACTTTATTGGGAATAAATCTACTCTAATCCCACTAGCCCTAACCGATTTTGCCCATACGTTTGCAAGAGCTTCTGCACCTGTTCTTCATCATTTGTTTTCTTCCACAGTCCCGAAATCTCGACTAACCTGCTCGAAGACCGAAGAGAAAAGTCAGTCAGACACGACCAGATTGCATGGCATGAAATACGCACCCTGTGTTTGAGACGGCGAGAGAAATGGTAACATAATCTCGGAGGTTGACGGACTCCAGAAGGGCACATGCTTTCTGGGTGGCAATCGTTTTTTCGGAAACGAAGGGCATTTCCTGGATGCTTTCTGCCACGTGAGCCATAACCTCGGCATCCGTTGGATAATGACTGGGAGTTAAAACCAGGGTTGTTATCCCTACGTTCATGCCGGCGGCGTCGTTCAAGAGACAGCCAGTGTCCGAATCCATTCGGTTGAGAACCAAAGACCATCTTCCCTGCGAACCTTCGAGGAACCTTCGCCACCCTTCCTCCAGATTGTTCCCAACTAGATACACTACCGACATATCAAGGATATACATCAAAAACCGACCACTCTCGTCTAGCAATAACAGACAATCATCCGTCGATGGGAGCGGGATAATACAATGACGACGAAGGAACGGTATGTCTTCGTAGATATCTTCGAAATCATCCCTTTCCCAGGAACGAAAGGTCATGCCAGGAGCCTCATTTGCGAACGCCTCCATGAGCGAAAAATGGACCTGTCCCAGATCTCCGCAACTGGACCCTGCCACACGAGGTGATGGCACATCTGATGGCAATCCCGACAGAACTCCTTGGGAATGTAATGCGGTACCGGTCTGCGACGTCGGGAGTTTCTGATCCAAGTTTTGAGAAAAAGACGAGATGCTGGGTGGCACGTTGCTGCCACTGCCAGAACTTCCGCACAGTTGGCTAGAGGATGTGCCTCTCTTGGGTGAACATTCGGGGGTAGAGCTCCCGATGATACATGAGTCGCGCGGTGGCCAATTGGTTCTGTAATATCGCCCTCTCCCGTCGCGGAACCGCGGCTACCAAGGAAGCCCCGAATGCTATCGCATTGAACGTTGTCCCGTGCACCAAACTAGAATCGTAAACGTTTTCGGGAGGTAAATGTGTCTGGGATGAAGGATAGGCCCGAAAATCGTAGACTCCGCCACCTGAAATACCGCCGTCAAGAGAGGTACCACATGGGTTTCCAGGAGCGCTAGGTTCAGCAATGCGAGTTGCGATAGAAGGCTCGGGAACAATGCTGCTATCACGTCGTAAACGGTCTAAAGAAGACGTGGCCGGAACGGTTGCTGATAGTATTCCCTGGGGTTTGGAAGGTAACATTGACGAGTGCTACAATTGATTGGAATAAGTTTTGAACGTCACAGACGCAAGTCAAAAGCTCTTACTTCAACAACGAGCGCAAGATTGTGTTCAACTCGCTTGTGCCTTCGCACAGCCAAGATAACGACCTTTCACCACAGTATAACAAGTCAGGTAAATCCGTAGACGTGAGGCGCGGCACTATGTCGGCAGGCTCAAGATTTTGTTGCATTTAGTCGTCCCTTCGTCCAGGGAACTCGGTGTGCAATGAATGACCTTATGACAGACTCTCCAATTGCGTCCGATGTTGCCATAGTAGCAGCAATTACATGACTACGTAATCAATGCGCAGTCGGGGTGGTTAATCGCATTTATTCCTTTCATTTAAACCACTAAAACCAGGTGACATTATCCATGTCCTGCACACTAATATAGTCGGAATTACTATCACTTAAACCTGTTCCATACTCGAAGAAAATGAAATAATATGCCACTTTCCGAATCTAAGAGTTGGAGACCTTTATTGCACGAAAGGAAGCTGATTAGCATAGGGGACAGTTCAAGTAATTAGGAGTTTCCACAGAGAGTTAAGAGACTTGGGAAATTGCATGCAGAGCGGGACGAGTCGGTCGCGACACTGGTAACCTATGAGGGACTCATATATAACGGCGAGGGCACTCGCTCATGACTAGCGGAACAGTATATTGATGGGTGTTGCGTAAGTATCATAACGGGGCGTAAGTAGGGGTAGACGAATGGTATACTCCCATACCTAGACCAGCCGAAGTAACAGTCGCAACTTGACGGTACCCTATTCTCCGGCCCTCAACTGCGAAGAGACCCAATTGCATATCAAGGACTTCCTATAGCCGGGACGCAAGGAATTGTGGCATCAGTGGCAACATAAACGCGGCGTGAGGTATTGTGTTCTGTGTAGACTGCTGTTTACTTGCAATGGTCGCTAGCTGTGGCATTGCCAGAAAGTCAAACGAGGCTTCTGTAGCAGACAATCAGCACGTTTGGAACTTTCCATTTGCAAAATTAAAGATCTTGGAATTATACCTACGCGTCATGGGAGACATTTATAGAGTAGAGGTGACAGAAACTGGCACTAGCTACTACACCAGGGAATAAACTGGCGACAACCGGTTCGGAAAAGCTAACTAACTAACTACTACTGGGCAATTATACAGTAACAATTGGTTCTAACCGGATAATTGCCCACTACCACACGCGATCCCTTAGGCCTTGATCCAGAACTCTTGATGGCATTGAAGCCAGAGTCTTCGCAACATTGGGGAGACTCACAAGCTGGAGGATCTTCAGTGACAAGGCTTGGAGACTATAAAAAACTGCATGTCAGCAAGATGAATGACAGAATGAAAAGAAATGCTGTTGGTACATACCAACCAAGCTCAACTAATGTGGCAGTATAATAGCAGCTTTGTTGGTTCCGAGTGGTTGCTGCTGGTTCCAGTTGGTTGTAGTCAGGAGGGCGAGGTCCTCGGCACCACCACATCTGCATTCTCATGGTTGACTGAGTCGCAATGTGGGTCGTGATGAGTGTTGCGCAGATGGTTTGAGAGTCGAGGAGCTGGTGAGGAAGGGGAGAGACAGCAAAAGGCCCCCTTTTATAGACCTTTGGCATGTGCCTCACTGCAGTTTAAAAAAAAAAACATTATATGCATGCCACACCACTTTGAGCAATAGATGGGGGTGCTGATTATGCGATATGATTAACCGGATTATCCGGATAATAATGGGTCTTAGTGCCATTTTCAAGCACCTCCACACTATGTCGGAGCTTACGGATATTGGGTTTAACTTAATTTAGAATCTGTGGATTGCTTTGCCGACGAGAATACATTTTGATTGGCTCATACGCCTATTTTCAGCATGGACTTATTACGGTACCTACGCTTCTATGATCTTGGTGTACACAAAAGAATGCCAGGGCTCTTGATGAGGCACCGTAGCTTTTCTGTTTGGAATAAATGCCCTTTACCGCAATTGGCCTCTATCTTCACACATAAACGCTGAGGAGCGATATGCATGCCCCGTGTGAAGGTTGGAAGGCTTCTCAAGTCAGGCATTGAAACTCGCAAGTCGGTTTCAAAAGCCGACCAAGTTCATATAGGACGGGCTTTGTGGAATGAAAATGGAAAACAGCAGAAGCTATGTACTACTTACGCGTCATCCTGACCGCTATTCTACATTTCTACCTAGTGTCGGGTCAAAAATATCACGCTCGTCAAGAACAAATCATTGCCCTGACGAGGTTCGGAAAAGAAACTCATTCCATGATCTGCATCTAGTTCATCCTGCATGGAGAAGGCGTAGCCTTGATTTCACCCTGGTTGTAAAGCCACGCCGGGTGTTGATGTTACTACCAAACATTTTGCCAAAGTAGGTTAATATACGCTAGACCTGAGATGAATATGCCCACCACGTGATATGTCATGTGACAGGCTGTGAGAATGGAATGACGACCCCACAGTGTTCAAGCAGAGTGTCATCGCGGAAACATGAACGTCTTCTGTAGAAAGTCGACTGTTGCTGGAGTGAAACGGGACCTTTTGCAGGGATTGTCACACGGCACTACTGCACGCGGACGTTGCTCATGTCTTATAATTGCATCGAGGCGATATCACGCAAGTCATGTACTCCGAGAAACCAGCACGGCCTCCCATCCTGAACTTGATGAAAAACTACACGCAGTTCTAGCAGACTTTAATGCACCAGTGAGATACGCGGTTGCTTATGGCTCAGGCGTCTTTCGGCAGAAAGGATACAAGCAGACCAGTGTGGGCGCGAAGGTAGGAGCTGCAGCCTCGTAGCTTTTGAAGACGTCCACTCACGATGAGCAGGATGCACCAATGGTTGATTTTATATTCGGTGTCACTCATCCGGAGCACTGGCATTCGCTAAATATTCGACAAAATCGTCACCATTATTCTGCGTTAGCATACCTGGGGAGCAATGTTGTATCGAAGGTGCAGGAGCGAGTAGGAGCCGGCGTGTATTTTAATCCAGACGTACATGTGGGAGGGATGGTGGGTAATGCGGGTCCTTTTGTGGTTTCTCAGGTTACTTATCTGGCGCTCTGATTATTGCAGAGGATCAAGTATGGTGTAGTATCAATGGATCGCCTCATCCGAGATTTAATGGAATGGGAAACCTTGTATCTGGCTGGACGTCTGCAGAAACCCGTACGTATATTGTCTGTATCTAGAACGCTTGCCACCGATACTCTTACTGAAGAGCGAGCCTGCAAAAGGTCAAAGTATTGCGAGATGATGCCCGAGTCAGCCTCGCAAATCGTAAAAACCTTCGAACGGCCGTGCGCACAGCTTTGCTGCTTCTCCCCCAGCACTTTACTGAAGAAGAACTATTTACCACGATTGCAGGACTGTCATATAAAGGTAATCGGTGATATTTACAGTCCCGTCTTCTTCACACATTGAATACGGCTGCTGCAGGGGATTTCCGTATGCGCTTTGGGGAGAACCCTCATAAAATTTACAACATAGTATACACTCAGATGGACGCTTTTCGAGAGATATACAAGCCCATTGTAGAGGATCTGCCAAATGCGAACTACCTACCTGATGGAACCATAGAGGTAGGTGTTTATGCTAGTTAAGGTCTAGATCGAGGTTTGGAGCTGACGAACGACTCTCGATACGATATAGCAAGACTACAACGTGAGACTACGGGCGTCGCTGGTTCAGAAACTACCCAAGCACATGAATGCATTGGTGCAGAATTATCACCGGTGGTACATTTCCCGTACGGAGAAAATAAGGCAGCTAGACATACAAGAGCCAGAGCTGTCTGCCTCTGTAGTCTCATCGCCCGAATTGCCCCGATATATAGAAAAAAGTATGTTGTTTATTCCGTACAATATAGCAACAGCTTGTTTCTCACAAAGGTGTGGTATCTTGTAGGTTTGGCAGACATTGTAAGACGTCCGGCAATCACCCAGTCGATCAAAGGAGTGTTTACGGCTGGGCTCGGTCGGGCATTTGTATATGCGAAGAACAAGCTGGCAAAATTCATTGCTGGTCGGAGCCGCGCACCATAGGGCCGGCATTGTAACTTACAATAACGTGATATGCGGAAATACATGCAACTTACCCCATCCTACTCTAAGGACTAATGCAACCAATTACCACACTGCTATCCAATCTGCTAGTCTCTAATCTACATGCCCCCTCTTAGTCTTGCCATCACAGCGGGGTAATTCCTTGCTACGTACAATTGCGCCGCCGCAGCCTATATGGCGAAAAGAAAGCAGTCAGTAAGGGGATATTGGCGATACCCATTTGCAGAGCATACCTCACGCAATGCAATAGCGTTCGCAAGCTCCGGTTCCGTCCTCGCGAGATCAGCCTAAGATGAAGCCCGTTTTAGATTATCATAATAGACCCCAAATATATGTTTTCCACTCACCGCTTTGTCATATGCATCGAGCGATTCTTCGAATTTGCCCTGGTGGAGAAGGAGTTGTGCCAATTGTGCGTACGCCATATCACAGAGTGGATCCACTCCAATCGCCTGATTACAACAAAACCGAGAGTGGCCAAGCCTTAGCACGTGACGGAATTTGGCAATAATGTGGGTTGATGCTCCCCTACCTTTCGGCATTCTGCCTCTGCAGTGCTTGCATCCTGTTTCCATTGAAGGTATAGTATAGCTGCAGCAAACCGCCGAGCAATTAGCGCATGTCAGCGGATGTCCTTCGTTCCTCAAAGTCGTACCTTTGTTTATGTACGGCAAGGGAGAATTGGGCATCATTTCAATGGCTTTATCGAAGTTTGCCAGGGCTTTTAGAGTTACCGAATTAGTTCTCTCAACACAGCTCAGTACGCAAGAGCAAGGTTGTTACCTTCGTCAAATCTTTGCGTATCCAAAAGGATCTCTCCATGATAGTTAAACACCTCCCCACTAGATTTGAACTTTCGTGCGGCCTTTTCAAAAGTGGTAACCGCGGTAGAAATGTCTCCCAGCTTATATTGCGCTACTCCAAGCTGAATATGGGCATATACGAAGGTGTCATCGAGCGAAATGCTCTTCTTATAATCCTCAATTGCTCCGTAGTTATCTTGTGTCAACACACGGATCTGACCTGTACTGCAACTTAGCCTAATGTGACGGGAACCAGCCACGACACCAGTCACTCACCCCTGGTAAACGTGGGTAGGTGAGTCGCAAGCACAGAGTAACACAACACGAAGTATCCTCTCACCTGTGATAGTACACATCTGGATCTTTGGGGTCAATCTCGATAGCTCGATTGTATTCTTTGATGGCTTGCTCTACTTCGGCGCGTTCCATGAAAAGCGACGCACGCTTGATGATAGTATTCACGTTCTTCGGATCTAGTTCCAGTGATTTCTCCAGATCCGCCAGGGCAGATTCAACTGAAGAATATCATACAAATTAGACTGTTAAATTTCCCTTCCAGGTTACTGAAGATGGTATGTATTACCGTCTCCCCGAAGGAAAGCGAAGGTGGCCCGTAAGTTGTACGCAAGCGGTTCAAAGAAGGAGCTCAATTTTCCGGATTCGACACTAGCGGTACTGGCCTCATAAGCCACGTCCCATTTTCGGTCGCCTATAGCTTGGAATGCCCGCTGCAAGTGCGCATCACCCTCTTCGATAACCGCTTGGGAAACGACAGCTCCGGTTCCTTTACTGGCTGCAAGATAAAAAGGATAAGTTTTCCTAAATTAAAAAACATTACCAACTCTGGACTTTTCCGTACTCAGCCTGAAAGAGTCCATGTATGCTGAACAAGAAACGATGAGTGTCAGATAGTTATAGCTTGCAGTGAACAAGACAAGCCTACCAGCGATGAAGGTATCCGACGGGAGCCTGGGGGATTTGCTCTATGGACAAAGAATATGACCACTCGTTCGCACCTCAAACGGTTCAACATGAAGCTTACCTTTATGGCTTCTTTGGCTTTGTTTTGCGCCAATGTCTTCAGAACGCGATCGGTAGAGCTAAGAACTGCGTCATTTTTGAATTCCTCAAGAACGCACATAACAGTGTAGTCTGGTTTACACTCCATGAGTCAGTATCTGCCGCCACCCAGTGAAAGTGGACGTTTCATCGTACCATTTAGAGCATCCACCCATCGATCTTCGTTCTCGTACGCTTGAGCTCTTCGGTTGAGTGCCTTGATATAGTTGGGATCCAATTTCAACGCTGATGATGAGATGTGTAAGCTGTCTCGTCACACTTCGAGAGAGCGCCACCGGGCCATCCTACCTTCTGTACAATCCTCAACAACTTTATCGTAGTCATTCTAAATCAGGCGCCATGAGTATGCATTCCACGCGCGACACGGGAGATGGTGATTACCAAGTTTGCGTAGCAAGCTGCTCGGTTGCTGTAAAACACTGCGTCGGGTTGAAGAATGATTGCCTGCGTATATAGGTCAATAGCCTCCTTGTACTTCTTTTCTCCATAGTACTTGTTGCCAAGGGTCTTTGCCGATTTGGCTAGCTCTGCTCGTGCCTATGTGAGCAACGTATGAGCATTACCCGTCTCCGTTTTTCAAACATTGCTCATATGCTGTTACACCGTACCCCCTGCGATAGCGACTCTACGTCTGCGGGAAAGAGGTTTTCGGGATAACTCGTCGGTTCAGATTCGGGGAGAACGGACGTCTTACTTTCTGCTGGAAGAGTCTTCTCGCCTAAATGTGCACCAGTGTCAATTTCTGGCAGTGACAGATCCTCAGTGCTTTCCACTTACTCGACCGCTTTGCTTCGTTTCCCTCCTCAACTTGCGCCTCCTTCTTAGTTTTGGTCCTCTTCTTTCCACCAGTGGAAGGACGCTTGGGCTTCTTTGGGGTGCCGGATGCGTTCAGGACATACCAGGCCCCCGCACCAATCGCGACTCCCGCAACTGCGAGCGCAAGAATAGTCTTCCATGACGGAGTTCCAACCTTCTCTGCCGAATTCACCGACCCGCCGCGAGTGACAACGGCTTGACTTGTGGAGGAGGACATCGTATTTGATAGACCCAATTCAATGGCCGTGCGAAAGCTCGTCAGACCCTCAACGACAAACTTGGTTGCCATGATCGCGAGAATGACTCATCTGACGACGGGAACGTTCGGACACGATGCGTCGTTCTGTGGGCTCCGGCATTAGATCACCGAAATGGGCGACGAGTACTGGGACCTAGATGCAATTCTTGCGGAACAACAGGTTATATCACACTTTGGTTTAGGTGCCTTCAGCTTTGTCTTGTTTGGCTAAGCAGACCAACTGCAGAAACTCCCTAGTTTTTTTCGTATGGACGTTCCTGGCTATGGCTTCCTGGAAGGAAACTTGGATGTTGACGTGAGGAAGAGCTGTGTATCTGGTGTTAAACCCATATACTTATCATACTCTTGTTTGCTAGCTTGCTGCTAATACACGTATCGAACTTCCTTACTGGCTTGCTGAGCACTTAGCCCTAAAGTATGCATGACCTCCGATTTTGCGTTGTATTGCCCACTGGTCTTACTGAAAATGCAGGGCTAACGTTGTATTAGTGACTATATTGATTTGGAGCTTCCAAAGTGCTTTGGACATCGCGTGCGGAATGACTTGAATGCCTCTCCTACCTCTGTGAATCTTGGTAGCCTCTGCTCCTACTACTATCGCTTTGGTGTTAAGATCATCAACTTGTATGTAGCATGCTCTGTGCTTACATTGTGGCATATCGTTCCATGACTAACGTCTATGACGGGATATTGTTAGGGTGGTGGACGCGATGCTACCCGATATCCTCGCGGACGTGAGCTTTGGTGAATTAAGAAAATTACCCATCTGCTGATGTTAATATCTGGCATTTCGCCTCTATGTTTAGGCTTTTATAGCACGATTACCTCTTATTATGGATTATACCCAGACATCACGATTACGAACGGACCGATCTGAGTTCATATATTCATTAGATGAAACGGAGAAAGAATGTAAGTAGATCGTAGGCGATAATGACTTTTCTCGCGGCCTCACACGACCCGCAGTGTATAAAACAGGTCACGAGAGTGTTACGGCTATGGCACAATGGGATCAACGAAAGGCCGTCCGAATACACACGGCAGAGGTTCTCCGCCGGGAAAGAACAATGTAAAGTTTAGATGTGATGGGGCTCCGACAAAGGTCCTCGTCGGGCGGTAATTTATTAATATTGGGATACCCTTCATTCGGCACATGTCTCTGAAATCATATATGGAGCTGTTAAGGGCTGCATGGATATGCATTCAAATCAAGCATCAATTCTTTTGCCAAAGGCTTGGCATGTCCATCCGAGGAAAGGAACCCACGACCACGCATCCTTTTATATGTATCACTTAAGCCTCTCGAGTATTCTACGGTGATCTTCCTCCACAGCGACGTATGTTTCGTCCAATTTCTCTAACCGCAGCTCTTTTTCGAGTCCCATCAAAGCCTCCTACCGTGCATGTATTAACTCGAGGACCAAAAATACGTATACGCGAAGATATCTCACCTCGTTTTGCCGAAATATTCGCCGCTTCACTTGCATTCGATAAGCCTGGTACGCTTTCTTATCTTTTAGTTTGAGATTCCGTAGCAATGCCATTTCCATACATCGCTCAAGCTGCCGCTGGCAAACCGAACGACCAGTTCAGTCAGTGTCGTGGTTAACGGGAATAGTTGAAAAACAGAGCTACCTTGCTTAGCTTAAAGCGCGTCGCCAACTCCTTCACCGTTGGCCCAGGCACTGGAGGTTGTAAGCCCGCAAACGCATCCTGCTCAATTAGCCAGCTAAGATCACATTTGTCTCGGAGATCTTGGAACGCCTCATTGGGATCCTCCACTGGTTTGGACCATATAATACGATCAGCATCACGAAAGATCTTACAGGATGTTTACTGTGCTCACCGGTCATTTCCGCAACGTCACTGCGCTGAAAGAAGTCGTTATATAAGACCTTATATAGCCTTTCTGTTTCAAGAAGCGGTCAAAATATGTTAAAAGTTGTCGATGACCAGCCGATGCTGACTGTGACTGCACTGACCTCCGAGCCCTCGTGCTTGATATGGTGGTAATATGATAAATTGACTAATCGCAGGGAAGAAAAATCCATGAGTAGCTATTCGGAGCTCCCATTGGGCTGTTGGGGGTTCCTCCCACCTTATTCTCATTCTTTTCCGGTCAGGATAATGGAAAAAGGGATAGTATGTAGCGTATCCGACGATGGAGTAAATGTTCTTTTCATCCTTCTTCTGCCGTTCGAACCTGTCCGTACGGTGCCCGTCAGACTGACATATCTTCAGCCACTATAGCCGAAATCCTTACAGTAGGACCATCTCCCATCGCTCATCGTTCTCCTCGAGAAATGATGCACCTTCAATAAACCAGAGCAGAAACACTTGCAGTCTTCGATGATACTCCTTGAAGCCAGGGGTTTTGAAATTGCACTACGCAATTGACAGACATATTAGAACCACCCCCAGAATCATAGTTGACGGCATTGAACTCGACCGACCTTGTAGACTTCATACGATACATCTCCGTCCGAGTCAAACTCATGGATTTTCGTACCGAACGGAACGAATGTTTTTTCGTCCTCCTGTACTGTCTGCATGAACTCATCATAATCCACAGCGAAGCCTCCACGTTTGTCGTTAGCAAAAGAAGGCAAACCCGAGGGAGAGAAGACGAATGCCTACCTGGTGGCAGTTTTTCCGACAGTAGCGCCATTATATCATCGGGCTGTTGCGAGCCATTGGACTCGCGACGGTTGTCGTACGAAATCCCGACATATGTCGCAAGAGATCCGGCTGCATAGTACAACTACTTGTCCAATTGGTAAGCAACTACATGCGCTCATTACGGTCATACAATATAGGAAGATACTTACTTTGATCTTCAAATTTTGATAACCATTTATTGTCTCCTCCATCCCAAATACAGGATATGTGAATAGCGGGTGGAAGATGTCGATTTCACTGTCCATATCTTCAGGTCGAACTAAGGCAAACTGGCTCAGCTTGAAATACTGAATATCAATGTGAAAGACACTGCAGTACCTAGTCGCAGGCAGAGGGCATCATTAGACGACACCGCCCAGTCATCCAGTGTGCTCGGCTCACTGTTGGGTTGAGGCTCGTCGCGGTCTGCTCGAAGCGTCAAATGAGTTAAACTCACAGGTTCAAAAAGCTTCAGCACTTACTGACTTACCCAATTTTCGACGCTTCGGTATCCTTTCGGTTTCTTGGTCCATTTCGTGGCTCTGTGCGATACCCAGAAATCGTGCAGATCTAATTAGTGCTCTAGGAATTGTCAAATGTCCGATCGTAAGCGTCCAGTATTGCTGTGGCACAGTCACCTCATCATGCATGAAGCTTCGAGGGACCATGATCGGGCTTATCAGCCTTACCTTCCTTCCAAATAGTGTGCAATGACTTCCCTCTACAGTATCAACTACCATACTAGGGCGCATAAACGAGACGCATTCATTGAATTTATCAAATCCCTACTGCTGACGCCCTTTGTCTTGCACACGCGACCCCAGTCAGCAACCGGCGCTCTTCCGGAAGATAGCAATTTCACCAATTCGGCACGGAAAGATGATTGTGACGGAGGACCAGAAGGCGACAAGAACGTTGAAAGATATTCTGAGATTCTATTTTGTGTGGAAGAATTAATTTTGGATCATATTCGACATCAAGACAACAGTAGGTTGTCCTTGAGCACTTGACTGCTCGGCCTTGTCAACGTCCGCCAAACAGTTTCCCTGGTTAGAACTTGCAGAACTTTCTCGCCTGTCGACACTGGTCCCCTCCATTGGACGATTCTTTACCCCGCTACCTTTGAAGGAAAGTTTTATAAAGCAAGATGCCAAGCGATCGATGGCCGCCAGACGGTTCGTCCCCCCTAGCTTCAATGATGTCCGCGCTATCTTGAATGATGCTCAGGTTAGGAAGCCATAGTTGTGCCCCAGATTATGTGAATTAATAATGTGCCAATGGTGTAAATAGGTCACAGCGATTGCTTCTACCGTGAAGTTGATAACATTGTAAGCATACTCCCGCCTGTTTTATTGTCCGAGCGTTGTTTGATCAAGCTGATGATTTCAATTCCAATAGTGACGGTGATATGACTTTATACGCGGACGGAGAGGATTTTGCCAAAGACTCACAGCTTGTTCAGCTAATCATTGAGCTACTACGTAATGATCTGTATGTGGCAATCGTGACCGCAGCAGGATATCCCGGAAATGCCGCGAGGTATCAGAAGCGACTTTCCGGCTTATTGGACGGGTTTAAAATGTCTGGCCTGTCATCCGAGGCGTTGGGGAGATTTTATGTGCTAGGTAAATCCTCAGAAGCCAGCTACTTTCTCTCTCGACCGGCATTAACATTTCACGTCCAGGTGGGGAGTGCAACTATTTATTTCGCTATGACACCGACTCCCACCACCTTGTATATATTGCGCCGGAGACCTATCAGCCCCCATCTGTAAGAGAATGGGCTGGTAACGCAGCTCGCATTAGCGATCTGTTGGATGTTGCACAACAAACAGTAGAGGAGCGGGTCAATGAGATGGGCTTGAACGGAAAAGTCTCGATTTTGAGAAAAGATCGTGCCATTGGAGTGGTTTCAGATAAGCAGATCACGTTGACGCGTGAGCAGCTGGTAGGTTTGTAGCTTCTCATTTGAAGATTGCCACCATTTAACCTCAATCTTTCATTCGTGAAGGACGAGTTTGCCCTCTCTACCCAGAGGCGCCTTAACAATTACCAACATACAATACTCATTCGCGAGGGCCAGCGTCCCCTACCGTTCTGTGCTTTTAATGGCGGTAGCGATGTCTGGGTCGATATTGGAAACAAACTTATTGGTGTGCAAATGCTGCAGGAGATTTTAAACACAACAGGAAGCGAAACCCTTCATGGTACTTCAGCCGGGATTAGTATTGCAGACTTGTCTTGGTGCTAACGTCATCATTTGCTGATCCCTTTCTAGTTGGAGATCAGTTTCTTTCTACAGGAAATGATATTTCCACGCGTACTGCATGCTGTACAGTTTGGATCACTAGTCCTGAAGAAACGGCTGAGATCCTTATTGAATTGTGTCACCTTCTGAGCAAACGAGATAGAATGAGGATATAGTTTGGATTCTGATGAGCACGCACTCGGAGCATGACTTCGATCGTTTGATCCTTCATATTTTGTCGTAGTCCAATCACCGGTCATTACCTACACACCACAACCATTTCGAAATTGTAATTACAATGTGTTTAGAGAACGTTGCACTTCCGCTCTTCTGTTTTCCAATAGCTGCTTTTCTGCAGCTAACTTGCTTAGAAGTTCTTCCATCCTCTGTCCACCCCCGCCGCTGCTAGCCGACCCCGGAGCTTGCAATGAGCTTCGCAATTGCGACACTTCTTCCCGCAACCCTGCCAACTGACGTCGTTTGTAGTCTGCAAGATGGACGCTCTCATCCTTTGCTTGCTTCAATTCTTCTAGCCGTTCCGCCGCTAGAGAACTTTCTCCCCGCGCAGATCGGATATCAGCCTCCACTTGCTCAAGCTCCTCTTCGAGCTCTTTTGCGCTCTTATTTCTATTAACTCCCAGATCTCTAATGTTGTCCGTAGTGTTTCGGACGTACGGGCGGCTTGATTCCTTGGGCTGCGAAAAGTGTCAGCTATGTTGGATAAGCACACACCACAATGGAGTTACCTCTTTCAGGAAGGCTTCCTTCATGTCCAGCGGAATGCCGATTGGTAGAGGCTTGCCCTTGCGTCGTGTGTTCAAAACATGAGCGAAATATACGAACTGTTCTTTATTTATTTTCTGAGCCATTCTGATATCTATTAATTGCCTGTAAAATCGGAGCCTATGTCAGTAATTACACGCCTATCGAAAAGATTATCAGCTTACCATATTTGCGAGAACTCTTCTACACTAAGTCTTGAGAGCTGAAACAGCGGCTCCAGCTGGTTAACTGTGCCATTGGGTAAGATTATGTGTGCGTTCGTGAGAGAACAAGGCTAACATACGAGCCACTTCGTCCTCATCTCCACTATACTTCGCAAATTGTGTCTCTGTGGGCGAGAAATGAACATAAATAAATTATACGTCATGCTGGTGGACCGTGCTGTGAATAACGAACCTGCCGCGAACCGATCCGCCGGGCTTATATACCAGTCGAAATCCTGGTTACAGTTATCATTTTAGGCTCTTTTCATCTCATCGCACTCAACACGGGAGGACGCTACTACCTGACTCATGTCGATGTGTAAAAAGTAATGCACCGAGCGAAGCAGGATGCTCAAAACAACCGGTCTTGCTGGGCACAGGAGGTCCCACCATCCACGTGATTTGATCGGGTTGCTGTGCCACCACCGCGTTTGCGACTCGCTGGCGCTTGCTAACAGCAAAACGAGGCCGCATTCGCCGGACCATGAGCTGGCTTTCCAGTTTGACGTCTGCGGAGAACGCAGCTGCTCTTTTCAAGCAGGCAGTATCACATGTTGAGAGTAAGATTGATCAAGTCCTCGACATTCCACAGGGTCCCAACCAGAATGCCAACACTCGACAACAGCATGAAGCAGGTTCGTGCCCGAGCGTTTTGGTTCTCTGAATGAACTTATAGATGACGCCCATCTGTCTTGGCAGATGCCTCAAGAGTCTCTCCTAGATCTTCTACAGGGTTCCGAGCTCTCAGAGATCTTTCCGCTTCCTTAACGACAGGGTTACAAGCAGTAAACGCGGACTCAACGCCGCGCTCCTCGCGACATCCTTCGGAGACCTCCCCTCAGACGTCTGTGCATTCGACCACATCAGAGCTACCCCCCAATGCACAGCGCTCGGCTCCACTAGATAGTTCTGAGATTGCAGAGGCCCTGAACAAAGCGGAGAAAGAAGGCACGGAGACGCCTTCCCTTACTGTGGACGAAAATGCACAACAAATGGAAAGTGAGATACCCACCACGATCGCTTTCGGGGAAGACCCGGATAAAAGTACCGAGGGAGTTGTGGATAACGATTCGACAATGAATGACGCACTAGAAACACCGGAAGATCAGAAGTTGATTATGGAAAAGGAAACCGTAGCAACGAGCCATAAGACGGATGGGCCACTATCTGACCCAGCTGAGGGGAAAGGCATGGTAGCAGAGGAGCTAGCGTCAAGTAGCGAGAATATTGTCCCTCGAATACAAGAGTCGGCAATACATAAGGATACCGATCTGCAAACTGAGACGATAGGGCCTGGTACGTAGGACAGATCCATTTTCGGCTGTACTCCTCTTACCGAAATACTTGTTCAGCTTCAGTAATTGAGGATGTTGCATCAGTAATTCCTCCCATTGACCTTACGAGCACTTTATCGGAACCTCTTTCACCGTCTGATGAGACAGAGGACCACGCACCTGGCGCTGCTTCCCCCAAATCAAATCGAACCGATTTACCATCTTCCGCCGATGATAGTAAAGAGCTAGCGAGGCTGAGGGCGATTATCGAACAGCGCGAGCAACAACTGATGAAAACAATGCAGGAGAACGCAACTTTAACTGACACACTCACAAGCTTGAAAACCCAACTGGAACAGTCCGAAGCTCAGCGCAATGTGGAGGCAACTGCGGCAGATGATAAAATCAGAGATCTCACAGAGAGGCTTAATTCTCTTGAGCGACAGCAAAGCGCTACGTCTCAGACATCGGTGAACGAAGCGCTCTTAAAGCTGCAACAAAAGGAGGAAATGATTACTCAACTGATGGCGGAAGGTATGCAACCGTAAGGGTGTGTGAGGCTGGGCAACTCTGGCAGAGAGATTCATCACGATCCTCCTAGGTGAGAAATTATCGAAAGCAGAGCTCAAGGCCAACACTACAATCAAGCGACTGCGCACGGAAAAGATTGACATTGAAAAGCAGATGAAAGATGTCACCACCAAGTTAGGTCAGACGAATCTGGAAGTTACCGGCTTGAAGAGTAAATTGGCGGAACAGGCCGATAATGAAAAGAAGCAGACCGGTATGACCAGCTCGTTACTCAACTGCTAATATCAGCTCATGGAACCTGTACAGAAATGATACGTTCCCTTAAGGAGGTGAACGAGCGACAGACAAAAGAAATCACGCGCCTCCAAACGGAGCTCGCGACCGCTCGGGAACAGCAGACTGAGGTGCAATCGGCTCTGGACCGGGTGAAGTCAGAGTTTGACGAGGCCCAAAAGGCTCATCGGGAAGCAACGTCTGCTGTTGAATCTCAGGCCCTGGATATACAGGTGGGTTATAACTTGCTTTGATGTCAAAAAGAGTCTAACTAAGCAAATTCTTGTTAGGTCCGTCTCAACAATGATCTTCGTAGCGAACTTGAAACTGTCAAGCGGGATGCGGAAGTGCTTCAGCAGTCACTGACAAAAGATGTGAGACCAGTGGAAACAGTGTCGTCGTCTTCTCATACTGACACCGCTTTCCGCCCCACAGGTCCATGATCTAAGGATGACATTAGCTCAGAGAGAGGAAGATGCGGGATGGAAAGAAGGTATGCTTCGAAGCTTTCCCTAGTGAAGACGCCGGACATGCTAACAGCGTCTTCCAGATATGTTACGACGGGATATTGACATCCTTCAGCAAAAACTTCAAGCGGCAGAGGCTCGAAATAATGAGTTCTATGCGTCCGGCCAGGATGCCACGCTACCCCTACTACGACAAATTGATGCACTACAATCACAACATAATTCTGCTCTTCGGAAATGGGAACAACTGGAGCGAAGGTAAGTCATGTTTTGAACCCATGCTGCCATTTGCGCACAGCTGAAATTCCAGCTGAAATTCTGGACCTGAATAGCCTTACTATGCGAATTCACGAAGCCGAGCAGCAACGGGACACAGCTACATCGAAGGAAAACAATTTCCAAAGTCGGATCGACAAGCTGGTAATTCACAGCTTCATCATTGATGTTGCATACTCGTTAGTCATCAGCGCTTGTTTCAGCTCTTGAGAATACAGGAACTCGAGGGCCAAGTGAGATCTGGAATAGAGGAAACGGCACGACTGTCTAGGCAGCTTGAGGTAGGTGTGCGTGACCATCAATAACGCGGTAAGGTAATGCTCTTAAATACCACCCTTGCTAATCCTCTGCTTAGGCGAAGGAAAAGCGTATCAGCGAGCTGCAGCCACAGATTTCGTCGCTGGAGACGAAATGTACCCAGCTAGATGCAAAATATGCGCAATCTTTGCAGGATGCGACCAAATTGGAGGTCAGTACACGCTCGTGTCTGTATAAAATCACACTGTGTAACGATCGCGTTTAGGAGAATTTCCGAAAGCGGTTGGAGGAGGAGCGACTAAAATGGGAAGAGCGCTATCGATTAGAACAAAAGCAGGTGGAGAATATCAAGGACGAGAGACCTTCTTTACGAGTAGAGATACCACCACCACAATCCCAGACGGGCATATCTACCCCCAGGCAGAATTCTGCATCGTTCATTGGAGGGGAGGTACGTTTCGTTTGTGAAGGTCCTTCCTCTAGCGTGGAGCTGATCACTTCTGGCCATGTACGCAAAACAGTTCCGCACCAGTGACACATCACTCGGAGCCTCCATGAATACAGCTGCGGTTATAGATCGCCTCCATGCCAGTGTCAAACATTATGAAGGGCAACTCGGTTCTTTACAGTTACAATTGCATTTGGCGGAGGAGGGGCGAAGTGAGTAGGACTTCAAGTAAATGACCTTAAAACCTGACCTTACATACATTTGCCCCCTCAGATGAGCTAGCCGAGGAGCTGGTCAGATTGACGGCAGAGCACGAAGAAATGTATGTCTGTTAGTGGCTATCCTAAATGTATGCGATCGTTTGCTTAGATTCTATATCAGGACCAAACTTTGCGCGGAACTTCGTGCTCTTGCAAAAGAGAAGGAGGATCTTAATACAAGGTACATAATGGAGCAGATGGTTATGGTGAGCTTGTCCTTTGTTGCTCATCCCTTGATGTAGATATCTAGCTGCGCTGGAGTTGCTGGGCGAGAAGACGGAACGCGTCGAAGAATTGCAAGCGGATATCCTTGATATGAAAGAGCTCTTCAAACAGCAGGTAACTGATCTGGTGGCTGAATTGGACGAGCTACGAAGAAGCTCGCAGCGAAAATAGATTGTCCTCCTACAGATAGAACATTTCTGCATGTATTTGGTATACAATGGGACGGTTGACTGGCGTATGACCATATTCGAGACATTTCAGTTCACCGAGGGACGGTGCGTCCGTCGCGGTGTCGAATGTTCAGTGATCAATTAGAATGGGTCAATGCTCGCTGAGGCATGTGTATGCGATACATTCATAGTTTTCTGTTATTTCATCGCGCTTGCAATGCCACCTATATAAGGTAGCAACGTCAGGGGATGCAACCGGTGACGAGCAATTAGGGTTCTACAATAGGAATATACCGAGAAGAGAAATGGATGACATCCTCTTACGGACCATTGGCTTTACGGAGTCACTCATTCTTTCGCTTCCTGCATCGGATGAAGAACACCAGCAACTGAACACACGCGCTGAATCTCTAAACCTTGAAATTTGACTTTTGGACTCAACGAAACACATGGCACGTAACCTCCTACACAGTACAAAGCGCGGATACCCTGGATAAATCTTCGCGCGCATCTGACAGCATTATTGTGAATATGATCAGTTCTGAGGAAACCAGTCGGCTACAGGGGCGTACGTGCCTATCTCCTTCGAACTGATCCGACTGAGTTACGGGGCAAAGTTAGACACGATAGGTATATTGGTAAGCTGTCAAGAACCATTGTATAACTTTGTATGGGCCAGCCAATATATCAATCTTGTCTTGAAATGGACCGGCTCCAAGGAAATTTTCCGGACGCAATGACGAGGCCGCTGCTATGAGGTACATCATATCTCGCCCTACGGTTCCTGCAAGATGTAGGACCCAATCATGTCTTCGGGAGCAAGAAAGCCAGAATTGCGGAATATTGTTGCTTTAATCTGCTTCACACTGTCTCGGAGCTCGAAGCTTGCTTGCTTTGGCAACCTGTAGGCAGTCTGCTAGAATGAACACATCCACCTAGTATCATGGCGCACTAGAGACTTCCGCGGATTTGATGGGCGGACTTTGTAAACCTGAAGTCCGGCGATTGGGATCCTTGCTGCCAGTAGCCGAGCCTGCATGCGAGCCACCAGCTGAAGCAATCAAGGCCATCCAAGCAGTACGCTGTTCGTGGCTGTTGAAAGACAAGTAGAAGGTCCGCTTTGTTTTGGGGAAGGTCACCACGACGCTGAATTCGTCTCCCGAGTTACTGGCTTCAGAGATTATGCTGTCCACAAGATTGTATGTGAATGCTCGGCCGTTTGAGAGCTGGATCAAGGATCGGATTATGCGGTCAGAATATCTGCTGCAACAGAGGTGATATAGTTGTATCTCACTTGGACTGCTATGAGAGTGTTCATTTTCGGGATGACGAAAACCCGCATGGTTTCCCAACGATTGAGCAAGGTCCACAAGCCGCCGCGCTCGATTGCCGGAACGATGGTCTTTTTGTAATTTCTGATGTTAGCTGGATATTGTAAATGAAGAAAAATGGGGCCATCTTTCAACCTACCGAGTTCGTGATAAGCGACTCAGACGTAGACGTTGATCCGAATTTACTATTAAAGTCCGACTTCAACACATTGTTGGCAAAGCTGTTCATCAGGTCCACTTTTTCAGTCTTAACCCCAGCAATCCTCAACAAAACTGGCGCGAAAAGCACCAAAAGCGTGAAGGTAGTAACCAGCAAGACGATGATCTGCCGAATTACAAACTGATACTCGTATAACGACTGGATGTAAACCAATGGCAACCCGATGGACATCAGCGCCACAAAGTTCCATACGGCCGCACCAATATAGAGCGTTTCGTTGTATTCGGTGGCGACTGTACGGTTTAGCCAGGTTAGGAGGAGGACGAAAGCAAGAAGGGCGCTGTTGATGGCGTATAGGAAGCCCTCGAATATGTTTTGTTGGAATTGGGTGCTCGAACGGCAGAGGTAGATGGACTGTCTCTGGGAGATCGGGAGCACGATGGGGCGTGGAGGGTCGTAGGCGGTCCAGACTATGAGGATGAGCTTTCGCGCGCGCGGAAGAGGGAATCGTGAGAACGTTGAAACAAAGAAGAGTCACAGTTCAATGTGTCAGACACTCACGACTTCTAATGAAAGCATCGCCCCAGTATAAGCGAACAACTGGCTGGTCTTGACGGCGTAGTTTTTGCGAACATTGTTGAAGATACGGTACAACCGCCACGATTTCACTATAAACAGAGAATGGGTTCATGCGTCAGCGAAAGCAGAGTCCGGTAGATGAGCACATCCAAATGGTACCTGCAATGCTGCTGAAGCACAAACAGAACCCAATGGGAGGAAGCCAAGTTTGTCCAATGCAATGGGCAGGAGTGGGTATACCGATGTGCGGGAAGAGGGTGGTGTATGATATTGTGATGCCAAGGAGGATCAGCTACAGTGATATTCGAGCGCGAGACGGTCAGCGATTATACCTCGGAACTCCCTCAACGACTGGGAAGGGGGTCTTACCAAAGAGAATGGTAAGCTAGTCCTTCTGATAGCCTCATGCTTCATGAAGACAACGAATAACATGGCGGTGACGGCTGTTGCAAAAATCCCAAGGCTTGTAAAAGCTAAGATAACCGCTGCCGATACAGACTCATAGCTGGGATTGACGGCTTCGGTGTTAAATAATCACAGTGGGATCTTGAGCGTTAGTCACATAGGCTCCACAAGCACAGCGAGAAAGTAGGTACATACGCAGTTGTGGGACGGTCGTAAGCGGTGGGTTACTGGACCCGTCGCGAAACACTGGCACAACTCGTTGAATAAATCCCGACAGGTCCGCTGCGACACTGCCTATTTCGGTCCCACCGTCACCGATAGTAGGCTGTCCCTTTTCATATAATGCGACCAGTAGATTGCTGATAAAAAGGAATGCTTGAGGGTTAAGGACCAACCGAGCTTGAGAAAAGGAAGGGGAATCATCTTACGTACTATCCCTTAAAGTCACCATGTTGATCCAAGTTAAAATAGCCAACCGGTGTATCGATCCCAGTGTTGAACGTATCGGGTATCATGTAGGAACCTAGTTCACCAGACGCTAGGGCGGCGAGGTTGACGTCGGAATTGTTGTCTGCGGCGGCTTGTTGCAGCAGCTACAGTAAGCAAGGGTGCTAATTAGTTTCTACCCTGTTTAATATGTTCGTTGAAAGAATACGATGGGCTTGCCTTGCCCCACCCGGCTGCAAGAGCCGAAATGCATGCATAAGCTGGAGCCTCATCTCCTCCTCCTCCGTAGTTTATCAGTGGATATCTGCCCTTGAATAAAACACGGTGTATCAGCACAAAAATCCGCGCATTATTGACTGATTTAGGTGATACTGACAACGACTCATTGAGAGTAGGCAACCTAGCCCAAAACTCCTCTCGCGCGGGAGTACTGTCTCGTTGAACAGACATGTATAAGGTTCCCACAAGCATATCTTCTAGCAACTCAGGAATTTGGGTCTCGTCAGCCAAGTTCTTTTTCAGGAGGGATGCGAGCCGGTCTTGAATGTCCTGGAAGGAAATAAATGAGGTTCCAGTTGAAATGGCTAGGGTATTGAGAGGTCACGGAGGAGAACATACATTGACAAAGATCCAGACGAAGTCGTTGCCGACGACCGAAGCATTGCTTGAGGAGAGCGCGGTTGTCAATGTTCGCGCACATGCATACCCAGACGGAAGAAAAGGCGTCAGGCAACTCACTAGGCTCCCCAGAACAACTTTGCCGCCCAATCAGGATTGCCCGCAACGACAATGACACGAGTTCCGTCTGCGACGCTATAATATAGACCCCAAAGAATCGTACAATGAGACAAAGCTTTCTTGTGCCCAAGAACGGCACTGTACTTACGCCCTATTTGCAAGCTCACCGGGGTCGTTCGTGTAATAGTCCGTAAACTTATTGGCTAAGAACAGCTTACTCTCCTTCTTCATTGCTTCCGACAATGCCGAATCATCTAATTGTGCAAAAGAATGACAGGACATTTGAAAAACATCTCCATGTATGACATTGAACAGTATTGACCCACACGCAGTTCCAGAGGCAACATCTTGATAAATAAACGAAAAGCGCGTCCAGCCATAGTTCTTCAAGAGGGGGATGACACCGATTACGTCGTTTGCAGCCGGAGTATTCGGACGGAAGAAGTAAGGGTATTTGGTTTTGTCGGACAGGACGTAGGAGTAAGCTTGAGGAGAGCAAACTGGCACCTATGAGATGGCGAACGTCAGCTTTATCGGCAAGCTTTGTGTATGCTCATTGATGAAAAGGGAACGTTACCATCAATGGACCCAACATCTGCGCCATGGCAATTGCAACGTCACTCGAACTTCCTCCTACGATAGCAATACTCCCATCTTTGTACGAATCCATGGCAGAAACCATGTACGCGCCCTCCATATTCCACCCATGGAAATATTGTATAGAGTCGCGGAAGTCGAGGCGAATACGGGCGTTCGAGGGCAAGCCCCACTTAGCAGGATCGGCATTGATATCGTCTTTCGCGAGGTTCCAAATGGATTGGATCATAGTCCCATAGTCGCGCCAGTCAGGATCTGGGTCGTTGAACTCGTAGAGGACCTTGGGGAAGTAACAGGTTCAGGATGAGCCACCAGTACCCATTTCGCACTACGACCCACGACTCACCCCGATCTGGAGATAGGTCAGATTTGTTAGATCACGGCGCTGGAGGGATTTAGGCTGCTGGGCATGATTTGGAAAGGAGACATGCTGCGACGAGGTATGATTGTGCTCCTTTTCAAAGCGATGTACTTCGGTACGTCCTGCAAAAGCAGATGCGACCGCCAACAGAACCACGATGAAGTTTAAGAGCATTCTGTTTGATAGAAAGGATGCTTCTCGAACCGGGGTATAAGGACGCAGAAATCTGAGATCACGGAACAGAAAGCAGGCGATCAGGGAGTGGAGATGAATCAGGCAGCTCTTTTTAGCTCCGGAGTTGGCAGTTATTCTTATACAGATTGTGGCTTGTGTTGTTTATGTCACGCTGACCAACAATCGCCTAACTAAGCCTCCTGCTTTGCAAGTCCGAAGTTGAAAGGCAGCACACAATGAGGTGTGCTACTGTCGGACCGTTTCGTAGAAGGATTTTACCAGTTTTCATTTTGGGCTGCTCGAGCGGTTTAATGTTGAAGTCCACCATGTAAAATCAACCCATCAATATATTGATATTGCCATGACCACTCCAAAATATTAAGCACACAACAAAGAACCTGAAAACCTATCCCTCCGTGCCTATATATTATATTGTACCCACTCCCACTATGCGAACCACCTGAAAATCCACTCCATCATCGAGATGACAACACATTATGACACCTAGAAGGGGAGTGGCATAGTGCGTCCCGTCATCCCACGGCCCATCATTGCACGGCCCATCATCCACGGCCCATCATGCCTCCCATCATATCTAGGCTAACAATCCTGACGCTCCTCGCCAAAAGCGGGTTCCCAAACTCCGCTTGCTCCCGAAGCATCACGAAGATCCTCGTGGCCCTGACACATTCCTCGGCCGTATAAAAGAACAGCGCGGTACCCGCAGTCGTAACCTCAGCGCTGACGATGCCGACTTGGTCGATGATGGTGAAGCACCCCTCCATGTTGACGCCGCCGTCTCCGAGAAGCTGTACGTCTCCGTCTGCGAGCGTGACGAGGGCTTGAGGGATTTGGGGGGTGAAGAATTGGGCGTTTGTGGAGACGGCGAATGTGGTGGTGAGGAGGAAGGTGAGGAGAGCGAAGGGTGTCATCTTGATTTGAGTATTGGTATTGAAGTGGGAAGGATTTTGAGTGTTTGAGGTTTGTGGCGGGCATTGTGTAGTTGGTGAGGATATGGAAGGACGGAGGTCAAATCACACCCGGTTTTTATACCGAAGCTGTTGGAGCTCCAGGAGTTCCTGGGCGGTGTGGATTTCGGAAGGAGGCAAGGGAGATACTAGGTCCCTTCAAGCGGCCAACTTATGGCAAAGGAGGAGACCAGAGATGATATCGATTGGGACTGTCACCGGTAAGCAACCTCAGCCCACCGGAGACCCATCGCAGCCCAGAAATATGCTCATACAGTTGAAAGGCAACATGTTCATGTTCACTCTGACGTTTGTTTGAAGCGGCAGTGCTCATAATTCTAACCTCAGGCTCCTACAGTCGGAGTGGGACAATGCTACAGAGGGGCATTGTGGGGTCATGCACCCCGGCACGCTGACACATCTAGCAAACGGAATTCATATTGAGGCTCATGGTTAAAACTCTAACTATTAACACCTGTCAATGGGCGAAGTCGAATATTTGGTAAACTGGCGCCGGACAGATTATTCAGCCAAAGAGCTCTTATCAGGGTCTCAGACAGGCATGATTTTCGCACTTATTAGCACGGTTGACAGTACATGTGCAATAGACAAATGACCAAACCGCATCATGGCGCAACAAGCATTCAGTGCTATGTGTCGGCATCACAAGCAGATTAAACAAATGATACATCCGAAGTAGAAACGGAATAAATAAATCCTCGAGGTCAAAGATCGTCCTCACGTACGTATAACTCTCCTATGTACAACCCCAGAGTTATATTCCTTACGCATTTTGATGAACAACCACCTCCTTAGACTGCTTAATACCCTCTGTCGCTGGCGTTACGCTCACGGTTTTCCCCGCGATCGTAAGAGGATTCGCGACAGGATCTGGCGGGTTAAATTCTCCCCAAATGATGAAGCACTGTACATCAAAGAAACGGGAAGATGAGTATAATGAGATGAACGACTGATATTTCCTTTGGACACGTACGAAGTTGGTCAGCACTAGCGACAGTGGGTATACGTTGCTTCCGACGGCTTGAATTTTGGACCACCACGTAAGCGCGAAGATCTGTCAAAGGTGAGATCTTCCGTTAATGCGGTTCTGATTTGTGAAGGGTTCAGCTAGCAACATACCTTATTCTGCAAACCAGCGAAAATAACAAGGATGATACCATAATAGATGCCGATGGACATGAGAGTACTGTTCACCATTTTCATCTAAAAGGCATCGGGAATAAGAGGCGTAAATAAGATATGCGCATTGGTTTCATCCCGTATCTGTGCACGTACTTTGGTAATGGTTTTCATCATCTTCGCATCCACCGGACCTTCAGCTGGAGCCGCGTTCTCCGATTCCAAGTTGGATGGAACAGTGCTCCGGACGTTTGAATTGAGGTCGCTGGCTATTTTCACTGCTATTTGGACCTGCCAACACAGAAGCATTAATAAACTCATCCACGGCCCTACTGCTCACCAAGTCGGCACTCACTAATTGTCTTCCAAAAAATCCATACGCCAAGCCAATGATGACACAATAGAATCCCACCATAGCATACAATACCGTTGTTAAGGTAACGTATCGGTCGAAGTGTCCCGTGTCATATGCGTATCCCGCCGCGGTTCCAAGCGGGATAACGACGAGTGTTTCGGCCAGGATATAGCCGATGCGGAGATACCGGAGTTGTGTGGCCGTTGGCAACCGGAAGGTCGAGTCATTATAATGTCGCGGAGTTGCCTGGACGCTGATGGTGGTGTGAGCCTGGGGTACTATTTATGAGAGGATAATGCAGATAACAGTACGTACACTGACAGAACATATATCCAAGCGGCGATTCTCCCGCATGTTTGCGGGATATCGTGCATGAGTTGTGAAGCGGTCATCGAAGGGATTTTATCCAGTCCCAGCAATAGACATTGAATTCCTCGCCCTACAACACAAACCCACGTAGTCGATAAGTAAATGCTCTCTGTCCTGACGCACAGATATGCTTACCCAGCCCAAAAGCCGTCATAAGCGCAATATACGAATCCAACGTCGTCAATCCCCCTTTCCATATTCTCTGGCCTTTATAGACATAGCGATAGATAAGCGTACCCGTTCCGAGCGCGAAGACGAGGAATCCTATAGCGGCTGTAATGAGCGTCTGGAGGACAAAATAGTGGGAATCTGTGCATCTCCACACTAGGACGTGCCATCTATGGAAAATGGAAATGGCGAACAGATGAGGGGGTGTTTGTAACGTGTGCAAGAGATGAGGAAGGCCTTACCGGCACGATGGGTGGTCGGCAGGAAGTTCGGCAATCATTTATGTCGGCTACACTAATGATGGTGGAGAGACCAGGAATCGAGGACAGTAGAAAATGCCTCACCTTACATATATCGTTTCAATGGTCGGTATTTGAATAATGACGAATGCCGTCTGCCACACCGAAGACATTGACGAGAGGCCCCATTCATTTGTGATTGCGTCATGGTAAATGTCATTCCAAGCGTCTATTTTTGGAAACAACCCAGAGCTTGAATGTTTGAAAGCAAGATGCGGTAATAACGCACTGATGGGGACCGTCTCGTATTCCGGGAAAAAGGCGGAGACGATTGTTAGGATCTTCTAAATAAACTCTAATTCGTCCAATGCTTATCCAATCTTTGTAACTGACTCTTATTCAAAACGGCTTTGCGGTGACGGCTCTGGTCTTCAGGGTTATTCACAATGGAAATGAACTTGCGTTACAGCTTGCCAGAATCTTTCCAGACGTGCTATGATCTTCGGTGCTTGCTGAAAGCTGGGACGGTCAATGTCACCGGGCCGCACACATCTGACAGCTTTCTTGGTTTCCTGTGGATATGATCATCGTGTATGAGGCAGCCAATATATCAATCTTGCTTCAGATGAACCGGCGCAATGACCAGGACTCTACTGTGGGGTACAGCATATCTCGCCCTACGATTCTTGCAAGATGAAGGACCCTATAGTGTCTTCGGGAACAAGAAAGCAAGAATTGCGGAATATTGCTATTTTGATCTGCTTCACACTGTCTCGAAACTCGAAGCTTGCTTGCTTTGGCAATTTGTAGGCAGTCTGCTAGAAATGAAAACTACCTAGTATCATGGGGGAATCATGTCTGCCGAGGATATTCAGACGCTGTACAGAACCAGTTCTGAGTGACATGCTCTTTTGACCACAAGAGAGCCATTCGTAGCCCGTACAAGGACCAATGGCAATAATCATTGTCGTCTGTCGTCTGCTACAGCTGCCGCTTATGGCGTTTTCTTAAATGCTTCTTTACCAGCAAAAATCACCGCCGATGCCCTTGCGTGAATCAAATCTCATCCACAATTCGGGTGTCAATTTCAAGGGATGCTATCGAGGAGGTTAAACACAGATCGACGCAGTGAATATGCACGACTCTATCGGGCAGAATAAGAAGGGCCGAGCCCTATAAATATGCCAAAAGACAACCAGGTAACCTGGATTTTCTCTGGGACCTTTGTTCAGCTTTTATCATTTTCAATTCTGGCCAGCCCCAAAACGTTAGGGTTTTTCGGTATTGCTTTCCCGTCATGCGAAGAGAACGCTTGGTTGAGGTGGACATTTGACAGCCCAACAGCTTCATAGCTGCTCATATCGAGTATCCACCTGGCCCAAGCATATCAGCGGTTTGAATTCAAATGTACATAAACGACGTTGGGATTGGTAACTTCTTCGACTGTTTTCATTGTGGTTGCACTCCTGTCAAACTAGGTTATTATAGGGCTTTTGCATGTCAATGGGGGCGGGTCCATCTATTTCGCTCTTTTGTCATGTTCACGCGCTATCGGAACCCCCTTGGCCTCCGCAGAAGCCCCTATTTTGGCCACACATGGGACTTGACAGCATGCTGAAGCTGCACAAGCACCATAGAAGGTGTTCCCCACTTCAAGAAAAACCGACTTAGTGACAGCAGCAACATGATGAACTCCCAACGGAAGCTCAAGTACAAGTCCGAGCATGGGAGGGACCGCACCCCCAAGTTGAAAGAAGATTGGAGAAGCAAGCCGACTAGCAGCCAGGGAGGCCCTTCCCACGGTGGTCAAAACACACTTCACTCCAAGGAACGGTCGACCCCGCCCAAAAATGCAAGTCAAGAAGCACTTCACCAATTTCGTTGCTTTGTCCGGAAGGGTGAATTTCTTCACCAGCATGACATGAGGCGATTCGTTGTGTCAGCTCTTCAGTCAGGGCAGCCAGAAGAGGTTCTGCTTATACTTTCGGACGATGCAGGCAATGGTGTAAAGCTGTTGAAGGACCTTGTAAGTCGGCCGATGACCGTGGACGCCGGCATTCGCTCGTTGCCAGTGTCCTTCCAACGGGTGATTCTTCCCCTTCTTGGATTGGTGATCAGCTTTCCCGATATCTATCATAAAGCCTTGCGGAGCATCTACACTTGCCTCTTCCAGGATGAACGGGGCAACTTCATCTACCGCATCTTACAGTGTCTACACGATCTGATGCAAAGGGGCTCGATGGCGGATCACTACTTGGACATTGGAAGGATTCAAGAGCGTGATATACCGACCACGTATATTCCAGCTCATTGGACAGAAGCCATACTGGTTGTGATCAGGGTCTTCAACAAATCCCTCTGCGTGGACACAGACGCTCAGGTGAACGCCCGGTACAGGGACTGGTATGGGAAGCTGAAGGATCTTTGGAATGGTTGGCAACAGAAGTCACCATCATCAGATGAGTATCACCAAGCGAAAAGCGAAATTAAAAAATTGCTAAAGGTCTGGTTTGCGAAAACGTCATGAGCCTTGTCCCTTTGATTATTTATTCATGCTTTCTCTCCGTCACATTTGCTGCAGAACATTGGTAACATCCTTCTGGAGCCTGAAGAGAACTTAGCTACAGCTGAACAAGGAACTTCTGACTGGTTACATCGACAAGCAGGCATGGGTAGCAGAGGAACACTTGCATCTGCAGGAGATCAGAGATCATCAGGTCCTGGGCCTGGTGATTTGCGTCCAGAGGGCCCACGTCATGACAATGATTTTTCAGACTTCCGGAAGATTTGCATTCTTCCCACATCCGGTGAGATTTTTGCTGAAGATAGTCCCTATTTACCAAAACCCGGCGTCGAGCACCATTTGCCGGAAGGAGTGGACCGATACTTGGATATTCAATTTCGTCTACTCAGGGAAGATGTATTGGCGTCTGTACGGGCCGGTATCTCATACTTTGTCCAAAATGGAAATGAAGTTCTGAAGCGCCTTGGTAGTAATGGCACTTTCTATCGGGTGGACGGCAAGAATTCAGTTGATCTTGTGGTCTTCCGTCGTGCAACCATCGAATCTCTAGCACCAAATATTAGGCGAGGACTTCTCTTGAAAGTCTCTTTTGACCAACCTGCCCATGCAAAATCTGATCGACTTTACTGGACCAAAGGGCCGGGTAAGAAGCACGTGCAGAAAGGGTCGCTGATAGTGTTATGGCTCGGCGCAAAGCAAGATATCAATAAAAACAAGCCGATTGCCCAGAGAAAAATCTTTTTCGCCGTGGTTGCAGAGCGAAACGACGAAGATCTGGAGGTAAAACCTCAAAAAGAACCAAAAAAACGACCGCAGATCGGACTGCAATTGTTGGACTTTTCTCAGCTCATAAATGTAGTGTCCGACCATGTAGGTCGCCAGGAGGCACAGGATGAGAACTTGCTACTGCAAGTACGAGGCCATTTCTTCAATGCAGGTGAAGCGGTTCTGAAGGCCCTTCAGTCCTTAAGTAGCTCGACAATGCCCTTTGTGGAAACCATTGTGTTGGGCAACTTGGAACCCAAACACCCTCGATACTTGAATATAGGGACGTGCTATGATCTTCGGTGCTTGCTGAAAGCTGGGACGGACAATGTTACGGGGCTCCAAAGCGTAAATGTTGCAGATTTTGATTCTCTGCGACACACCCTGCACCGCTATCAACGCTACTTGGACCTCGATGCAACGCAAAGTGAAGCTCTGGCCGCCGCGCTGTCGCAAGAGATCAGTCTCATACAAGGCCCGCCCGGATGTGGAAAAACCCACGTGGGGATACACATTATAAAGGCTCTTTTGGCAAATATTGGAAAGTCTCGGACTATCCCATCGGCAGGTAGATCCCCTCAAGCGGAGGCATTGCACCTTCAAGCTGCCATGCAGCGAGCGGCCGGTGTCACACCCACTCTTGGAGCGGATGCGTACTTTGCCAATCTACCCATTCTTTGCATTTGCTACACAAATCACGCCCTGGATCAGTTCTTAGAGGGCTTGATGAATGCTGGTGTGCCCGCCGACGACATTATTCGTGTGGGAGGACGGAGCCGAAGTGTGAAGCTAGAGCAGCGCAATTTGGGCAATTTAATGTATGGTGCAAGAACTGCACAAGAGATCAAGAGGTCCAAAAACATTGAGGTGGAGGCGGGAGACTTAAGCCGACAGATCGATCAGTTTGTTGAACGACAAGGTCTGCCACCTCACAAATGGCGACTCGAGAATCTCGTAACGTTGTTGGAACTGTACAGTCCCGAGCAGTTGGAAAATCTACGGCGGGGATCAATGCTTGTGGACGAGGATGGCTTTCGACGCTTTTTGGGAACCGAGGGGGAGCACACGGATGCCTTGCAAATATGGGTTCGAGGCCTTGATCTTGAGCACCGTTCGTATGAAGTAGCGAGAAGTCAATCGCACGAGATTAACAGTGGCCAATTTGACACGCAGAATGCATTTTCGAGTTTAAGCATCGAAGACGACGGTGATGAACGAATTCTTTACCCTAATCTTGTACCTGTGGTCAAACATGGAGATGAGGGAGCGGCCATTGCTTTACCCCCAGAGCAAACTCGCGATCTTGAGGACCTTAGATATGATTCCGATGTTTGGAAGATGTCGCGTGCGGAGCGTATGACGCTGTTCAACTACTGGAAAGAGGAGTATATGACGGTACGCATAGGAGAGTTTAAAAGAGACTGCGAGAAGTACAGCGAACTCGTGGAAGAGTACAACGACCTGTCGTCTGCCACGCAGGGACGCATTTTGCGTGATGCCAAAGTCGTGGGCATAACTACGTCTGGTGCAGCTTCCAAAATGAAATTGCTACGCAACTTGGCGCCTTCCATCGTCATGTGTGAGGAAGCCGGGGAGGTGTTTGAATCCCATATCATTGCCTCTCTTAGCCAAGGAACTCAGCATTTGATCATGATTGGTGATCATCAGCAGTTGAGGCCCAAGGTGGAGCAGTTTGCCCTTTCGGTCGATGCGCGTTCGGGCTACAATCTGGACATGTCACTTTTTGAGAGACTGGTTCGATTGAGCAACAATCGGCCAAAGGGAGCTCAGCGTAACGTTCCTATGGTGTCTTTGGCTACTCAACGACGAATGAGACCAGAAATTGCTGATTTGCTGCGAAAGACCAAATATTATCCTGTCCTTGAAGATGGAGATAATGTGTTCAACTATCCCGCTGTAAAAGGAATGCGCCAAAATCTCTGGTTCTTTGACCATGACTATCTTGAGGAAGGTGGAAAAGAAGGAGAATCGAGGTCGAAGGCCAATGAACGCGAAGCAAGCATGGTCGTTGCGCTTGTGGGTCATTTGATCAAACAGGGCTATGCGCGTGGTCAGATTGCGGTTCTGACGCCCTATGCTGGACAGGCTCAAAAGCTACGGGAAAAATGTAAAGAACAGCGCGTGGCTCTGTATGTCGACGATCGCACTTTGGGCGACATCCACAAAATGTGGAACGGAGATCCAGAAAGCGAGGATGACGATTCGGCTGTCGATGGAGATACAGCACGGGAAACAGCTCCACCTTCGGTAGAACCCTCGACTCATAAGAAGCAAATAGTGGAGGAATCCCGGCGTGCAAGCTTGGTCAAGAACCTTCGCATTGAAGATCGCGTCAGACTGTCGACGGTTGATAATTTTCAAGGCGAGGAAGCTGAAATCGTGATCATTTCTACTGTACGATGCAATCGAGCATATCGCACAGGATTCTTGAAGGTATGCTCATTGGACTTAAACGTGGAAGTTCAACACTTGTGTGGGCTTTTTCGCTTATATATTTTTTTCTCAGATTGACAATCGTGTGAATGTAATGATGTCTCGGGCCAAACACGGGATGTTTGTTTTTGGTTCTGCAGATACTATCCGACGTGGCTGTCGTGGTGCACTTTTTACCCAAATGCTTAACCTCTTCGATGAAAACAATCGCCTAGGTCCCTATTTACCTCTTAAATGCGAGCGGCACGAAAGCAAAGTTCTCAGTGCGCATACCGTTGAAGAACTACGGCAATTGGCGCCAGACGGCGGCTGTGATGAGCCCTGCGGTTTTAAATTGGAATGCGGGCATATGTGTCCCCGGTCATGCCATCCTGACGACGAAAATCACAAGGCTTTTCCTTGCAAAGAGCAATGTATGCGTCTGCTTGAATGTGGCCATCCCTGTCAATCCCTGTGCTGTAACGCATGTGGACCTTGCAAAGAGCGGCTAGATATTGTACTGTCTTGCGGCCACTCACTCCGGATCAAATGTCATCAGGCTAGAGACCCTCCACCGTGCCCAAAAAAGGTGCAGAGAACAATGCCCGTCTGCGGGCATCAAGAGGAGCTGCGGTGTCATGTGGCGGCTCGGTTGGATGCCCGGTCTGAGTCACTACGCACTGAGACGTGCGACGTCCTATCTGAGTCGGACTCCATTTTCATGTGCTCGAAACATTGCGGAAAAGTTCTGGACTGCGGCCACACCTGCAAATCTGCCTGCGGTAAATGTTTGTTCGTCCAACGTAAATCGGGAGGACACCAGGGGGCCTGCACGGAAGTGTGTGGCCGCAAACTTTTGTGCGGTCATGAATGTCGCGGGGTCTGTCATGGTGCCAAAGAGTGCCCTCCTTGTCGTCAACCTTGTGGCTTCCGCTGTCAGCATTCCAAATGTCCCAACGATTGTAGCACGCCGTGCTCCACGTGTTCAATGCAGTGCCCGTGGTCCTGCATACACAAAGGGAGATGTCTCTTACCCTGTGGAAGTCCCTGCTGTCGATTGCCATGTGACGAGCGCTGTGACAAGATTCTGTCCTGCGGTTGTCAATGCCCATCTGTGTGCGGAGAGCCATGTCCAAAACCCAGCCAGGCATGTCCAAAATGCGCCTCGCCTCAAAGCAAAACCAGTGTGGTGGATATGATTATGTTTACACGCCTCGAAGATTACGACTTGGATGAAGGTCCCCTTTTGGCACTCAACTGCGGCCATTGCTTTACCACGGAAAGCCTCGATGGTATTGTGGAGCTACAGAAATACTATCGCAGATCGGATGATGGCGCTTGGCAAGATATTCTCCCACTACCATCCGCTTGCCAAGCGATTCCCTCGTGTCCTCATTGTCGATCACCAATTTCAGGGATCCGCCGCTACGCTCGCTTGTTGAACCACGCATTTGCAGATCAAACAACGCGCAAGTTCAATCTGAGCATAGAAACCCAAGTCAGAATGCGCTTACAGGACCGGGAAACCGTCGGAAAGCGGATTGAAGAGCTGCGAAAGAAACTCGACGTCGATAATGTGTCAGTAAGCACACTTCAAGATTTGCATCGTAATGGAAAGACGGTTAGACGGGTCAACAAAGACGTCAAACGTTTGATTCATCAGGCCAGCAAAGATCATCCGGCCAAACTAACCTGGGAGAAATCATCAGCTGCCCTGATGCGCATTATATCAAGTTCTACACGGGCCGCAAAATGTGAACAGGCTAAAAAGCAACTCCGTCTTCATGAGGCATATAAATTCATACCTGCGGTCGACGGAGCTATTAAAGCGCATATCGGTTTTTTGGCATGGGGACAGGTCGTCATCAAATCCGCTGCCCTGGAAGTGATGGCTATCACGAAGTCACAGTCGCGTAATCAGCGGGACAAAGCAGATACTGTAAAAATCATGTTACGAAAATCCTTTGGTGCTCTAGAGCAGAGCATCAAAGAGGTTCGCTCGCAGTTTGAAGCTGTCGATGAGCTTTGTAATGTCTCGAAAAGTCGCCGGTCTGCGGGTGATGCTCTGAAAGAGTTTTTGATGACCTTGTATGTATACTTAGACGAGATCTCATGGCTCCGAAGATCATGTTCTGGGCTCCTGGACGAGATAAAGGAAGCGCTGCGTACTCAGCAGCAGGAGATTCTGGCAGAGTTGAAGGAGATTGCAAGCAAGCGCATACGTGCATTGACTTCAGCGAAGGAGGACTCTTTGAACACCCAACAAAGGGCTGCAGAACTGGATGCCACTCACAAATTGCTCGTAAATGCCGAAAAGCTCTGCAGAGAAACATTTATCGAAACTGTCTCGCTCAAAGAAAAACAGGACATCTTCAACGCGATGGGTTCGGATGTTGGCACTGGCGTTGGAAGCTATGGTGGGCATTGGTTTACGTGTCCCAACGGACATGTCTACACGATAGGTGTGTATAATTTGATAAGCGTCTAGCGGCAAATTTTGTCAACCGATGTAGTTACTCGTACAGGTGAGTGCGGAGGGGCAATGGAAACGTCCAAATGCCCAGAATGTCACGAAAGCGTTGGAGGTCACGGCCATTCCCGTATCGCAAACAATGGAATCGCAACCGACTTTCTGAGGGAAGTTGGTGCGCACCATTGATACTTTGGCCTCTCGACAACGCTCTATGTACTGCACAACTTCAAGAGCTTTGCTATTAGTCCCTACAGGTTTCAAGAAGATTAGCGAGTTGCTACAGTGACAAAACATTTTATTGCATACCTAGTTTTCTATTCTACATAGGGTCAAATGTAGTTTCGTATATTGTTGCACACATTGTTGCATACGTCGCTAAAATAAGATAGTTACACCAGCAATTTGCTTTGTACCGTGTGCTTGTTCGCCGAGCAAATTGGGTCGGTCTGCCTTCATGAATTACATTGCCCCTTTGTTATAAATGCATCGTCATACAGGCAGAACAGCAAGAAATGAACGTAATTCCTTTCAGAAGTGCCTCATTTATGTCATGTTGGGCACCCTACTTGAAACTGGCACCCACCATGATACTCCTCCAATCCCACACTCCTGAAGGCATGACCCCGAATGCCCTATTAGCGATGGATACTGAATTGATTAAAAGCTGTCTGGCGATAATTGGAATGCAATAACCAGAAAACAAAGCAAGTTGTGTCGCCGTGAAACGAGGTCATGATCTGACATGCCAACTCAAACTATACAAGTAGGAATAGACAAAAATCCACAGTAGGTAAATATTACTTTACATGTGTGTTTTGAGTAGTTTCAGTGATGTTCATCTAGTTGGCTTGCTGATCTGCAGTCACTCTAAGCGCCGTCATGTTTCATCTTCTTCTACTATTGAACTTTATGTCTATCGTGATAACTGCTATACTGATCCCTTGCCCTCCTGTCAGTTTCTACTCTACGGGTCGTATCCTCGGCATATTCACATTTGAATGAGTTCATACCAACAAGGCGGTCTTTGTCCTGGTTGTCAGTGTAATTAAGGTCATCATTGGTATCACCTCGTCACCCTGAGGTAACGTTATTCTTCTTCGCTTTACTGCTACTCGCAGTCACCAGCGCCGCATACTGTAGCGTATTTATTGTTTTTACCGTGTGTTCGACAGATGGAGATGTATTTGCGATCATGACACAGGCACAGTCGTTTGCTATCAAGTAGCGTCGCAAGACCATTGTCAGGGAACAAGTCCGAAAGGGTATGCGTTGTCCCTGTGCTCCATTGCATAGGGATTGCGCCCGAGCACGAATTACTTCCTTCAATGCAAGGAGCTCAGTATTGATCTGCCTTCCCTCGCGACGCTCTTGGGCAGTTTGACTCCTCCCCGGCATTTTTCCCTCGTCTGCACCGTGCTCAGCACCGGCGAGGTCCACAAACACGAGCGTACCCCCAACACACGGATGACCGCCATTTCTACTAGCTCTTTCCGCGCGTTCCTCCGCAGCCTTAACACGCTCCTCAAATACCTTCAATTCCGCCTCTGCCGCATCGATCCGCGCCTGGTCAATTTGCACTCCTGTGATTTTCCATTCGCCGTCCACATTTACGTACATTTTGGATTGTTCCTCAATCTTTATGTCTGTACACCGCTTTCCTACGGGCACTAACTCTGATTCGGCTTGAAGCACAGCCTCACGCGCTTCCATGACTTCTTTGGTTACAATTTCCATCTCGATAATGGCATGCGAACGAGAGCTTTGGTCGTGGAGCGTGGAGACCCCAGCGGTGCGCAGACCGGTGCCCATGACGACGGCCTTGGCAACCTCTTCAGCATCTCTGCAGGTAACAGCATGAAGCGGTCGAACGCGGACACGTCCGTCCGCAAACTTTTCCGTTTGCGAACGAATGTGTACCTTCCCATCAGCATCCTGCCTTACGTGACATTCAGCTCGTTGTTTCAAGAGATCATAAACTTTCCCGTTGTAGAGCTCCGAAAAGCGTACGTTAATGGCCAAGTCGGTCCCTTCCTTGTGATTGATAGCCTTGAGCATTTCGGCCACCCTGGTGGCGGCTCTGTAGTACAGACCAAACTCCTCGCCATATCCTAAGACTGTATGCGTCTTTCCAGAGCCTGTATGGCCGTAGCAGAAACAACTCCCCGTACCACCCTCCATAACACGCAAAAGAATGGGCTCGACGGTAGCTGCGAACGTGGACGCGTTGTCGTCCTTGTCCCTGAGCACTCCGGCGAAGCCCCCGCCGCTCCACTTTCGCAATCGGTTGTTCACCTTGCCAGTCACATCCACCACATAACTGGCTTCGTCCTCCTCCTTGACTTCGTATGAGACCGCTGCGCTATTCTGGCTGATCTCGATCTTGGTGAGTGGCCGCCAACGGACGAACACACGCACAGCGCCGTCGGGTGAGAGGTCGACTTGATGCTGCTTTGCCATTTGCTGGCGTAATGCCTCTGGCTTCTCTTCACTGAGTTAGCCAGCCGAAGATATGACGAAAACTAAATGCTAGATCTCTGGTACATGATCACTTGAAAAGGTGATCTATGCCAGCTGGGTACTAGTGCTATCGGACAGCTTACGTAATAATCGGATCACGTGAATGACATTGATGAGGTGGGAGCGGCAAGATGTTTGCGAGACTGGAATCAATGGAGGAAGTTCCCACCCTTCAGATCCCTGGACCTTTCCAGCTACTGGATAACTTGCCTACGGAGCTCATTCATGCGGTGACCTTGCACTGTGAAGAATTGCCAGATTTTCTTAGTCTTTCTCGAGTTTCTCGCTCGACGCGGGCTGCCCTGTGGACACCAGCATTCCGTAAAAAATGGTTCCAGACGCACGCTTCAGCCACACTTTCATACTTCAAGATTGCTGCAATCCTCTGCATTCCCCTGCCCGCCACCGAGCTGTCAACATTCTTGCTGGAGAACCTTGAGGAGGCCCCAAACGTTGAGCAACAAAGTGATGCTCGCTCTGAGGATTTCGATGATATTCAAGCCTCGATGGTGTGGGTGTGGAAAGATGCCATGCCGTGGTTTCTGCGACTGCAGATTTTGACGATGGGGAGTCAAATAGGGGGCCCCACATCCTTTGCGGAACTTGGGCGATGGTTCGGCATATTTTGCACATCGCCCTTGTATCCGCATTCGACAATGGTTCCGGCTGAAGTGCTGCGATATGCATGGCTAGCTTCGCAGTTTGATATCCAATTTGCGGACAAGTTTTGTCATACTGCATTTGCACATGCCTTTGAGCAGAGAGGTGCTCTCTTTAACGAACTGGGGAGATCTGCCCAAACGGAACAGGCAACGTTTACGACAGAGTTTCGAGACTTTCAACGATTTGTTCAGAGTAAAATCATCTCAACGGGGCGAATGGAACCTGATGGTACGCATGTATTTGACAGTGTCCAAATCTACTGAGGTCCTATGTCTTCAAAGATGGCAACCTACCACCTCATCATTGCGAACGATGACAACCCGTTTCCTTTGTGATTGCATAAACAATTGTAGATACGTACGTGTAGGAAGGTAGAGATACTTACGGCGGAGACCGTTTTTGCTGCCAAAATATGTTACTTTTGCTGTCAACGTGCAGACAGTCCTCGTTATAAACCTCCTTCATTGCCAGTCAAGCCAGTCAACAGCCCCACGCTTTGCAAACGCCTTCTCGTCTTCTGAGTTTAAAATCCAAAAGACATTCGTTTTGCTTTTATGAATTATTTACTTTAAAGGAGAATTTCCCACAAAACTTTTTGCATGCAAATTTGTGTTGTTGTAAAAGCGCGCGGATGCAAAAAATTGTATGTTTATAGTCATGGAAAACGTGCCAGGATTTTTTGCCTTCTTTAAAGGGCGCTGTAAAAAGGGGGCGACTTTTGTGCGGTTCAAAAAGGACAAACGGCCAACTTGTCCTCCAAAAGTTCCCACGGCAAAAGAAGGGCCATTGGCAAGCTTGCAATCTAGGACGGAGGATTCCCAGAACAAGCCATTAGGGAATACTTTCGGAAATGGTCGTTCACATTGCTACGCTGCCTTCGGGACGTCCTCTCTACCACGGCACTCTTGTACAGAAACGGTTGGGTGGCAAGACTCGCAGGAATGTCGTCATTTGCCGTCCCATTAGCACAGAGGATATCAGCACTGTCGCGGATCTGTTGAAAAAGCAAGCCGAGCAGTCTAACGGCAAGAACCAAGATGTGATTGAAACGGGAACAGACTCCAAGGAGGAGTCGAAAGAAAAGGATAATATGGATGCCCTAGGACATTTGGCTGCTGCGTCGGTTGCAGGTAAACAAAAAGGACGAGGTTTAAAGCTTGTGTATATTGTCAAAAGATATTTATTTCTCCAAATTGTAGACTCTCCTTTAATGATCCTCGGTACTGGAGCGCGAACCTACATTCATTTTTCAACTGTTGAGGAGGTGTTGGATGAAAGGGAATGCGGTGCTGCATGCAACTTATCGTTGACAACATCCCAGAAGGAATATCGTTTCCTTGCTTCCACATCAACTGACTACACAATGTAAGATTTGAAACCTTTACGCTGCAAGCACCAAAGATCAGCTGCTAACATGTGCCATTGCAGATGGATTGCGGCTCTACGTGACTCTTTTGCTCTACGCAACTCAACCACACCAGTAGTCAGTAGGACCTCAACTCTCAGCCGCTCCCTTTCGCAGTCCAAAGGACATGGCGACAATTTCCGCTCTCGCAAATTTGGCTTTCCTGTAAGAAGCCACACCGTGGATTCCATCATGAGTGCAGGAGTACCTCCTTCCTTGAAAGGGGAACACGCAAATGACAGTGAGCAGGAAACAGAAAATGTAACTTCAGCTCCCCAGGATACTGTCCAACTGCAAGAGACAGTGCCAGCTACTGGCGGATTGAAGTTGAGCAAACGACCTTCTCTCGTCGGTCGTAAGCGTACTGGAGTCCGTTTTGCGGAAGCACCAGACTCTGGAATCAAGCATGCCCCCGTTGCATACCCTCCACCGATTCCACCCAAAAATGATGTTGCGGACGATGGGCCAGTCAACTCTCTCAGTCGAAAAATAAGCTCGTTCCTTCGAGGCGGATCAGGTGCTGACTCTCGGGAAAAGGCACCAGCAGCCATGGACGAAGTACTCTCCCCTCGGCCTCCGAGTCCAGAAAGAGACAGAGGCGACCGTCCCCGCCGATCTGGAACTCTCCCCCGGCTATTTACAAAACTTTCCAACAGCGGTGACGCGCCAGAGGATGACGGTCGCGGTCGTTCTTCCAGCCGTCCGCACAGTGCGCATCCTGACACCCGGCCACGCAGTCGGAGTAGGAGCTTAACGCGACTATTGACATTGGTTCCCTCCGTACGAATGCCAAGGAGTCAAAGCCTGGCTTCCATGTTCAGAAAGCATGCAGACGACGCAGTCGTCCACGAAGAAATCCGGGTTTGATGACTTTTCGTGCTGCGTGATGGGTGCAGGGAGGGGGGTGGTGCGTGCCTTAGACTATTTAAACGACCAATATTCATGGATGGGGCCATCTGTTTTATGCATGATCGGCGTGCTGGACACGTCCAATTCAATATCTAGAGATGGCATTCTAGGAGGGGTGGATTTACATCATATTGCTAGTTTCTCATGTCTGTATTCTACTTTTTTATTTCTTAATATTCGAATACACAAGCTGTACATTTGATGCCTTTCCAGGTCTACTTTACTAGTAACTTGCGAGAGAGTCAGACTTACCCAACAAAACCCTTTATTTTGACCTTTGAAATTTTATGCACAATCAACGCATCATCAAGGGAGAATTCGTTACTTCATGCACGAATAATGTATGTGTTGCGGTGTGGAAAAGCCCCAAACATAAATCACATTTAACAGATAATTCCTGCTTATGCAGATCGTGTAACATAGTGTTGAGGCGATTGAAAATGGCACTAGGACCCATTATTATCCGGATTAATCCGGTTAATCATATCGCATAATCAGAACCCCCCTCTATCGCTCAGATTGGTGTGGCATGTATTGTAATGTTTTTTTTTTTTAAACTGCGGTGAGGCGCATGCCAAAGGTCTATAAAAGGGGGGCCTTTTCCCTCTTTCCTCTTTACCCATCCTCGACTCGAAGCATCTGCGCAACGCTCATTGCGACCCACACAACCTCATCGCGACTCGGTCAACCATGAGAACGCCGATGTGGTGGTGTCGAGGACCTCGACCGCCCGACAGCAACCGTGATCAGAACCAGCAGCAACCAATCGGATCCGATAACAAAACCTACTATTATACTGCCACATTAGTTGAGCTTGGTTGGTATGTATCGATGGCATTTCTTGCATTTCTTGTCATCGGGTCACCTCGCTGACATGCAGTTTTTTTTAGTCTCCAAGCCTTGTCACTGAAAATCCACCAGCTTGTGACGCTGCCCAGTCGATTCGCTCCTGGATGCAAGAGTCTGGCTTCAATGCCATCAAGAGTTCTGGATCAAGGCTTAGTAGGGACCATGTGTGGTGGTGGGCAGTTATCCGGTTAGAACAACCGTTACGTATTGCGTGTATAATTGCCTAGTAGTGGTTAGATAGCTTTTCCGAACCGGTTGTCGCCGGTTTATTCCCTGGTGTAGTAGCTAGTGCCAGTTTCTGTCACCTCTACACTAATATAAGTCCTTATTTAGGACCCAGGACCATGAAGAATCCTCCCCCAATGACAATGTCATTCTCACTAGAGATCTCGTTGCTCATTCTTCTTCTTCTTGCTCTCATTGGTGCTTCTGTCCAATACATACGTCTAACGCCACTGTGCAGAAACACTATCACCAGCATACAACACAAGATCCACATTGTACAAACCCATCACGTCCGATACCATCCCGTTCGGCATGCATTCAAGTACCCACTTTTCTACTTTCGAGTCAAATTGGGTGAGGATTTCAATGTACCCTGGTGGTTAGCTGGGTGGGAGAGAGGGCTTTTTGCGGTGCGAGAAGGCGACTATCTAGGCGGTGGGGATGGCAGGAAGCAAGGGTTTGGGTTAGGTTTGAAACAGCGTGTGCTTGAGTTATTGGCAAGTATGGTGAGTCAAAGAAAAGGCTCAAGTATGTTTATGAGTATTTTAGTAACTCCTTTGATAGGGAATCTCAACCTCGGATATCGGGTCTATCGAACTAGTAACAACACCGCGTGTGTTGGGCTATGCATTTAATCCCCTTAGCGTTTACTTTTGTTATTCCTCCACCACCCCGTCAAATGTCCACGCAGTCATCTTGGAGGTGAACAATACGTTTGGTGAACGCCATGTGTACGTTTGCTGTGAAAAGAACCGTGTGAAGAGTGCCCCTGGGTAAGGAAGAGGTGCCGTAACCTCTAATTATCAAATGTGCTCATATTCTCTGTCCATTGGCAGATATGATTATAGTCACTCGATAGATCGATCCTTTCATGTCTCTCCTTTTAATAACCGTAGTGGCAATTATGAAGCCCATTTCAAGCACCCAGACAAGACACTCGACGTCCTACTCAACATCAAAAATTACACGGATGCATCTTTGGCAGGACTTTCCAAGCCATTATGGTTTACAGCACGAGTATGGGGTGATGCATACGCTCTCGACGCACGTACATGTGCCTATCTTCTTGTCACATACCCTGTGACCGCATTCTTGACCTTCCCAAGGATTCTCCGGCAAGCGTGGATCCTTGCGTACCGAAAACGAATGAAAATCTATCAAAGACCGAGTCCCATGAGGGTACCTAAAGACGGACGAGGCATGGTATGGAAGCGATTGAACAATTTCCAAACGTGAGTGGCCCATACTTGATCCATTATACTAGATTTGTTGTCTTACCATTTCTGTTAGGTTTTGTCGACGGACAGTCTTTGATCATTTCCACATCCAGGCAGAGGGACATTCCACCAGTCTAATTGTATATGAGCAGGGCAGGCCTTCATATACGACTTTGCACGGTGGTGCCGGGTCTCCTCCGATCAAAGTTCATGTGACATCACCTGCATTCTACACGACACTTGTATTGGAAGGAGACGACGTTGGTCGAGGGCTGGGACACAGTTTTGTTCGAGGTGATTGGACGTGTACAAAGGGTGATCTGGAGAGGTTTTTGGGAATGCTACTTTCCAAAGAGGGCAATCGTGAAGGGAGACAGCCAATGTCGGCCGAACCTAGAGAATGTCCAAAGACAAAAAAGGTGATATCGCCGTTCAGTTATCCTGGTTTTGCTCATATGCATCAGCCATCGCGTCCACAAAGACTGTCGATCAGGTGGAAGCTGTGGATGGGGTCCCTATCGATTCGACTGGAACAGTCTCTGTTTATATTAGTAGCAAACTTCACCATCGATCCGTATTCAGTAGAAGAGCGCATTTTTGCGTACGCCATGGACGAACAGGCGGAGAAAGTCGCGCATAGTGTAGAACCAGCGAGTGACAATTCGGAGAGCACCTTGATTGGCGAGATTGATGATGGTGCAGATATACAAAGGAAGGAATTGGATAGATTTCAGGCGCTCGCAACCGCTTTTCGCAAAAGCGTCGGATCTGCCATTACAGTCAACTAGAATACTGTACAGGGTTTATGATGGACACAGTAGACAATATATATTATGCTCAGAAACCTGAAAACCTCGGAACGTCCGTGCGTCTTCTCACTTTCTAAAAGACCACCCGCGCCAAACCCAATCACAACCTTGATGGGAACCGGAATCAGCTTATCTGAGCCCAAACACAACAAATGGTTAAGAAAAAAACTTGAGATGCAAAAAAGACTTGAGAAGGTGGCAAGGATATTACCCCCGCACCCACCTTCTACGGAGCCGTACCACAAAAAAAGGGAAAATACAACACGAACCGTTTTTTATGTGGATGGCACGGAGTGTAAGTGAAATGGAGGAGGGGGAGGGAGGCATCTTTAGGCGCTTGAAAAAGCAATACATAAAAAAAAGAAGAAACGACACCAGGGGGCCGCGGTACGGGATTGTTCACGTCATTACAAGCACTTTGTGCACCGTACTTGAACACCGAGGTGCCCCCATTATTTTGTCCAGTCACTTACGTATCGTCTTCTACAAGCCAGGAAGTGAAAGTGTGCATTCCCCGTGCGCGAAAAGCTCCTACCGAATGTGTTGATCCGGTTTTCTGTGTAAGAGCATCAGAGTGAGGACTGCATTGGTACACAAGATCTGATCATTTATGATCACTTACGGTTTGTGTGGTTGCGACCAAACCGGATCCTGTCCCTGCTGGGGTGCTTGAAGGGACGGACGCTGCTGCAAAACTGGCGGACGGGATCGCTGAAGGGATTGATGTGAGAGTGGGGCGGACGGTGGGCGCAAGTCGGAGGAGGGGAGTAGCTGTTCGGGAGGCTGTTGCAGCCGTTCGGCGGACAATTGGTGCAAGCATGTCGGAATGTGTTGAAACTTGTAAAGAACTTAAGGTGAGGGAAGTTTGCTGCTTGCTTTTGGAGAAATCGGAACTGTGATTTTGTTGCCATGGAGGAGATTACGTACAAGAAGCTAAGCCTCTTCCGGGTCTGAATTGACAGGTTTTGGCAGATAGTAACACTTCTGGTCTGAAAAAAGGAAAATCTAGTAAAGATTTGTTCTAGAACAACATGAGCAGTGTATTTACAGAAGCCAAAGGGCACATCAAAGTTTACAAAAGTCACAAATACGTCGTAATCCAAGATACTCATAAGAACAGACTGCACTGAGGAACCATCCAGTCCAGCTAGGGAAAAAGACTTCCTACCACGACCGATCCAACCATAGCGAAATGGCTCATCGTCTCGTTTGAGAACCAAATCGCTCTTGAAATTTGATTAAAGCACGATTGAGACGATCCAGCATCTCCAAACTTGTTTCCTCCTTTGTGGGCAGTTCATTCTCTCGCAACAGCGGGTCCTTTACGTTTTCTGAACCGTTGTTGGACGTGTGTGAACCGTTGGGTAGGCTGCCAGATGATACCTCTTCCGGCGATCTTACGAGTCCAGGTGCAAAATCCACGGCAGGAGACGTTATGTGCGCAGGGGGAGTCCGAGGTTTCGCATCTGGATGATTAGCCAGTTCCGGACTGCTATCTGAGAGCTCCAACTTTGGTTCCGTCGCCATAGAGACTTGAAGGCGGGTGATGTAATCCGATAGTTGCTTTACGCGCTTGTTCATCTCCCCCAGCGTCGCCTTAGCATGAGGGATTCGTACCTTCACTGAAAATCCTGCATCCAGTTCGGCTGCATGCCCAGAAGAAGCCGGTGTAGGTTGCGAATGATGTTGCGCCTCTCTGTTCGCTGAATTTCGGTGGAGCATGCGTTGTGGTCGGGGCACCTTGCCATTTCGGGTGTTAGGCTGGCTGGCATTCCGGCGTCCATTCTCGCCCTTTGTTCTCTTGGTCTTTGCGTCGAGCTCCGATCCCTCTTCAGCAGAGCTGTTGCGACCATTGGTGAGCGGGCTTCGCAGCTCAGTGGTCGATTTGTTTGATTCGGCGCATATTTCACCCACATCTACCCTGATATTTGTGTCCTTTTCTTCATCAGGGGTATGTGGGATGGGATGAGACACTTGTTCACGCTTTCGCTTGAGATTTACTTGCGTTTGATCTATGCCCGCTGGATCTACACCAACTTGTTCGACCTCAATCGTTCTTCTTTCGATGAATGCAATGTCCCCTAGCGGTGTACTCTCTGTCATATGATATAAATGTTTGAGTGTGAGTCCAGGGCAGGAGAGACGCGAAACTGAACACACCGGAAAACAATTCCTTCACGACCTCCACACTGGCTACATCGTGAGAGGATCGTCGCCGTACTGCATCATTACCGACGTCATTTTCATGGCTGCCCACTTCTCCAGAGGAGTCATCAGGATTAGGTTCGTCACCGGGTTTGAACATGAGTAGTTCGGTATAAGGTTGTGCGGCCTCCAAGCTATTCATGGTATTGCGTTTTTTAGGAGTTGGCTTGCCGCCTACAGCGGAGCCATTGCCACTTCCCGGTCGATCCCTAGAAGTTCTGTGTGAAGTAGGTCTTGTGCTATGCATAAACAGAGTGGTAAGGAGACATAATTCGGCCACATGAATTTCACACGGAACATACGTGGAATGCTGGTGGTGCCCTGGTTGACATCGTTCACAGTAGTAGTGTTTAGGCAATTTTCTGGGATTTACGTTCATGCATTCGCAGTGCTGCCATACGAAGCAGTCCTCACATTGAACCATAACACCAAAAGACTCTGTGACCATTGAGGAGCGCAGAATGGTTAGCGAACAATGGTCCTTGCCAGATCCTCTCTCCGAATTACTTTGCGGAAACTGACCTGTACGCCCGCACACGCAACGGGTGACTTCATCGTCTTCGGTATCGCCAAGCTCTGCACTGTCGTTGGCACGACTAACACCACCTCCTCTTGCTGCTGTAAGAGAAATAATGGGATTAACCTCTGATGACCATGTCCTGGAGATTGGGGCTTCCATTCTACAAGTCTGTAACATCCACAAAGAATTACAACTCACCCATGGACGCTGTCAGTCGGATTCGTCAGCGCTGCTTGAGGCATGAAGCGCCCATGACTTGGTAGGGTGGAAAACGTTTGTATCGCTCGATTTGCCAGTCGCTTGAGACTTGATTCACGTGACCTTGAAGGATTGAGTAAGCGGACGGAGCACCCGTTGTGGAGAGCAAGGCCAAAAGAAGTTCATAGCATAGGCATAAGATGGACGAAGTTCCTGCGTCATCCCCTGATGCCGAGGTACTTGTTTTTTTGAGATTATGAAGTCTTTTAATCTTTTAAACTTACCAATCTCACCTGCAGCAGGCTAGCGGTGTGGTCCCTCAGTCGGAATTGCCGAAGCGGGTGAATAGCAATCCTGCCGTGGCCACCGCAGAGACGAAGAGCGTTGCCCCTCCATCAGGTCTCTTCGATACGTCCCAAGGAGTCAACGAGCCCCTTGGGGGTATTAGCGTGCCCTACGATGGAGGACCCGATAAAGGTGGTCAACGAAGAGTTATCGCCGAAGATCCAGAGTGGAACCTTGCTGCGGTGGAGAACTTGAGCGAATTATGTATTCGGTCCATCGTGGCGAATTTCGAAAGTACGTTAATGACGTATGAATGAATTTCTTCAAAATTTTTAGTCTCATGGATAAGCATGCTTGTTACAGAGCGGCCCGTCTTGACAGGCATCCCAGCTAAATACCGAGAGCGATTGCTATCCTCTATTTCCGTTGACCTTCCCCTAGTAATAACAGCGCCCTTAATTCCTGATGACACATATTGGAAAAGAAAAGCGATTGCAACGTTTAAACTATGTGATCCATCCGCGCATGGGGGAGTGTGGAAACGACTGTTCTTCGAATTGCACATGCGTCGAATAATTGAGGCGTACATACCAGATGGGGAACATTTGGACGCATTCTTAGCAGACTTGGATTTGGCAGCGTCCTACGTAGAAACTATACGTATCACGCAGCTATTACCTGTGGGTTACCAGAACAAGATGAATCTGGATCAAAAAGGAGTAGATGCTCGACGTTTCGGGACACAACGATCAGGCCATGTTCCGGGTTCAGAAAAATCCGCAATGGACGAAAATGACAAAGAGTTTACCAAGCCAGGATCGTCTCCAGATCATTTAGACATTGGCTTGATTTTAACAAAGCTAAGCAAAGTGTCAGAACTCAATCTGTATTATGGGTAAGGGTACCCTCATGTGTTGACTTGACAAGCAGGCATCTTGATACATTCACCATAGGGTACGAGACTGTGGGATCGATTTTGATTGGCAATACTTTGGGATGACGTTGAACGATTGTATATCGCTTGCCAATGCAGTCAAGGCTTCCCATCTCTCGAGTTTGACCATTCAAGCAAGCAGAATAGACGATGATCGATGCCGATTGCTATGTTCCGCCCTACTGCAAAATAGCACCTTGCATCGACTTGGTAAGACGCATCCCGCGTACCCCACCATCACTCTAGGAGAACTAACATGGTCTTCGTTTTTTGTTTTATTGAAGATTTGTCGCACAACCGAATTGGGGATACAGGTGCCCGCGGACTGGCTAAGGTGCTCGGCACATCAACAACCGCCCTAGAGTACCTCAACCTCTCGGATAACAAAATCGGGCGTCACGGAGCTCGCTGCATAGGATCGGCGTTGAAACAAAACAAGACATTGAAACATTTATCCTTGAATATGAATTACTTGACAGATGCAGGCGGAGCCAGCCTATGTTCTGACTTGCGTGAAAACGACAATCTTCAAAATCTGGAACTCAGTAGCAATAGTCTTGGCTGGACGACGGTGACCTCTTTATGTGATTTACTGAAACACAATGGGAAAGCCCTCGTCGCTTTGGACCTCAGCTGCAACAAGTTGGGGCGAGTGGCTGCTGGAAAAAGTGATGGGACGCAGGAAACTCAGACAACTGAAGGAGTGGATGATGTAGCAGGAAAAATGCTATTAGATGCCATTAGTCAAAACAAGGTTAGAATCACTTCAGTTTCTCGTTGAATTGGGACCCGTACACCTAACTTTCCTCGCAGTACGTTACAACTTTAGACATAAGAATGACGCAGCTTTCCGAGGAATACACTATCGCCATTCAAGGCATAGTCCAAGAGAACAGGTCGGCCGTATAACCTTACAGCCAAATAACTTGTACATAGAGATCTTATCTTAGTTTTAATCACATTACCGATTACACATGAAAACGAGTCCTCTGAAGAACATACAGTTCCTCAGTATGCCAAAGGTGCCCTCTTATCCTACTCGATTGACCACTTCTTCTAAGACAAGAACTCTTTGTGTGGCGAAAGCAACCACCGTCACTTTAACAATCAGAGTGAATGATATTCTATTACGCATCAGGAAGAATTGTATATATTGGCAGTTGTTCTGCGCCAATGCATGGAACTTAATTCCATTTCCACAACCTCTGCCTTTCACGCCATCTCGCCCTCCCTCGTCCTGGGCACGACACTACCCCTTCCGACCTTGCTTTTTTGCCTAAATACATCCGTCTTGTATTAGGGTATTATCCGTACGTACAATATGATACAGCATTGAAATTATGTAACATGAAGCTCCTGCGGTCAGCATCGGTATGCGTGGATGTAGGGACCTCTTCTTTTCTAAAAGTCCCGTGCGTGCTGCGCAGGTAGAAGAGCCTCCGTTGAAGATGTTCCATCCATAGATCTTCCCGAATCTGATTCGCCCAATGACTCTGAACTAGTACCCCTTTCTGGGAAGATTCCACCTTGCCCTCGCGGTCTTGGTACCATCCGTGAATGGGTTGTCCCGTCTTGAGCAGCCATCTTAAATAGGTCCTTCAGGCTCTTTGGCATGCGATTCTTGTCGATGTCTTGACTCGTATCGGGAGACGGCGGTCGGAACCGTAAAGCAGGTGCAAACGGACGAACAGGTTCTCTCTGCGAAACTTCGCCGGAGTCATTGCCCATATCGACCAGTACCTTGCTTGGCGGCATTTTTCCCTTCGCCATTGCAATCTTTCGCAATCTCACAGGGTCCATCTCCCCTGTTTGCGACACCATCAGCGAGAACTTGCTTTTTGGATCGTTCAGAAGTGAGATGGGAGTATCAAACTCAACCACCCGCCCGCGGGACATAACCATGATTCGGTCCATTTGAACAATGAATCGGAACCGGCTAGCGAGGACGATAACGGTGCAACTTTCAAAGTTTGTTGCAATAACCGAATGGATAAGGTTGTCTGCCTCGTGACCCATAGACATTACAGGTTCTGTAGCAATATCGCAAAATGATTTCGAAGACGGAGTGAGCGGGAATGCAGGTAACAGAATAACACCGCGGCATACAAACCATCTAGGACAACCACTTTTGATTTATTGATGATTGCTCGCGCAATGCAAAATAGTTGCCTCTCAGTGAGAGTAAACGCCTTCCCGTTTTCTGTCATAAGCATACGATGTTATTGCCGTCAATAAAACGTCGACGATAACGGTTCCACGACTGACCAGTGATGGGTGTCTCCAACTTAGCAGGCATTTCTTCAATCTTCTGCCCGAGGTGAACTGCCTGAAGAGCTTTCCAAAGCTCCTCATCAAGACAGGTCCTGAAGGGATCCAAGTTTGATCGAATTGTTCCAGTCAACAGAATTGGCTCCTGCGGGATGATGGCGATACGACTCCTTAAATCAGCGAGGCGCAATTTGCTGATATCAATCCCATCAATGAGAATGTCGCCCTCCGACAGCTCGACCATTCGCAACAGTGACACTGCGTAAAAATGGGTTTAGTTCGCAAAAGGATATGCCATTTTTAACCATCGGATCATGCTTACCTAGTAAGGTCGTCTTCCCAGACCCTTTCCAATGTGATGCGCGTTTTAATACTTCCAACCTCGCTGAAAACAGTACTTCCTACTCTTACCAGATCGTCCGACAACACCAATCTTTTCTCCAGGTGCAATCCGGAATGTCACATTCTTGAGAACCGCAACTCCATAGCGGTTATATCGCAGAACCACATTCTTGAATTCAATCTAGAAAGAGTATCAGTCGTAATTAGCTTTTAGACTAACGGTATCACTATGCTTCTCGCCGACCCATACCTCTCCGTGCAATGGCCATTCTGGCGGAGGATGATTTCCGCGTGCATCCCTCTAGATAAAGGATAAATATTAGGGTAAATGGGTCATCGGGGAACGGTGGGTCTTGCCGTACCTCATATGGACAACATTCGGCAAAGTTCACAACGGCCGACACGCTTGACATCGTTCCATGTACTTCGCCCAGAATTCGAACGAACCATTGCAGAAAGAGGAGTAACTGGAGGGCATTGGACACCGCCAAGCCTGCTTGAGAGGGTCCAACATCGAAGAGCACTACGAAAAGTGCACAGATATACACAAATAGAGACGCTAGTATGACCAGAAGTAGTGTTATCTTAGCGAACAAAAACAATCACTACTTTCAGGGGAGCCACACTAACCTATTAAATCCAAGTAAAGAGCCAGCAGGGTCTTCACTAAAAATGTGTAGGGTTGAGGATCGCGATGAAAGTTTTCATCGCACAAAGAGCCGCCCGCCTTACCTAGCATCAATGAGTACAGCGCTTTGTGGTCGGAATCTATTAATGTTCTATTGAAGGTATCAAACCGATCCTCAGCGTGATACAGGCGAATGCTAAAAAGTCCTTCCAGCGTGCTTGATAAGTGCGCAAACATTGGTGACTTGTTGCTGGCTATAGATGAGAAAATCAGTTAAGGCATGGCTATGCAGTACTCAGAGAATAAGACCTTCTAGACGTTTGAACTTGGCTTCCGTGTCACCACAAAAGTGAATCAAACACGCCACCAGGAAGAAATATACTGGTAGGGTTGCCCAAAACCATGGGGTGACCACCGACACAAGGATTACAGTTCCGAAGACGATGGGGCCGAAAGAAAGGGCCTGCAAGGCTGCCTCCGGAAGAAAATCATCGATCATATAGAGGTAGCGAGCGAAGTGTGACAGAATTTGGCCTAATGGTGTCACTTCATAAAATGACAGAGGAGCACGAAGTACGGCCTTGTGGCAATAACCAGTCAGACACACGTTCAGTCACTCATGTGCCATGAACGTCTCACCTGGAGCACCCGATTATGTAGTGATATGCTTCGGCTCAGTACAGCGGCAGAAAATGCGTACCCGCGCACCAAAACGCCCACAGCGATGGCTGAGCAAAATAAAGCATATATCCCAATATACAGTCCCTCCGACAAGGAGTATTTGCCTTCCACGAACCACGCCACCCAAACATCTGTACACGTTGCGGTAGAGCACCGTCAGCTGAATTCACCTGCATCACGTCCTTCATGAGGAAACCTACCGCTAAGGACCCGAATGGTGGCGACTACAAAGAACGATCCGACGACAATTGCTCCTGCCAGGATTCCGTCAGCTTCCTGAAGATACTGCACGTATGGACGCAGTGGATGCTGCGACTCAGGAGATGGATCTATCAGCCCGGAAGTTGCTGTGGGGCCAACAGTATCATAAGTTTGCACCGCATGCACTGTGAGTTGATTGGCCTCGATTGTTCGCGTCACCACATCTTGATTTGCAAAGTTGACAGGTGGCCGGCTGGGAGTTCCAGTCAATACAGACAACTGATTTCGCTCAATAATTTGAGATATTGTGTGGTCTGTGATCGGCTCAATTCCACGTAGTTGGTTCAGGCGGCGAATAGTCAGATCAACGGAGCTTAGATCGGGCCCAGAGGCATCAACAGGTGGCCGTGTGTTCTCTGTTTGCTCCGCCGTTATGACTTCCGCGGTTGCGAGAGGGCTTCGTTTTCGGGGAGGGGGGCGCTTAGGTTTGGGAATGTGTGGCCCCAAGCTTTCAGCGGGCTCTACAGTACAAGCGATGATCATACGACTACAATTGAGCTACGCGATCAGGCATGGGTAGAATCTCTGGATATCTCTTACTTATGTCGGAGAGGACTATTGTATCATCATCCGGCTGTATGAGATCGGTCGCCCACACATTGAAAATCACATTCCGCGCCTTCAGTTCGTCAAATGTCCCCTGCTCGACAACTGTTCAATCTATTATCAGCATCTAATTCTCTTGTATTAAACATCAAGATATAGACTACCTGTTCCAGATTTCATCACCAATATCATGTCGCACTCAGAAAGGAACTTGGGAGGAAAAACACGCTTAATTCGAACGACGCGTCATATAAATCCTTACAGAAGTAATTCGATGTACCTGTTTCTGTTGCGTTACCATCACCACTGCCATCTTACTGAGCATATGCCCCTTCACACAGTCAGTAAATATTCTTTTGGCGTTCTTCGTGTCGAAATCACTTTAAATACAAATTCAGCACACAACTTCACCCATCACAGACATCTCAAGACATACGTAAGACAATCCTCCAAGAGCGCGATATCCGGTTGATGATACAAACATCGGGCGAGAGAAATTCGCTGCCGTTGACTTCTGGTCAGCTCCAGCTCGCTCACAAACTCTTCATCGCCTAGAGCAGAGCATAACACAACAAGCCGTTTCAGCTTCCAGGAGAGCAAATCAGGGATGCAACTACGAGTCAACAGTCACCATTTGGTAGCGAAATGAAGTCTTGCATAAGTCCGGCGACGCGCACGGCTTCATGATAACGGCCCTCGTCCGACTCAACACCAAACAATACATTATCACGGAGCGAAGCGTTGTCTAGTAGCCATGGTTCCAACGGCACGTAGCCACACGTGCTGCAATTAGAACAAGCAGGTGGTCTTAATTCACTAGTCGTAATTTCAGACACGAAATGGTGAAGACTAACCCGTAGGTAGATACAGAGCCAGCTGTTCGCTTAATCTGCCCCATAATAGCGGCCAGTAGTGACTTTCCCGATCCAAGGTCCCCTACCACCGCGATCAGTTGGCGTCGTCGGAGGACCAAATCGAGTTTTTCGATATGTGGGTGATCTATATCACCGTCCCACATGAAGTCGGCGCCTTTCTGGATGAGAGCCATGCATCAATAAAACTGGCCAAACATACACCGGATTGTTGTCATACAATTTCCATGCAGATATCCGCATCCGACGGATGGGGTTCCAATTTTGGCGCTGCGTCTATCTCCGGTAGCATGAAAAACTCTTCCAAGCGCTGGACAGAGTTTTGGGCACCTTTACAAGAGTGGTCACTAACGGCACCCCTGTTGTGCAAAAGCTACGCAGCTTACCTGATATGGTCCTAACAGCTGACGGTAACATCAACAGAGGATATCGAAGCGTATTGAATAATGATAGTATGGTGAAGACAGTTGCGGCCTCAAAGCGAGCACCATGTATGAAATGATACGTTGTCATGCATGCTAAAACAGCAACGACAGGGGCGATGAAGACCACAATGAAATTTCCGATCTTCATTGTGAGAGCTTTACGCATTTGTCCAATTTCCTTCTTTCGGGCAGCAGTAATCTTTTCCTCGTAGAAGCTCTCCCACGCATATGATTTTATCAGCCTGATCACCGTGAATATTTCTGACATTAGATGAACCCGTTTTGTGAACAGGGCAGTGGTTTTGTATGAAATCGTCGAGGCCCGCTTGGCAAGGATATATTGCAGTGGGAGGAGCATAAATAGTACCAGTACCATCGCCGGAAGAACTGCTACGCCCACCTCCACCGCAGCGAGAGCAATTATGACTGTATCAACATGAAAAGGATAGATCAGCGAAAGGACATTATATTTAGGTCATGTGTCCCAGCGACCGAAATTTGACAAATATGCATACCGCAACACTCAATACCAGCAGACCACGCAAAATGCCAATTCACCGCCGCTTCAGCTACCCGGTTGCACTCGTTCGAGATCAGGTTCACGATATCACCGACGCCGCCCCTTACATAACTTAATCGCAGTGATTTTCGATATATCAGAACCATGAGGGCCGCTCGACACTGTTATCTCGGCCGGAATATTTGTTATTCTCTAAACGAGTAATAGTCCCCTCAACTAGATTTCCATACCTGAATTCCAATACGAGTGCATTGTATTGTAAGTTGATGGAAGCACAGCGATCCCAACCCATGACTGATGAACAGGCCCACGGCATACAGATGTCCTCGCCAGACAGGGCCCGAAGTCTCACAATAAAGCACGAGTTGCTTCAGCAACCAATAGGCGCCAAGCCACGTAAACGCAGCCCATGAACATTTCCAAAGAGCTAGCGCATAGTATCGAAGGCCGAACGCTCGGTGAAGTGCCCGGAGAAGTGACGCCGTCCTAAAAGAACACGTAGGGCGGTGGGGCTGTGTTAGTACCACAGTATTTCCTCACTCTCTTGACTACAAGCCTTGAGAAAACACTTACCCAGTTTGTCGGCCAAGTTCCGCTCTCCAGGTCTTTTCTAGGTCGTCACCGGTCACTTTCGCACTCTCAGACGACCTCAAATGGAGAGACAGGTTTCCTGCATCTTCCATGCTTCGTGTCATCTGCACTAGTCGGAACACCCAAGTAAAAAAGAATCCAGAAAGGAAATTTCCCGGGGCCAAGACAACTCGCTTCCGCTTGTGTTTTCTTCGCCGACGCTTCCTCGGAGGGTCCATTTCTGACGGCTCTGGCAATGAACCACCTGAGACGTCATGCCGCAGATCTGGGGGCTCGGGACTTGTTTCCTCTATGCTGAAGGTCTCGTCCATGGTCTTCGCCCGGCCGACCGCTTGGGATCTCTCAAGGCGAACACCAAAGTTCAAACTGTTCCACTGCGAGTAAAAGTGCTGTGCCACCTGGGAGAAAATGGATGCTTGCAGGCAGGATCGAACACGGGACCTTTGACCAAACGGTCAGTTCACAACAAATGTGATCTACTTGTTAGGAGCCCATAGTTCGGGAACACTCTCTAATGTCACCTAATCTCACAGTAATGATATCAAGGTAGCGCCTTAATTTTGAAGATGCAATTAGGGTGAAGCGTCATGCATTTGGTCTTCGTTGCCTCGACGCCATGGTCAACATCTTATATCTTGTCCTCCTTCACCAGTACAATCTTTTCTAAAGTGTCCATATACGGACGTTAAGCTGATAATGGTAGAAATCGGAATGTATGAGGGATGCAACAATTTATGATATCGGAACGGGGAACGGGGAATACCCTTTGATTTGGTCGAGTAGTTAAGTTGGAATCATTAAAAAGGGGAACACCCTCGGATCCACATGGTCTTAAAAAGTATACTGTCCCAGAACGATCATACGATTTGAAGGCGTCTCTTTGTTTCAGCAATATTGAAATACATCGGGAAATCTGTAGATAGTAATGAAGGCACCAATTGGCAAACAGTTACTCCGAGCCATGCGATATCTTTGTGACATTTGCCGTATGCGTTTAAAATTAATGAAGACGCTCTGGGCTGCACATCTTTCAATCACAAAACTTAGATCCGCGTTGATTGCTACCAGAAGGCCGGAGGCGAATATTCGTAAATACCATATGCTTCATAACATAGCGTTGAGATTCGCCCGGGGTGCAAGTCAAAGTAGCGTTCCGCAGAAGGAAGAGATCAAGGTTCAAACAACCAGGCAACGAAAAGCACTCTGCCATTTTGTAAAATATATAATAGAACGCAGGAGTAATAGATTTCATCGGGGCCTATGGTCTAGTGGTACGATTCCCGCTTTGGGTGCGGGAGGTCCTGGGTTCGAACCCCAGTAGGCCCCAGTACGATTGGTCGGATGGGTTTTTTTGGTGACTCTGGTGCCACTTTACTCAATGACTTTGTGCATCTTTTCCTGTCGACTAACTGACAGAGTAAGGCGAACAATATTTAAGAGTAAAACAATCTTTGTTTGCAACATTTATGCAAGTTCTCCGAAGAAAAAAAAAGGAAGACAACAAAAACGAAGTGGCGGTCCAGTTCCGCCTCTATACAGTATTCTGGAGTTTCATAGGTAAAACGTTAACGAAGAAAAGAAACCCGCGTTGAAAGAGTTCGTCGAAAACCAGACTGTAAGTAGCAACAGATTTCAAAGGGTGAAGGAGGTGTGGCATTGTACGCGTGTGGAACGTTTGATGAAGTAAAAGGTGGGGGTGAGGGAGAGTTTCGATTTCCAGTTGAGCGAACGGCAGCTATCATCGTCGGTGAGCATCTTCGATATGCGCAACGTCTCCATGGCCAATATTGGATGGCGTCACTACGACATTTCGAGTGTGTGATAGCTGGATATCGTTGTCAGATTTAAAATGGGACACCATGTGCATTCGATTCAAATAAGACTTACAGATTCGGTTCTCTTGCCCAATTCCGAATCTCGTCTGGTGGGGATATTGATTGGCTGGGATCCATTGTCAGCTTTCATCCTCTCACTGATATCAGGAGGCATCTGCAACCACAAATGAATCGTTACACCATGAAACGCGAGGATCGGCTAGCCTTGTATGCTACCTACCTGCCACAGCTCATCCTGATACTGCAGGATCATCCGAATGGCTTCAATGGCGAGCGGTGACTCATCATCGACTGCATTCTTTGACTTTGAATACAAAATATTCGGCGTCATCACAGTAGCCAGGTTGTCTAGTCCCATCTTATTTCCATGGTCTTCGTTCAATTCTCGGTGCTCTGATACCTCCCTCAGAAAGAATACCAGTACTGACAGAACGTCGAGGTTCGGCTTTGGAAGAAGGCAGCATACGTAATGCAGTGCTTGCTTTCGCCGTCCAGGATCTGGAAGCTCTGTTTAAAAATAAATAAGGTAAGTCAATCTGCAACAGTAAACCATTGCAAGAATCGCCTTACTCTGAGTGGCGACGAATAATCGGTGAAGTTTGAAGGTAAGAAGCGGCTCGGGCATGTCTCGAAAGAATTTTTTCAACAAGGCTGCAATTTGCACTGGATGGTTTCCCGCCAGGTTAATGGATCTCGGGTCTTTGTCTAATTCATCTGATATTGTCTTCAAATGTCTGATATTGCCATTCTTCCGAAAGATGCCTTCCACTCCCAGATCTAACGAACCAGTTAGCAGACGGTCCAGAAAGCACCACCCGAAGACAATCGACATACCCAACATATGCAATGTTCGTATACAGGCATCAAGAAACATTGGAATTTGAAGCTGCCCCGGTCGGGGTCCTAATTCAGTTGCCACACCGTACTTGTCCACGAGTACTTCTAAAGGCACCCCAAATGTTCCCTCTAAAACATGCAAGCGATTCAGAAATCATTACCCATTCAACAAAGGACCTGACATAACAACAAACCTTTCGATTTTGATGGCTTTCGAATCGCCTCTACCATCCGTCCCCACATTGACTGCTTTCGACCACTGGCGACATCCATCAATTCATCTAATGTAAACTGATCGCCCATCAATGGATACAGAGCCTGGGCAGCAAGCTGTCGAACAGCCCAATGGTCCAGACCAGATAGATCCAGGAGGCTGGATGTACCGGAATTCCGCAGGGAGGATTGCCTTCCCGCAGGGGGCAAGTATAAGCTTTTAGAGCCAGCTGAGGGAGGTAAGGAATTACTGACGTTCGCAAAAGGCGGTTGTCCGTTGTTCAGCATGGAAACTCCTATGCTGCGCCCATCTGGTCCTACTGGTCGGGAGGTTTCGCGTGAATATGGTCACATGGTTGAGTCAAGAGCTAGCTTGTCCCGGGAGAAACAAGCCACCGTTGCTTACCTGGCGAACTGCTGATAGGGGAATTTGGTCCTTGTAGAGAGCCCGAATCAACTTCGTGTTCGAAGAGTTAGTCGGTGTGGACAAAATCAGAGTCATTGACGAAGGCTATACCCACTTTGAATATGGAGAAGCATACATAAGCGCTTCAGAGCGCATCGTAGTAGAAAAACGTATTGTTCCAACTGGGTCACTCGCTCGATCCCCCTGCTTGATGAAGGTGATGCGTGATTCGCACAATAGAACTTTCCCGTGACGGCATCGTAAGTTGCCTCCTCATACACGGGGCGCAGGTTCAAATCGCACGCAGCACACCGGAAACATCGGCTATGCCATCTTCGGTACCCATATTTCAAACATTCCTCTTCGACTGGTTCCCCGCAAGCCACGCACAGATCCGGGTTTGCATCCGGACCGCATTCGCTGAGAGTTTTACCTTGTGCATCATCCTGCCATTCACATGCTGCTAGGCGGTCGAGGAAAGTTACCACTGCCGTCTTCTCGTTGTGCGCATTTTCCTGAATGTAACTGCGTCAATAACCGCGCCGGTGCAGCAAGATGATAGGAGGTGAACATACCAGCTTTAGGGCACCAGTCAATGCAGCACGAATGAGAATCTTCAGGGTGTGCGCAAGGCTAGTCACCAGAGATATCATCTCTTTTGTGGCTTCCTGCCGCGTATCCGCATTATCTTGAACGTATGACAATAACGAGAAGAAATGCACAATTTTCTTGGTCAGCTGCTTAGGCTCCTTCGCATGATGCAGCCCTGTAGCATCGCGGAAGGTAAGAAGCCGCATTTCTATGTCGTCAATGACTGCGAAAAGGGTGGCAATGTGACTAACGAATGTCGCAGCCTGGAAAACTCCCTCTCGAAACTCTTCATGCGAGAACCGAATGAGCATGTCTGAGATGCATTCTGCTGACGACTCCTCGAACGCGGAAAGTACGTGCAATATGCGCCCCGCCTTTTCGGCAATTGCTTGTTGCGCCGCAATATCTGTTCCTGTACAGATGATCGTTAGAACGATATTTCCTCCATCATCTTTCGACGATACTGCTTACCCTCTTTGTCATTAGACAATGCAGGTGTTGTTGACGTACTAGGCTTATTTGCTACCAACGTCACGTTCCACAGCTGATCCACCATGTTGAGATGAGGTGGTGACTTTAGGTATAACCGTAATATACCACCCACCTTGTATATCATATAGCACTCCGGGTGCCACTTCTCTGTCCACTCAGCTTTATTGGTTTCCACAAAACTTCGCAGGACAGCCGTCCGACAACCGCCACATTTGGCTGCGAACAATTGCGAATAATGAAGCTGACAATATACATTGCCATCTTGCTCGTAGTACGAGTCGTGCTGCCTGAAGACCGTAGGACAAACTGAGCAGGTAAAATGCTCAAGATGATATTTGCGGTTTAGAGCATTGATGTGAGCCCCGCGAAGCGCTCCTCCACACTTTGCGCACAACAAGTCTAATCGTCGGAAGTAGTCCTTCTCGCAGAACACTTGGGTGAGTCCATCCGGCCCTGTGTGGGGGAAGAACTTTTCTGCAACAACTTGTTGGCAGTCCTGGAGGAACCAGGTAGCGATTGTGGAAATGAGCCCAAGGTCCCTTCGGGCCAGATGGTGTAGCCGTTGCCCCTTACCTGACACCGAAAACAGTCCAAGTGAAAATGTCCTCCAATAGCCCTCACAAACTGTCCGTCAATTGGCTGGCCGCAACGGCTACAGGTACTGGAGCCTATAGCGGAATTTGACTCTTCGTCCCGTACCGTCATTTTCCGGTCACAATCGAGAACCCACAACCCCAGGGACAACGTATGTCGAAAGATCTACTCTCGAACCAAAGCAAGTTGACCGTGGAACAACTGGGATAGGAATACGACAGCTACGGTTATAGGATGGGAAATCGTTTGTCAGGTGCATTGAAGCCAGGTCGTCCTCGACAGCTGGTCAGTTTGGCCGTCTCCAAACGGACGATACAACGCCAAATTTCGCAGCCAATACAACCAATTACACATTTTAGTCGATTCGAATGAAGTTGTGACCGTAAGAACTTGGCCTTGGCCTCATCGACTTTACATGACAAAGATATCTAGGTAAGGAGCATAACAATACTGCGCACCAAGGAATCCTTCAAGAAGCGGTGCCGTTGTATTATACATATAAAATATATTCAATACAATTCTAAGAGTTTTTGAAAAATTCAATGATACCCCGTCGTTTCTTTCTAAGTCCAAGCATTCTAAACGAGGTATTGCCGTTTGTAAATGTCGATGACTGCTTTTTGCCCGTCGATAATGGGACATCCAAAAAAGTGAAGTCGCTTTTGGAAATTATTTTGCTGCCAGACGTCATCGATGATTCGACAGGAATATACTCGTTGTGTTGTATCGGCTCAGGAGGCGACTCTTGAATGCCCAGCAATTGCCCGGGAGTAGCAGGTGAAAACGGCGGCGATCTTCCGGGTAAAGGCGATGGTGTTATAAATGTGGGGACCTCCGCAAATGATATTTGCTTAATATGTGGCCGCGCCGATTTTTTTGCAAATGCCGCCGGAAACGTTTGTCGGGTATACTGGTCTGATGTCGTTTGCTGCGCATTTTCAATCGGCTGGTGATGGGCATCTCCCACATCTTCCGCATCCTTCTGTTCAACAACGTCTTCCAGTCGACGACGGACTTCGGCGAGTACGGTCGGTGTAGAGGGTCGTTCAAAATGGTCAATTTGGGGTATCCGCGGTCGGCCCGCAGGCATGTCAGAAGAAGGTAGGGCATGCAGATTTTTTCGCGCCATTAGGGTTTGTACCTGCTTTCGTAATTCCTGTAATGCTATTAAGGGCGCCTCATCCGAAAACGATGGACCTTCATCAAGAATAGGGGATATCGGTACTTGGGATGTCAAATCTGGTACATTAGCCAGCGTGATGGTATCTTCGCCCAAGTCCTCCTCGTCATCCTCGGCTTCATTGCACGACTGATTCCTTGCCGGACTTGTGCGCGTCGACTCAGATTGGGTTGAGCGATTTGGGGACTCCTGACTGGCTGGAAGAAGAAGTGATCGCGGGATGTGGTCTAGCGAACTTTGCCGAAGTCTAGCGAGCACAGCGGAAATAGGTGTCTCATCGCTGATCGTCTCTGGATGGCGCAGGTCCTCCTTGAGCGGCTTCACATCTTTTATAAATTGCAGCGTCGATTGCATGGGACCAACAGACGGCTCAACTGCAGGCGAAATTGCATCCATTAATGGTACATCCTCGTCCTTACCACTGCACGTATCATTTATCAGCACTATCTCGTTTGGCATTGGTTTCCCTGATTCTGGGGCCACGGATGAGGGGGCATTGAGCTGAGACTTCTGTATCAAGGTTTGCATTAAAGCTTCGGCAATGATTTCCCTCGGAAGCGCGGGATCTGCGTGTGCTTCGACGAGCTCTGATATTCCAAACTTGGTGAATGTTACTGTGCTTGTAAATAACCGTTTAATTTCTTCGGCAGTAAGAGTCACATCCTTTCTTGTGACGATAGAACGCAGATATCGGTATTTGGCCACCTCCCAAGCTGATTTGGATGTTGCGGCCTTCTTTGAGTCATCGACAGACATTGTAACGGCCGCAACTACCAGAGTTTCCAAAAGTTGATCTTCAATCCCGGTTCTCACGCATTCGACTATGATGTTGGCCCAGTCATTTTCAGTCAGCGCGTGGGACAAATGGCCATTTGCAAGTTCCTCAGCCGCCCATTTGTCGACGTATCGCACCAACCCTTCAATCGTTAAACGATTTGCGACATCCCGCACCGCCCAAAAATTGAGTGGGGTGAGGGATCCTTCTGAAAGAGTGGAAAAATAACACCATTCCAACACCAGCCGCAAAGACAGTTCGTTCGGGACTTTCAAAGGCCAAACACCCACTGGCGCAGAGGACGAAGATTGACAGCGGCCACTCCAGTGCTCCTCATAACTGAGAGGCTGCGATTCAAAGAGGGCGTCAAAAACTGGGCTGCTCGAAGCGAGAATAATCCTATGGACCGGAATATGAAAGGGGTCCGTATCTAGAGATATGCACCAGTTCGCTCACTAAGTAACCATTAGTTTTCTCAAAAGGAGTAATGCCCAATGTCACCTTCCGCATCATTTTTATCAACTCTTAGCAATGCGTCTGCAAGCCGTCCCGTCATAAAAAATGGAGCGAAACGGTGGGCTGCTGTATGGGTCCCCATGCGGAGAGCCACTGAATGATAACGCTCTTGGGCAAGTATAAAGACGATGAGGGTTCACGCAGATTGGAAACTACTTTACAGCGTCCGATGGAGAAAGGACAATTGTCTTTATTACAATCTGATATCTGAAAGTGACGTACTTTTTGACAACAAGATGTCTGTGCGATGACGGCTTTAGTCGGTGGTCGTTTGGGCAGTGAGGAACGCAATCAACACGCAATTTGCACGCAGCTAAGCCAAAAGTGCATCACGTGGATTATGTGTGCAACGATGATCCCCCAGTCCGCCCAGCTTTTGACTTGCTTCAAACCAAAACACTTCTACCATTAGCCCTAAACCAACAATTGGTATAATGTCACATCGGTCAAGAACAGCCCGTGCTTATCAAGGGAGTCTGAAACCACAACCGCATACCTCTGGTGAAACGGCATGGAACACCTCACCAGATGCGCACACAAATTCCCATCACTATGCATTTGAACAAAGAAATGACGACCACGTTGACCTACTCGGGAATAAGATAACAGAGTTGAAACAGGCATGTTTGGAACCTTCAGATTTGCTTGAAGGCACTGCTGAAGATCCTCACATTAACAGCTTTATGATTTTTAGATATCTCTTCAAATAGGAGAGGAGGTGACATATCAATTGGGGGCATTACGAGATATGGAAAATGACTTTGAAAAGAGCGGTGGACTGTTGGGTGCGACTATGAGAAGACTAAAGATCATGGCACGAACACAAAACGGGCGATGGATGTGGTATCTCATCTTTTTCGTGCTCGCTGTGTTCTTGTACATCTATCTCTTTCGATACAAAAAATGATCTTGTACGGACCTCAGCTTGTTCCTCTTCGGCTGTAAGGTATATACAATGGAGTAGCAGAGGGTACGGACAAGCAGTTTACATTCTGTAAACGAATCCTCCCTCTGCGCCTCTGAAACTTGCTTTCATATGGTGACGTTCGGTTAGCGGCAATACAACGTGCAACCATTCTTCTTCGACACCATGGATTCAGAAACTCATTGTTGCATCATTGGTGTTGCAATGTACTCATATATTTTGGAGTGCATCCTCATATTTCATGCTATGAATCTACAAAATGTCATATTTCATTGTCCAACCACAAGGTGCCAGGCGCACACTTTCGGATGTAACACAAGGAACTGCGGCTACGCGGAAGTGCCTAACCATTGCTTCAGGAAGGTGATCTGCTGTTCCACCGTGGTTCGGCTTGTTCCACCAGTAGCGCAGCGATTGTCGATGCTCTGCTCAAAATTCCAGATGTCTTTAACGTCCGCTTCGAAAGCGGAATGTAGTTGCTTAAAGTCGTCAAGAGACAGCTGGTCCATCTGAGTTCCGCGGTCCTCAGCTAGACGCACAGCGCGGCCCGCAATGTGATGTGTTTCACGGAAGGGTACCTGAATATCAGGCCAATTGAGTACAATCTCATGTCGCAGAAATGCATGTCGATACTCACCCCCTTTCGGACAAGATATTCAGCAACGTCCGTAGCGAGCATATCGATTGACAGGCTTTGCTTCATTTTTTCGGGTTTAATCTGCAATTGAAATATTAATGAAACGCTCATTTCCGCTATATGGCTGAAATGAAATCTACCGTTAACGTTGTAAGAGTACCAGTCGCGATTTGCAAGCAGGCACCAATAGTGTCCACGGCATCGAACATAGGTTCCTTGTCCTCCTGCAAATCTTTATTGTAGGTACTTGGTAATCCCTTGAGCGTCATGAGAAAACCGGACATCTAAGGAGCGGGGATGAAACGCCAATCGCCACCAAAAAATACTCTGATCGCTATGCGTACCCCACCAAAGACGCGACCTGTTTTGCCGCGTATCAGTTCCAAAGAATCCGGGTTCTTTTTTTGTGGCATCAAACTACTGCCAGTACTATTACCCATTGATTGGAGATAAGTTGAGAATTCGATATGGGAATTTGCTTGGAAGTATCAGGTACCTGTAAGCGTCCGCCAAAGACACAAAGCCGAACTCTCCCGAACTGTAGATGATCAAGTCCTCCGACCACCTGCTCAAGTGGACCATCGTCAAACTGGCCCAAAAAAGGAACTCGGCCACGAAATCTCGATCGCTCACACCGTAAAGACTGTTGGGCATGACGGCCTCAAATCCCAACTCGTTCGCAAGAAATTCGCGGTCGACATTAAAGGGGTTGCCCGCCAACGCACCGCTCCCTAAAGGCAGCTTATTGATACGCTTGATTAACTGTTCAAGGCGCTCCGCATCGGCATGCCAATTCCATGCGTACGACAGTAACCAGTGACTCCATCGGATGGGTTGTGCCCGCTGAACAGTGGCATATTAACATTCGCTCTACGATATGAGTTTCTTAACAATTGCAATAACCTGTAAGTGAGTGTACCCAGGCATAATCACATCAATTTCTCTTTCCGCCCTCGCTACGGCAATGCCGATCAAATCTTTTAGGAAAGTCAACAAGGCCGTCGCCTGCTCTCGTAACCATATCCGCATGTCGGTCGCAACTTGATCATTTCGGCTTCGTCCTGTGTGTAGCTTGCCTGCTACCGTTCCAATAATTTCCCCAAGGCGCCGTTCATTTGCAGTATGGATATCTTCGTCGCTGGGTTTGACCTCAAACGTATCCGAAGCCCACTCTTGTCCCACCTTATCCAGACCCTCAACGAGCTGGTCCCGCTCCTCGTGTGTTAAGATACCAACACGAGCTAGTGCTTTCGCATATGCTTGGGACCCGGTGATGTCCGCTTGCCACATTCGTCGGTCGAATTTCAGAGAGGCGTTAAAAGCCTCCATGATAGGGTCATTTTTGCCCGTAAAACGACCTACACTCCATACATGTGGTGTTAGAGTATAAGTTGTACAAAATAGCAAGGAATATTACTTACCGCCCCAGAGTTGAGCCATGTTGACAATTATCGAGCAGGTAACGGTTTGGAGTTGAGAGAAGATAGATGCAAGTTGATGTACTGTTCTCATAGCAACAGTGACTCATCCATCATTGATCGGATTGCAACCTTAGTGTCCTACCACTGCCTGCTGCTGTTTCCAAAGAATCAGAATTAGAGGTATTTGAATTCAGTTTCATCGGCATTTCTCCAGATGAAATGAGCAAGGGCAGATCTGCATCTTTAAAAAAGCAATTGCTATTGTAATAGATAAATAATATAAAATATACTGAAACTCTACCAACGTCGCTGACTATCGACACCGAAATACGAATCCGATCAATATAGATCTAAATTCGCCTTTTTGCGCAATCTATTGACAAAAATCTTGTGCCCCTTTGTTGGAACAAAGGGTTTCAGATTTGAGCACCTGTTTCTCAATCTCTCGTACTCATCATATAGTTGCATCAGTGAGATATTGGCCTGTTTGATCTTGTACTGCAGCTCCCAAGTATCCGACCCATCCGCAGCAATGTCGAAATAACTCGGTTCTTCTGCACCATTCAGGATTGAGCGACATTGTAATTCGAATTTGCTGAGCTCGGGAGGAGACACATAGCCTCCATCTTCCATGATCTCGAAATCCATTACGGGATCAGCAAAGAATGCAAGAGAAGTCTAAATACACGTATGATCAATCAAGATGAACAACAAGTACCGGTTTACTGCATGAGACTTACATTTTCGCCGCCCTCTCGTGCGAGCGTAAGTCGGATATCCTGATGATTACCGTTTGATCAAACCAATGAGTTGAAACTGACCTTGAAAACACACACCCTTACCTGTCCGCGATACTTGCTGGTAATGACGTCTAGAACCGCTTGTAAAACTTTTATTGAAAGCGCAAACGCTTGCTCGGCATATGCCGTGTTCCCAAACAGTAGCCTATCCATTTCTCCCATAGGCAGATATTGAAAACCGAATACTTCAGCTGTATTATGATAGCAAACAAAGATACCGTCCATGTCACCGATGCGAGCCTGGAAGCTGTTTACAAATGTTAATTGCCTTGCGAACAGACCTACGGAATATGTAAAATGTACCTATACTTCAAAAAGGCCGATCGTAGCATGTCGAACAGTTCACTTTCAAAAGACTGATATCGGCCCGTTACCGAAGTTAGCTTGTAATCAATATTGCTCTAGGAATGGTATTGATTAACCACGCGAATGAGAGGCAGGGACCCACTGCGCTTACCAAGTAGTTGACGGGATCCATGCGAATGGCCACAGTTGCTCTTGTTTTAAGATCGAAAGTCTTTTTTGGTAATCGCGCATCGTGGCAATCAATCTGAGCTCGGAGAAGAAATCCTTCTGCCTACCATTGATCCGTGTTACAGAAGGGTTTGGAAAACTATAAAAATCCTACCGACCGTCGCATAATGATATGCCTCTTTCTGCGGTGTCTTTTCGGCAAATTGTGTAGAATTGACTTTGTGATATTTCTCAAACTCCGCAGGTGGGACCGTCAACATCTTCTCCATGGATTTGCCCTATTTGGTGGTGATCCGGGTTAGCTCTTATCGCATATATGCTTTGATAAGTTGCGCACACACCAAGCTCATCATCACGTTCCAATCGTCGTCGTCGTCAGGCTTCTCGAGATCTATGGCGTATCCTCCGTCAAAATGCCGAAGCACAACTGACATGGGAGCCCGAGAGGTTGTTGTAAAGTCAGCGGGCTTTGGTGAGTTAGTAAGTACCGTACACATAACCATGTTCCGCTTTCGGCGCCATTCAATTCACCTCCTCTTGGAAACACGGTGAAAAAGACGATGTATTGATTGGCTTCTGGTTGGAGATCAACAAATATAACTGCGACAGCAGACCAGTGATCGAAGACGTCGAAGACACGTAACGTTTCCGCTGCTTTTTGCTAAGGGCCAATAACGACTGGAAAATCACAACTTTAGCATCCTGGTAATGGCTGACAGTCATGATTAACGCACCGAGTCTTGTGATGCGATCACGTACGGAGGCAGCGCATCATAGTCGAAGTCGTCTGGTTGTAGGATATTCTTTAACCATGGGTCAAAATTGAATATATCTGTCTCGGAATCTTGCAAGAAATGTGGACCTGGGCTGCACCGAGATGTTATAGTTCGCCGAAATGGATTGATCAGATAATTTGGGTGCTTACTTGAAAAGCACACGGTCCAATCCATGGGCTAATGTTGGAGTTATCGCATCGTCCGTTCTCTCAACGGCTAAGCTGAGTTAGCTGGAGTTAAGCTAATAGCTATTCATATACTATCAACCTTGGTAATTGAAAGGAAATGGTGTCACAGTTTGCCATTTTGCGCGAGGTGTTCGTGGCTGTCGAGAAGGTAAGTCTCTGCAGTTGATGAAATACCGCAATTACTAGAGAATCTCACCTTCTGTTGTGGCTTCCGCTGTTCAACGCCGTCTGACGGGGTTGGGGGAGCGGTATCACAGGCTCCCGCGGTGTGATCTACTGAAGGCTTTTGCGTAGGTGGTCTCGATGGCAGATTTACCTTCAATGGCTCCTTCCATGTGGAATACAGACAAATGGTTCAGCCTAATATCGGTGTGAGGCTGGACCTAAGAATTACTGACCTCTTTTGGAACGGTCGTATGTTGCAGCGCATGCCCAGCGCCGACAGACAGAGTATCTCCTTTATGTGCTTTGAGTAATTCGATAACAGTGTCCGCTGTATCCTGTGGGTTTTGGGGCCGACCTTGGCTTGACCTCTTGCTGGCCTCAAGAAAGCTGGCAGCAAGCTTTCGGAGATCTTCCGTTTTCTGGGCGACGGACTTTGCTACCACAGGGGGTTTCGATGGCAAAATCTCCGACAGATGCTTCCAGGCTGCGCCAGAGCTCGAGCGACGGTGGAGCACTAGGCGACATGCCGGATGGATCACTGCTCTCGCCGTCATTTCACTGTCCAGGCTGCTCTATCTTGGGCTCTTAATCGACCAAACCAATGCAGCTGGACGAACATTTGAACCAGATTGATTACATGAGAAGACGCGAACGCGTCCTCCATACTTGTTCAACTTTTTCTGCTGGCACAGAGCACCGTCCATCTTTCCGCTGCATAGAGATGTGGTACGACCAGACAATAGATGGGGACTATACTGCATTGGCAGTTCACTCCGCCTTCCCCGCTCTAGCCGCCGCGAACAAAGATGGGAGAGTCGATCTATTTGATGAGGAAGGTCAAAAGCGTCCACAGGCGGATATCTGTCGAGTGCCAGGGAGTGTAATATTGAGGTGGCATCCATCCCGAAAGCTCCTAGCCATTAGCTGGTCAAATGGTGTGATTGAGTTTCTTTACACTCTCAAACTTGTGGAGGCTGATACATTCCAATCAGGCACTGTTGGCATATGGTCCGATGCAGAAGCGGTCTTGCGAGAGGGGAATGTTCACGGATCAAGTATAACTGTGGTTGAGTGGAGTCCATTAGGGAACCGGCTTGTAACGGGTGACGAGGCAAGCCATCATAGGTGGGGATGTGCCAAATATTCTCATCGCTCATCAAGTTTACCTAGGATGGTGATGTGGTAGTGTGGAAAGTGGATCCTCGGGGTAGACTCTCCATCTTGTGCCAGTACCGCTTGCACAACAGTATTACGCATTGCATTTTTCGCTCGCATCGGCAAGAGTTGGACTTGCGGTATGATTTGCAGTTCCGATGGAACCTTTGACGCGTTGCTAAGACGTTGTTATAGTTCAGGCACTTCTCCCCCATTTTTCCTCTCAACCACTAATGGCTCCATTCACTACGCCGATGATATGGGTCACTGCACAGAAAGCGCGTCAACCACCTCACAAATCGCCACGTTGTTAATGTTGGAACATAAAGATATGGTCGTAATCATTACCAACGACCTTTTACTTCACCAGTATAGTCTGGCAAGTGACGGAAAGATGACACAGGAGTCCCAGGTGTGTATACGTGAGCGTTCATAGTTGTAAAAGGTTTTCAGCTTCTTACCAACGTAGATATAGATGAAACTGAGCACATCCGCTAAAGCCGACAACAGAGCTGTAATTGCTACTTGGGCTGGTCCCGCGATACTCGCACTTTCTGTTGGCGGACAACCTATTTGGATTTGGGATATTGAAAACGAGGAAAATAGTGTCCTGAGTATGACAGGTATTGTATAGCCATGAGGGTATATCCCACACACTCCAACTTGCTAAAGTACTCCGATTCAAAGGAATGGAGAAAGTTCGCATCAATTGCATAGCTTTTAGTAATTCTAGAAACATGCTTGCTGGTAGGCTCATGACGGAAAATGTCGACCGGCGATGCGCCACTATAACGCCTCTTCTGGATTTATACAGCCGGCACCGACTCTGGCCATGTGATGATGTGGAAGGCCCGTTATGTTCCTGAAGCCGAAGGCATGGGTGTACAAACATGGGAGGTAAGAAGGAGAACTAGTAGCCGACGCACCATTGCGGTTTCCAAAACCATATCGCACATCATCCGTAGCCAATAAGTAAGACCAATCTGGGTGGTGCTGTGGAAGGGATTGCCTGGGGTAAGAAGGCCATCATCAATATATCATTCAGAAGCATTTTGAAGATAATGTGGATTATTCAGGTGCACAATCTGGGCTTTTGGGGGCTCGTAAACGGTCGGGCTTGAAAATCCTCACGGAGCAGGTACTCCGCAAAAAGCTCTGGGGAAGAAATGCCATTGTACAGGTGGAGCAAAGTAAAGTTATCATCTATCCTGGGGGAAAGGTGAGTTTTGGAACATTAGACGCCGAGATACTCTTATGAACGTATCCGATTGTAGAGGCCGATTGCGCGCACAGTTGATCTTCGCATCAAAGGGCTGGCCCTTTCGAGAAATCTCTTTGCTGTATGGAGTGGTACGACAATTGAGGTCCAAGAATACTCGGATGGTAAGCAAACTGTGTCCACGCACTATAAGCCATTATGATTGATGTATATCAGCCGGGCAACCAATACGAAACCTGGGCTCAGTAGCTAACAGTGATCAATCACTTGACCTTCCCCTGACTGCAAGTGGAAACCGGCTGGATTATTTCCTCGCTTCTTGGAATGACGGAGAGGATATTGGAGGTCAGTACCCGCTTTTAAGTAACCTTTTGATTGTCGTATGAACGTCACTCTTTAGGTGGACCAATGTCTGTGGCTAGTGCCACGTTTGCGGCGGAGAGCAATATAATAAATCTCGACGACCAATTTATTTACGTTGCAAAGTCTAATCGAGTGGACGTTTGTAATCATCAAGGGGTGACCAAGTCTGTCCTCAGCCTTCCAGAATCTGAAGGCGATATCACTTTGATCGAGACAGTTCCATCCCTCCTCCTCATTGTAAGATGGCCAGTTGTGCTAAAGGAGAACAACTGCTGACTACATGCATGTGATGTAGACGACTTCCCGAAACTATCTGAAACTGTTCAGCACGTCGCACCGGGAACCAAAGCAACTAGTCTCCAAGCGGATTGACGAGTAAGTCGAGAATTGTTGCAACATGTGCTCCATTCCCGTTTTAATTGTACTGTCCTATAGCGCCCTTGGTATACATTCAATTGCATCGGCCAAATGTAATGCCAATGGAACAATGATCAGTTTCTTAGCGTGCGTCCCAGTCAAGGGTAAGCGTCGACTTTGTCTGCAAGCTTGATGGATGTGTTATCTCACCTATCTTGAAAGTAGGCGCGACCCAGCTGCAGCAATTTGACACCAAGGTCTATGTCTATGATGTCGAGAAAGATGTCATACTAGCGTTTGACATGAAAGAACATGGTCAAATGGTTAGTATGTTGTCTTCAGAAGCATGCCTATTTAGGGGTTGATATTCATACTCATGTGGCCGACAGCCGGTGTCTCATTTCTGGGACTGGGAAGACCCGAGGATTCTTGTGTGTCAAAGCGAAGGATATGCAACACCATCCCGTACGTTCAACCAACCGATATAAATTTCTGATTTCTTCATATATATATATATGCATTTTAGAAGACACAGGACCAGACACGCTGACAACAGCTGCCCCGACCTCCCAGGTACCCTAGATATATTTATGTGACAAGAGACATCACATATTAACTGTTATTCGCTAGATTGTCTCCTTTTTCGTAACTTCTGACTACGGAATAACGTTACATGACATAACCACAACTATTCCCAACTCCGATGCCCTCTTTGGGATATATATGCCATTTCTCTATTACATTAAGGTATGGTATATATACTACAAAATTGGCAATGTACCATATTCATCGTTCAGTTCTCGCAGGGAAGTACGCAAGAAGAACCGGATGACATGAATATGGTGTCCAGCGTAGTAGCGCGTGACTTTGAGGGTTTGGAAAACACCGATACGGCCACAATGAAAGCGATGATCGATTTCAGCTTTCATATCGCCGTTGGTAACATGGATGAATCCTTAAAGGTGTGAAATCAAAAAGGAAGAGTCTTTCTAGCGTGTGTGCTGATTTATTGCCAATACAACAGGCTTTGAAACTCATTAAAAGCACAAACGTCTGGGAAACCATGGCTAAGATGTGTGTAAAGACCAAGCGGATCGATGTGGCAACCCTGTGTTTATCGAACATGGGAAATGCGAAAGCCGTTCACGCGCTGCATCAAGTCGATCCAACTGGTCCACCGGAATTGAAGGCCGCCATCGTTGCATTGCATCTGGGTAAGTATCCATGAGCACGACAGCATGCGTTATGATATTTAACAAGTGTGAATTCCTGGCAGGTATGAACGACGATGTTGAGTCCTTGTATCTTTCTTGCGGCCGATATGACCTCCTTAATCGATTCTATCAGGTGAGTGTGGCACCATATCATCTTGTGATAACTTGCTAACATGGAGCTTGGCTAGGCAACCTGTCAATGGGAAAAGGCGCTTCAAATTGCCGCAACCCATGACCGCATCCACCTTCGATCGACCTTTTACAATTTTGCCTGCTACTTGGAGGAGTTGGGCGATACGAGTGGTGCAGTGGCGGCATTCGAGAAGTCTTTTACACATAGGTATGATGCAAGTACCTTGGTAGCATTGCCTGCCCCTTCACGCTAAAATATTTAATTGGAATGGATCAAGTTTTGAAATTCCTCGCATGCTACTTGGAAAAAATGAAGTTCCAGAACTCGAAAAGTATATTACTACTTCTGAGAACAAGGTAAGGTCCGTCCCACGGAATTTCATAATAGGCTGCAAGATTTTGAATGATTTGCTCCTTGGAAGCTACTGAAAAAATGGTGGGGCCAGTTTTCCGAATCCCATGGGGATTTGGACTCTGCATTGCGATATTACGAGCTGGCTGGCGATACACTATCGATAGTGCGGATACACTGTTTATCGGGAGACATTGAGCGGGTGAGGTGGAATGTTTTGGATGAGTCTAAACTGCTGCTCTGTGGCGATGCTCATATGTCACGTTTCAGGCAATTGATATCGCTGAGAAAGCGAATAGTCCGGCTGCTGCATACCACATTGCACATTATTTTGAGACAGAATCCAAGGTAAGCCTGACCACTAATGAACCCACGGAGTTCTCTTATCGAACTTCAGAGACTAAAATAAACCTCGTCCGGGAAATAGCTAGCGGATGCCATCTCATTCTACGCGAAAGCGAAATGTTACAACCATGCCATTAGGCTCGCAAAAGAGCACCGATTGGATAATGAGCTGATGCATCTAGCATTACAAGCCTCTCCGCAGGCTCTGGTGGATGTTGCAAGGTATTGGTGTTAATTGGAGTGTTCATCGTGCTCCGATACTGACACCGTTCGCTGACTAGATATTTCGAGAAATCGGGCAAACATTTGGAAAAGGCAATCAGCCTGTATCACCGCGGGGGCAATCTGGGCAGGGCAATTGACCTGTGCTTTCAAACAAATCAACCTGCTATGCTGGAGGATATAGGTACGGTCTTCCTGTTCAAAAGTAGTTCAGATATACTAAGTCTTTCGCTCTCACATTGCATGACCCCCACATAGAACAAGACTTTGATAGTAACACCGATCCAACTGTTCTCCAAAAATGCGCTTCATTCTTTATCCAGAATTCCCAGTTCGAGCGCGCAGTTCGGCTTTTAATGTTGGCTCGAAAATTCGATGAGGTATGCTTGCGCATGAACATTGTCTGCGCACGAAACCTTACTAAGGACGTGGGTTGATGTGTGCGCAAAGGCTTTGGATATTTGTGCTACACATGGCATTGTTGTCACTGAAGAGATGGCGGACGCAATACCAATCCCCGCGAATGATGACCAAGACCGATCCGCGAAAGAAGCCCTGCTCAGAGTAGCGGACTGTTGCATGGAGCAAGGATCATATCATCTCGCGTGCAAAAAGTATACTCAGGTTCGTACCGTAACGATGAATATGATCATATTGGGGCTCTGAACTTATTGCCTGTCATACATAGGCTGGCGACCGGATGAAAGCTATGAAAGCACTGTTGAAGTCCGGTGATACAGAGAAGATCCTATTCTTCGCCAGTGAGTGCCGATGCTGTAGTAACTGTTAAAAGCTATCGGTAACGCTTGATATTTCATCGGCAGATGTGTCCGGGCCCAAGCAACGTGACATTTTCGTACTAGCAGCTAACTACCTACAAACATTAGACTGGAGAAATGATACACAAATTATGAAAGCAATTATCACGTTTTACACAAAGGTATTGGTCTTTAGGTTTAATTTGGTAGCATGTCTTAGCGGTATCATAATGGTTGGCCGGGCTTTCAGGGCAAAGCTTTAGAGTCGCTCGCCGCGTTTTATGAAGCTTGCGCTCAGGTTGAGATTGATGAATACCAAAATTATGAGAAGGTGAGATAGCGAGCAGTGTCATTTTGAAATCACACAATCCTCATTTTGTTGTATCGCAGGCTTTGGCTGCTTTGAAAGAAGCATGGAAGTGTATGACAAAACTGAAAGATCAGAGCTCCCCTAATACCATCCTCCGAAGTCGGTCACTGACACAGAAAATCGACTGTGTCAGTCAGTTTGTGGAAGCCAGACAATATGCAAAAACAGATACTGTAACAATGTTCAAAATCTGTGAAGAGCTGTTGCATGTTTCCGATATTGATGTATGTTTGTCCTCTGCTACATATTTTGGTGTTTACCGAAGACTAAGCCCGTAGCACAAACAGGACGCAGTTCGTCTGGGGGATATATTTGCTCTAATGATTGAATCGCATTATGCCAACGGGTATTATGACCAAGCCCGAAATCTTCTCGACAGGATGCGGAGGAGTGTCGCAAATATCAATGTCGAATACTATATTGATGGGCGGATGGTCCAAGCATTAGAACATCCTGGAGAAGAGCAACGAGGTAGCGGCGGCGGGGACGAGGTGATAGACGAAGAGATAATGAACGGGGAATAGTGCATAGATTGAGCAAATTTATATTGTACATTACTTTTTAACCCTCTGTGGCTTTCCAACGGAAAGCCTTTTTCCTCCCCGCCCACGACCTGGCGAGCTCCCGCCGCGGGTCTTTCCTTTTGGCTTACGAGGAGGACTTGGAGAAACGAATCTCTCTATCATAACTTCGACCTTTTTTAGTTCTGGAGAAGGGATTGCTTCGTATGGGTGAGGTTCGCTGCATATCGACGGCTTGAGTGACAGCCGTTGAGGAGCACTGGGAGGACGCTCGGAGCCGGAAACAGCCGCCACTTTTTCTTTCGGATCAAACTCCACAAAGGACACAAGGTTATGTCGCCACTGTAGTCGACGTGTTTTGCTGTTTTCAGAAGAGTCCCACATATCTTCTTCACCACCCCTAAGCTCCCATGGTTCCCCGGACTTGTGTCTATCTTCTATCCGCTGCTTCAGTCTGCTGGTCGGGGACACTGGTGGTGGTCTCTTAACAACCGTAAAAGATAATCGGCATTTGTAACCAGCGTTTTTCACATTATTATCTCTTGTGACGCGGTCAAGTGTGGCCGGGGATAGTGCAGATAGATGTGTCGTGTCCGTGAAGGGATCGTCAATTGGTGTGATGGAGTGAGAATTTTGATTGGGGCTAGGGTCGCGGGTTGTGTTTGTGGCCGTGTCGGGGGATTTGATGACGTCGGGGGTAGGGTTCTGTCCAGTATTCTCCATCTGAGCTTGCAACTTTCGCTTTTTATCACGGATCAACTGCAAAGCTGCAGCAATAGTCGCTCGACGCTGTGCGCGAATGTCCACTTCCGTCGAGTTTTGGATCTCGCTTTCTCGCGCTGGACGCTCGGTTACCGTCACTTTCACTTGTCTCCACCATTTTTGTATATATAAGGCAGCGTTTCTCTTTCTCAAGAAATGCCTGCGAGCAACCACTGAGCGGAACCAGGACTGAATGGTGGAGGCGCTAGCTTGACATCGTAGATACGCCGTTCGCTCTATCACACCCTTTCTGCGCATTTGGATGAGATGCACTGCCGATCTTAGTTCGTTGTATCGCCGTCGTGCTATCCATCCTCGTACTATTCGTTGAATTTCAAGCACCGCAGTTTGCTGCTTCCTTCGCAATAGCCAATTGCGGGCAGCAGCTTGAATCGTGAGAGCTGCTCGTCGGGTTGTGGCGTATCTTCTTTTACAGATGCTTCCTCGTATCCATTTCTGAGCTAAAAGTACTTTTCGCCTTTGCTCTGCATACCTCCTTCGACAGAGCCATGCACGTACATAAGATTGTATCAGGATGACGGCGCGGCGGGTGGCCAAGAACTTTCTTCGCAAAGAGGACCTTCGAATCAAGCTTTGCAGCTGAATCGTTGTTTTCCGGGTTATTAGGAAATCTCTTCGACATAAATGGCATCTCACTAGCTGCTGAAGTACTATGGCAGCTCTTCTTCGCCGATCCTCTTGCTTTCGACATAGCCAACCTCGCGTTACGCGCTGTATGCAAATAGCTGCGTTTCGTTTACTCCGAAATGCTCTACGGCAAGACCATCCACGAAAACATCGCTGAATTTGAACTGCTGCTCTATTATTTGTCTCAGTATCGTGCCCGGCCTCCTGCCAAGCTTTCCCTGCATTATCGTGGACTGTTCCTCCCGATATCAGTGGCGGATAATTCAATAAAGTTTTTCGCCTGTGGAAATTGGTATCTCCTGCTAGATACTTGTACTGTTGCGTGGAACATAGTGGCCCAAGAAAGACGATGTCGTCGGTATCGTCTAAGGATTTTGTTGATGGAACATAATCTAATGTCATGGAGGAAAACATGGAACTTGTTCATCTGCGTGTTTCGACGTGCTGGTTGAGTCTCAAGACCTCCCCAAATTAATACCCAAATTAGGTTACATTGCAATATCACCATTTAATGACCTATTTCCCTCTGCCAAGACTTGAACTTTTTTGAAAGGCCCACCCAGCTTTACTTGAACACTTTTTTTACTGATAAGAAGCCCAGGCAATGCAGTTTCCTTCTTTTTCGGTGCTTTCAATCCACAACAGAGCAGGAGAATGTCAAATACGCACAAGCTGGACTTGCTCATTGCCGAGTGTCAAGAAGGAACAGCTCGGTTGAGTTTGGACAGGACCGACGCTAGCAACACCGCCAGAGCTCCAACCATGCACCATAGCGCTCTGAATAGGGGTAGCGAAAGAGATCGACGAAACTTCCTACCATCTCTAGATTCTGGAATTCGGGGTCAGCCTGCACCTTTGCCCAAACTAGCAGGTCTTATATGGATGTTGGTGCGGCTGGCTGCAGGCGCCTCCGGGAAATCAGCAACAAGGAATTTACGAGATGAAAAGGAAGCCTCACGAAAGAGTCGTGCGGATGCTATTGGAATCAAAGCTATAAAACATCTTCTCATCTCAACACGAGCGACTCTCCCTCAACTCGTTATCGCCCTCATTTACCTCTCCCGTCTCCGTCGATCCCGCTCTCGGTCAGCATGGCGACGTCCTCTTCCCTTCCTCTTTGTTACCTGCCTTCAACTGGCATCAGACGCAGCCCACCGGCATGCGTCCTCATCTACCTCAACTAATCTGCCGCTCGATCTCTCGGTATCTGACAAGGAATTTGGCGGAGCATGCAAGCGGGTCAAAGAAGTGGCCATGTTTTGGAGGAAGCGGGTGATCCTCAAAGAGGGTGGAACACTTCCATAGACCTCTGATTGACAGGTCATGCTTGTACAAGTTTGTTTTATACTTTTTGTAGTGGTATTAGTGGTTTGGAGCTGTTACATGTTGGACCAGTTAGCCGTTAGAGACTATTACCCTTGGAAAAAATAACATAGATACGCTCGAAGGGAATTGGGAGAGTGTATTGAGACTCACGCGTTTCGTAAGCACATTCAAAGGTCATTGGAATCCACATTGTAATGCATCACCGACGGGAATGGCGCCCTTTCCAACGCGAGCAACGTTTGGGTCATCGTCCGCCATCACCGCAAATGTCTCACCAAGCATTGTCACCCTATGTCTTCATATCCGCTCCTGATGACCCAACGAAGCAAGACACTATCAATAAGCTGAGGGATAAGGTTGCCTCAAAGCACAATGACCACGCAGAGCTATTTCCATTTGCCCTACCGGAGTTTAAGGTAGGTTGGTCGGCGGTCTCGGAACGAACCTGAAGAGGACCTACTCAATAGAAGAAAGGCGGATACACTTGGGTTGTATGTAGTAGCAATATACGGGGGATCTTCAACGGGTGGTTGCATAGAAAGGGACTCTTGACCGCGTGCTTAATAACGGACTGGAATTGGTTTCAGGTTGGCACCTTGGACTCTCTCGTAGTGTTGTCGGATGACCTGTCAAAAGCGGACACTACTGTGGAAGGCATTGCAACGAAAATTGCGGACAATATGAGGAATCTTCTGAACAACGACGTGGAGCAGTGGAAGAGCAACTTGTCCGTCAATGAAAGTGAGTTTTGCGAAATTCAAATCTCCCGCAGGTGGGAATGTGCTAACGGAAATCAGAAAGCATTGATGCTTTTTTGCGGGGCTATCAATGGAACAGTATGAAGTACCGTACAGACAAATCCCTACGGGAGCTGACAGATATGATACTCCAGGTACAGGCCCAATGTCTGGACCCTGCACTAATCTGGATCACATCCGTGGACTGACAATTTCTTAACACATGTAGGAAGTGAATCAAATTGATACTTTGATGAAAACCAAGATGACAGCATACACAACCGTGAAGTCCGCCCTACAAGGAATTCAGAGGAAGCAAACGTTAGTTTGCGGGAATCTGAGTCTTAGATTCAAATTCGTTTTCTGATGCCCACGTGTCGTTTAGAGGAAACCTGGCCGTGCGAAGTCTTAATGACATTGTGAAAAAGGATCAACTAATTCTTGATTCAGAGTATCTGACGACTTTGATTGTGGCTGTACCAAAGTAAGTACTACGATGAAATCTGTGAAAGATATTCTGTCTAACGAAGTATTTTTGTGGATAGATCGCTGATAAGTGATTGGATCAATAAGTATGAAACCATAACGCAGATGGTTGTTCCACGGTCTTCCCAGTAAGCATCTGGCTCCGCTTCAGCAGGCACCTGAATGGACTTTCAGGGCAGGGATCCTAAAATGTTTTGCACAGAAAAATAGCTGAGGATGATGAATATGCATTGTTCACAGTATCCTTGTTCCAACGAGTTGTCGATGAATTTACGAATAAAGCGCGGGAATTCAAGTGGGTACTTTGTTATGGCAAGCGACTCAAAAAGGCCGCACTAAATTCAATACCTTCAATGATTGCCATAGGTTTCATGTTCGAGATTTCAAATGGGATGCTCAAGCCATGGCGGCTGAGAAGAAACAATTGGCAGAGATGGGGGCAACGGAACGCGAACAATGGGTGCGTCTATCAGATGTTCTCTTCTTGCATACTCGCGATATTTTTATTAAAGAATCTTTCATACAGACGACCTTACTGAGATTGTGTAAGACAAACTTTGGAGAAGTCTACTCGTGCTACATTCACATAAAAGCATTGCGCGTGTTCGTGGAGTCAATTCTTCGATACGGCCTTCCACCCAAATTCCAACCAATGCTCCTTAAGGTGAGGATACCACCAATTTACATGTATTTGTTGATGCTAACCTACTTTTATGATTACAAGGCAAAACCAAAACAGGAGCAAAAGTTGAAAGATGCCGTCAACCGACACTTTGCGCGATTGGGTGGTGCAGGATCGACAGGGTCGTCGGCTGATGACCAGCAGATTGAGGAACATCTGCAGCTGCTGCTTGGGGACAAGGATTATTCTCCAGTTGTATTGTTTTATATCAACACCATTGTGTAAGGTCAATTAATACAAAGGACTTGCGAACACTACCTGCCGTTCCAGGTTAGATCGGATTCATTACCTAAGCTGTTTATTGATACTTCCTTGGTTCTCGTCGGTGATCTACCCTTACGCAAGTAGCTGAATGCACTGCTGTGACTAACTAGTTTTATGTTGATACATGGGTAGTATGTCTTGCAGCCACATGGTAGGACGACTGCGAACATTCCCTTTCTTATCCCTACAAGCCACCCGCGCTTGCAAGAGATCACATGTCACCACTCCATCTCCTAAAAGGAATTTAGGCCAACTTCACCCTTCCAATCCACTTCTCGACCTCAGCAATCACACATCAAACCTACCACCTCCGAGTTCCCTCACAATTATTCCAAATTTCCTCTCACCAGCCCAACAAGCCCTCATTACCAAATCTGCCGACAAAAAGCTACGGCGGCTATGCGGTCGGGAGTACTGGAAAGGCCATTTTGATGGTGTGATTGAGAAATATCGTGAATGCTCTGTAGGAGCTTGGTCTCGAAGTGGAGGGGATGAACCCGAAATTGTGGGTATTGTGGATGAAATTAAAAAGGTTGTGGAGGAAGTGGTGGAAGCGGATGGTGGTCGGGTAGGAAAATGGTTGGATCCTCATATTTTGGATTTGGGGGAAGGAGGGGAGATTAGAGGTCATGTTGATAATGTGCAGGTATGTAAAATTCAAGATGATGAAAATTAACTATTTTTCTCTGTAGTTTGGTAACATGTAACTTTTTATCAGGCATCGGGGACGATTATAACGGGTCTTTCCCTTCTTTCATCAGCCGTTATAATATTTCGGCAGGTCAAAGACCCAACGCAATCTTTTAGCGCCCTCGTCGAACCAGGAAGCCTCTACATCCAACGAGATGCACTCCGGTTTGATTACACGCATGAAATACCTGATGATCCGGCTTTGAGAAAGTTCAGAGGGAACACGATTCCCAGAGGTCGGCGTATTTCGATTATGATGAGGAATGAGCGGGAAGTAGTCTAGATTTATAGCATGAAGAGCATTTTAGAAGCATGATGCAAAAAACTGTTTTTTTAAATATTGTCCAAAATGTGGAAACATGTCACAACAAATGCTATATATACATGAACGTTTGGATGAACTCACGTCCCATCTTCTATCCACCTGTTCTACAAATCAATTACCGCGCGGCAGGGGCCTCTCCCCGACCGTAGTATTGCGGTGCACACTCTAAGAGCCACTGTGGTTGAATGACGGATATATTCCGCATGTATTGCCTTGTTGTGTGCATCTAGCAAGGCATGAAAATGAGACCGGGTGACACTAGAGGCGTGGAGACCAACTACCCACCAGTTCATTGTACAAAACCGCAACGGGCTTTTTTCCAAACAATACAGACGAAGGGTGGATAAATACCGTCTGATTTCCGATCATGGTCTTATATTCTCCCGTTGGTGTCCTCAATGCCACATTCTGAAAGCATCCAGTAAGGAAGCACTTTAAAATGGGATCAAAATCCGTCCCGCACGAAACGGATGTATCTATTCCCATCCTTTCCGCAAACGTCACCAACTGCTTTCGAATATCCAAGGCTTGCTTTAATGACCGCCCACTGATAAAGTTCTCGGTGCACCAGCCGGCATCGCCATGGACGGATTGATACCCCTTGAGTACATTGTATAGCGTGATATGATCACCGTCGTAGTTCATAAACCGTTTGCGGGCTTGGCCGGCCTGTTCGCGTTTATCGTTGGGGGTATAAAACACTAGGTCGACCGATAACATTGCGATGATGGATATCACTTCTTTGGTACATTTGAAGGCTTTTGATTGGATCAAGATTTTCGAGTATACGGGGTCCAGCGGAAGTTCGGCCATTTGACGGCCCAACGACGATAACCTTCCATCGTCGTTCAATGCACCGAGGGCATAGAGTTGTTCAAGTGCGCGAATGATTGAGTCTCTTGATGGGCGATCCATATAGTCAAAGCCGACAACGTCATCCACACCCGATGCCTTCAAGAGTAAGATCACACTTGCCAAATTGCACCTCATAATCTCTGGCTCGGAATCTTCAGGAAGACTATCAAACGCTTCCTCACTGTAGAGCCTGTAGCAGAACCCAGGGGCTTCACGCCCAGCTCGTCCAGATCGTTGTCGAGCTGAGGCTTTGGATATAGGTTGTACGACCAGAGACTCCATTCCAATCTTTGAGTTGTATGACCGGACCTTTGCCATACCGGTATCAACCACATATCGAATTCCACTGATGGTGATGGACGTCTCGGCGACATTTGTAGACAGGATGATCTTACGGGTTCCTGGTGGTGTTGGTTCAAACACTTTGGCTTGTTGATCGGCTGGGAGTTTGGCATAAATGGGGGTCACGATAATCTTCGTTGCCAATGGGGCACAGGGTCAGTAAAGCCGGTTTGGAACAACATGCATGACTTAAATCTTCTTACCTTGGGACACTTTGGCGGAAGATTCCGAGCATTCTCTTCAATCAATTTTTGTAGATTATCAATTTCTTCCTGACCTATCCCACAACTGTTATCGCAATGCTTTGAAGAGTCTCTACTCGCAACCACAAACCCACCGGTCAAAAACACTAAAATGTCACCACGCGGTTCTTCCATGTGCAGCTGAAAGGTGGCAACCAAGGCGGCATCTACGTAGTCTTCCTGTCGCTGTACAGCTGCGAATGTTCGAACGGGAAACTGTCTGCCGGCGACATAAATGACTTTCGCACTGCAGAGACGATAAGCATCGACACACAGGCCAAGAAGAGTGTGCCAAAGACATACTTGTCAAAATATTGCGAAAACCTCTCTGCGTTCAACGTGGCGGACATGATAATGATCTTTAAATCCTTCCTTTCTTTCTGAATAGCCTTGACCATGCCGAAAAGTATATCTGTTCGTAAAGTACGCTCATGGGCTTCATCCAAAATGATTGCGGAATATCTCTTCAACTTGTTATCGGACAACAGTTCTCGCAAAAGCATACCGTCGGTCATGTACTTGATCTTGGTAGACGGTGATGTAGTATCGTCGAATCGGATCGAGTATCCGACTTTGTCGCCAAGCTTTGTGCCCAACTCATCTGCAACACGTTTGGCAATAGAGATGGCAGCAACTCGACGAGGTTGCGTGATGGCAATGATACCCTGCTGGGTGAGACCGGCTGCGTCCAGGAACTGGGGTATTTGGGTCGTTTTACCGGAACCAGTTTCGCCAACAATGACCACGGATTGATGACGCATTATTTCATCGGTGATGGCTCGTTGGGCTTTATAGATAGGCAACGCTTCCCTCTCTGCTTGGAGGCGTTGAGCCAAAGGGCTTGCTTGGTGTTTCCGTTTGTGCTTTTTCCCTTCCTTGTGCACATGCTGGCTGCCGTTTGTCAAAGTTGACGGGGTATGACCATTTCCTAAACTTTTTGACTTTATTCTCGTTTTCACTTTGTCGTTGTGTGTTCCTGACGAGCCATTGGCTGCGATAGCGGAAGGAACCAAATCCTTCTCAATGCCCTTAGCCAGCCCGTTAGTAACCCTCAAGCCATTCACACCATTATCAAGTGTGCGACGTTCAGCCAAAGGTTGGCTGGGCAGAGCTGGGTCCTCCTCTGGCTGTTGAAGCGGTTGTCCATTTAGGTCTGACTGAGAGCTCTGCCCGTTCGAGGCAGCACCGCCCACGGTAGGGGCAACAACAGAGACCCGCCATCCACTTTCCTCATTGGACTCTCTACGCCGCTTGCGCTCCTTCCGCTCCTTCTTCTCCTTCCGCCGTTTTCGTCTTCTTCTCAGCAGTTCCTCTAGCAATGCAGCGCCATTGGGCTCCGTCCCCGACTTGGCCGACCGGTTTACCATTGCGTGCCCGTTCGGACGACCTAAATGGCTGGATAGAAGCGCAGTACGACTCGATGTACCAGTCTGGTGTTCCAAAGGGTCCTTTGAATTCAGGTGCCGTCGCTTGTGCAGACCCATTGCAACTAGCAAAGTCCAAGAGTGCGAAAACACGGATTTTGCACATTCCAAAATTCAAATTGGTTTATTGGCTAGTTATCCGGCTGGACTCACTAATCTCATCTACATTTGGCAATTCGTTCGATGATTTTGATGGACGAGACCACGACGAGAATTGTGGGAGCTTCTTGGGGATTTGAACGTATTCGCATACCTACCAATTCGATAAATCAGTCCTATCGCCATTATGAGTAGTTTTGGAAGGTAGACTGGATTTTTATTGTTCTTAAACTATTGAATGCATCATGCTGATCTACCTGATCCCACCCACAGCAATTTTCGAGTGACCACCTTTGGCGAGTCGCATTGCAAGGCCGTGGGGGTAATTGTAGACGGCGTTCCACCAGGAATGCCATTAACGGAAGATGACGTACAACCACAACTGAGTAGAAGAAGGCCTGGTCAAAGCAATTTGACGACTCCAGTTAGTTTTTTTGGGCAAGAGACCGCACTCTGCGATAGAGGATGGCAACGCTCATGCGTTTTTACTACAGCGCGACGAAAAAGACCGGGTGTCAATTCTCTCGGGTACTGAGAAGGGGTTCACCCTTGGTACACCCATTGCCATGACGGTGCCAAATCAAGATCAGCGGCCCCATGATTACGGGGAAATGGACTATTATCCTCGTCCTTCACACGCCGACTTTACCTACCTTGCAAAATACGGAATAAAAGCAAGTAGTGGTGGAGGACGTTCAAGTGCACGAGAAACCATTGGTGTGTAGTCTACTTGTAGCAATGGTTATGGACGCGATCTATGCTCATCCTAGTCATAATCAGGTCGTGTCGCTGCCGCCGGTGTCGCAGAAAAGTTCCTCAAGCTCACCCACAATGTAGAGATTGTGGCTTTTGTGGCTTCTATTGGCCATGTAACTATGGAACCAATGTCAGGGTATGGGAAACCCGAGGAGGAAGCCGAATGGTTGGCGCGTTGGGAAAAATGGTGGGGAACGTTGAAGACGATCTCACGGGAGCAGGTGGACGCCAACGAAGTGCGATGTCCAGATGCAGAGATTTCGCAGCGGATGCGAGAGGTAAGCTTCAAAATGTTGCATTATCGGTCTATTTACGGCTGCTTCGGAACTGACGGTTTTACATAGCGCATCATTGCAGCCAAGGAAGCAAATGATTCTATTGGTGGATCCATTGTTTGCGTTATCCGAAATGTGCCTGCTGGTCTTGGAGAGCCCTGCTTTGATAAGTTGGAAGCAAAACTTGCACACGCCATGATGTCGATTCCAGCTACAAAAGGATTCGAGATTGGCAGTGGCTTTGCCGGGACGGATATTCCCGGCCATGTACATAACGACCCATTTGTTCTACGTGGTGGGAAGCTAGGCACAAAAACAAACTTTTCTGGGGGTGTGCAGGTGAGGTGTCACATCCGCAAAGTGGGCTCTCAGCTACCCGTAATTAATAGCTTTTTTAGGGAGGTATATCGAACGGTGAAAATATTTACTTTAAAATCGCCTTTAAACCTCCAGCAACGATTGGCCAAGCCCAGGCGACTGCGACGTACGATGGCGTGAGCGGCACGTTAGCCGCAAAGGGACGACACGACCCTTGTGTTCTACCACGCGCTGTTCCTATCGTGGAAGCCATGTCAGCACTGGTCATTATGGAGTACGTGGCATGTCCGATGGCTTGTTGTTCCACATTTTTGCTTTCTCGCTACTATGGGTTATAGGTGATTAATTTACCCTTTTTTTCTTTCCCCCTTTTTATAGTGCGCTTTTGCAGCAGTTGGGGCGGCAGGGCGCCAGTACACTCCTTCCCGCGGATCTTGAGATCCCTCCAGTGCTCAAAGGTGAACTTGGAAAGAGCAAGGTTGTAGGTCAAGTCAAAGAGGCAGATGGCACCCACACTGTGCAACTACCCAAAGCGTAAAGTTAGATAGTAGAACAAGGACACACACATGCACGATGTAGTTTTCTAAGAAATATGGCAACCACATGTAACATTATAAGCAAGTTGCAAACATTTTCCCCCCCACCAATTTTTTTGTCTTTTTGAGTAGCTGGGCAAATGTCTCATTTTGTTTGTTTAAATGATTGAACTCTAATTCATCTGATTTGGGCAATAGCAGGCGGTTAAAGGAGGGGGGGATTCCCAATCGCGTTAAATTACGTCCGCCCGCAAAAGCCCTCGTGTCTTGCTTCCTTCCCGTGTGTGCAGATCCTTCGAGTGTTCCGTGTGTTTAAGCACACTTTGTTGTCGCGTGGGCGAATAAACTCCCTTCAAATAGCAATGTTCCACGAACACACAACAAAAAGCCCGATCGTTTTTTTGCATGTGTTCATAAGCGGATTTTGGGCAAGGGCTGTCTAAAGTATGGAAGGGTAAAGGGCGGAACAAGAAACAAATTGAACAGCGGGACTGGTGAGACGATGGATGGCTGAAAAGGGGGGGAAATGGAAGGAAAAAGAGATGGGTGTGTTTTTTTTTCTTTGCTGGGCCATAAGCGTTTTGATTTTTTGGAGGGGGCTGGTTGTTTTCTTGGCTGGCAACTTATCGTTTACAGCTTTTGGATAGATGTGTTCGTGTGTGTGTGTGCTGTAGATGTGTTCCCGTTTTTTTTTGTATAAATATATAGAGAAGGGGTGCCTGTCCGTCGCCCCGATTCGCTTTTCCTTGCTCCATCACTCCATCACACTTTCACCAACCACATACTCGCTTTATTTTGAGTTTCTTATTCGTTCCATTATTTGGGCGTTGGTAGATGACACTCTCCAACGGACATTTGACACCACTTGATCATTCCTCCTCCATGCCACGGGTACTCGTACCCACCCATATCAACCGTCCGACAAGACTATCTCTTCCCAACACAAACAACAGTCCAACAAGAAAGGATTATCCGTCCCCACCGTACCGGGCTCATATCCAGTTTGGCGAAACGGAGGTGGAAAAGTCCATGTTGGATTTACCGCCTTTGAGGGTTTTGGAGCGGGAGAGAAGGGGGAGTGTTCAGTTGCCGGTTTTGGGATTTGGAATGGAGGGAGGGACGGAGGGTGAGTATTTAATATCTATATATATATATATATATTTTTAGGTTTGTGGGCTAACCGGTTCATGTGTATGTTTTTTTTTTTTTGGTCCAGATCGCAGGCACTCATTTTCGGATCCCCTCATGTATGCAACAATGAACCGTTCCGATCGACCATCTCCCGACTCGATGTTGTCTGTTCATCACGGTAGAGACGGACGCCGGCAATCCATTACCGAACCCCATTTGCACAAGATATCAAGTCGGGGGAGATTACAGCCACTTTCACCCAGTTCAACAGATGCGTATGTACCCATGTCGGGACAAATTCCACCCCCTCCTCCATCGTTACCCAAAATCACTGAAGAAGAATACGGATCCCCGCAACCCTCTCTCGCCGTACATACTGATCCGCCCCGGCGTCTTTCAGTCGATTCGATGCTTTCCTCCCCGTCTACATCCCCCGTCCCACAGATGCCTCGCCGGGCCTCCGTGCATCATCATATCCAAACAAATGCCCTCCACCCATACTCTCGCTCACCACAATTGAGAGTGGTGCATAAATTGGCGGAACGCAAGCGCCGGAGTGAGATGAAGGAGCTTTTTGATGAGTTGAAGGATGCGTTGCCTGGAGATATGTTTCGAGGGAGTAAAGCGTCCAAATGGGAGGTGTTGAGTAAAGGTAATTTCGTGGTGCATCCTCATGTTGTGTAGGTGAATTTGCAATCTGATGTGTTGTGTTTGCTTTACAGCCGTAGATTATATTGAATCGTTGGAAAAGGTTGCACGGGACCGGGACGCTATCGTGCAAGAACGGGATGCACTACAGAGGGAAGTGGAGATGTTGAGGGGGGAGGCAAGAAGAGGGTAGCAGGCGGCATATTGGGATTTTTTTTTTTTTTTGGATAGGGTCTACTTTTTCTTTATTAAAAAACGAAACAAATAATAGATTGGTGCTGGCACTCGACATTCTTTTTGCGATGGTATCTGGTTTTGCTGCATATTTCTGTTTTCATTTTGGACTCATTGGTGCGTAGGTCTGTTGGCAGATGAACAGTTCTCCTTGGTGTTGCTAAACTGATATCAAAAGTCATCATCTGATGATATTCATATGGTCTCGTGGTGTAGTTGGTTATCACATCAGTCTAACACACTGAAGGTCTCCAGTTCGAACCTGGACGAGACCACTCCCTCCTCCTTCTTCAACTTTTTGCTCTCGGCCGAAATGACAGTGGACTCACATGGCACGTGATGATTGCCTGGCAACAACGGAACTGGGCGATCGGAGCAGTTTCCTGAACACTAGGTTCGCATTTCCTACAGACCTTTTTTTTTTCCAAGTGCTGTTTGGTTTCCAGTGTTTTTATTATTATTCTTGGACAAGAAAACTACTTGTCTCACTTGCGAGTTGCTTAAAGCATGGTTTCGAGTCTCCTTTGTCGGCGGGTTGCAGGGCTCATAAGGGTAAGTTTTTTCTTTTTCAAAGTGATCTACAAATTCCATATTCCAAACTAACGCCTTAAAAAGACCCAAACCCCTCGTCCGCATATCCGCTCACTCCACACGACACCCATATCCCAGAACTTTTTCACCGAATTCTACAAATCCGTTCAACGACAAGTTAAAGAGAATCGGGAATTACAACAAAATGTGCAGCAGTTGTCAGCGTCGACAAAGGAACTTGCCGAGAGCGACGCGGTACAGAGGGCAAAAGAAGCCATGAAGACTACATCAGAATCAACAAGCAAAGTCATTGAAAAAGTCGGGGACGTTGTAGATGGGGTATTAGAGAACCCGGTTGTGAAAAAGACTGGACAAGCCATTGTGGGAGCGGGTGAAAAAGTCGCAGAAGTATCCTCCAAGGTCGCTAAACCCGTTTTGGATACCCAAGCAGCCAAAGTCGTTGGCAAGGGGTTGAAAGTTGTGCATAAGGATGTGATTGGGAGTGGGGATTCTGCGTATTTTCATGAGTATGTGCCTAGAGAGGTTCGTGAACGGACGCGAGCAGAGAATGTTGAGGGTCAAGCTGCTCCGTTGGGGATTCCGGGTGTCCCCAACCCGCATCGAAAAGTCGTTTCGGATCCAGACGCAGGGAGTAATATAGAACTTCATCGAACCTCCAAATTGGCGGCATCGTGGCGGAAATTTAAAGAGGATTCACCTATTGCGCAGAAATTGTTTGCTGTGAAGCGAGGGTTTGATGAATCTGATCATCCCGTCGTGGAACGTGTACGAGATTTTTTCCATGCGGCTGCTTTTGAGGAAACTGAGACGGCTCAGGTTGTTCGCGCGCTTAAGGCTGTTGATCCTGGGTTTCGGACAGAGAGGTTTTTAAAGGAGGCTACCATGTATTATATCCCAGAGATTGTTGAGGCGTATTTAAAAGGGGAGGCGGCTATTTTGCGTGAGTGGTGTAGTGAAAGGGTGAGTTTTTTTCGTCTTTGTTATTATATTTTGGTTTTGGTTCTTTTAATGAAACCTTGGCATAGGCTTATGCACGACTTGCGGCCGGTTTCGAATCCCAAAAATCCCAAGGTCTCGTATCCGACTGCAAACTCCTGGACCTCCGACGAGTAGATATCCGTAAACTCACTCTCCTCGAAGACGAAGTCCCCGTCATACTCGTCACATTCCAAACCGATGAAATTCTAATGTTTCGCAACGTCAAGGGGAAATTGGTTGTGGGGAATGAGAATGCTATTGAGAGTGCTACGTATGTTATGGCGTTTACAAAGGCGCAGGCTGTGGATCCTTCTGTGGAGGTTTCGGAGCGGACTGGGGGGTGGGTTGTGATTGATTGGAGTCGGAGTACCGGGTGGTGATGAGTAAGGGAACTGCATTTAACAAAACACTTTTTACGCATGTGACCATGGTGTGTGTTTGGCATGATATAGTTTTAATACAATATAGAACTGAGATTTTGACCAATATTTTGCTTGAATTGGTGGGTATTCGACGTGGCCAGTGCTCAATGCATCATGATGAGTCTAGATGCCTGTGCGCATTTGTTAAGGTGGCGCCTGACACCCTGCGTGCATCTTAAATGGAACAAGTCTAATGATGGCTGAGGCAGCCAAAAGTGTATTTATCATGTCGACAGAAACGCAGTATACACAAAATAAAAAAAGAAAACAACAAAAGCCGCACGCACAACCCATTAGAATCCTAGCAAAACAAAAGTATATCAGCATTAGCTTCCTTTTTCTTCATGAATAACACGAACCATTTTGCCTCACCTCTTCCACGACCACGACCTCCTCTTGATGCACCTCGTGGGGCACCTCGTCCTCCACCAAAGCTTCCACGGCCTCCACCAAAGCTTCCACGGCCTCCACCAAAGCCTCCACGACCGCCACGAGCACCTCCGCGCATGCCACCGCCACGGCCGCCTCGTGCAGGCCGCTTTTCAACCATGCCCTGTCGTCCGAGAGGTTTGCCTGGGTAACAAGAAAAGTATGAGATGAGATGCTGAGAAAATATAAATGTTCTGCATATCCTAGCTGTCCAGATAGTCGGCCTTAAACCCGAGTGTACCGGTAGATGCGGTAAACTGAAGGCACACGAGTGCCACGCTGGCATGATCAAAAGATCCGTAAATCTGACCCGAACCCGAACCTAAACCCGAGCGCTAACCCGAACCCGGA